TGTGGACGGTGCACCACGCGGTCTACGACGCGTGGACGCTGGAGCTGGTATTCGACCGCATCGACAAGGCCTACAAGGGCCAGGCACCTGAGAAGGACACCACCTTCAAGCAGTTCATGAGCTACGTGGTCAACACTGACGGTCAGGCTGCCGACGAGTTCTGGAAGCAGTACCTGAAGGGTGCCGTCCGCACCGAATTCCCCTGTGTGGTCTCGACCGCAAAGCAGCCCGTTTCCGACGCGTCTGTACACCGTGAGATGCAGCTCAACCGACCAGACCAGCTGTCCGGCATCACCATGCCTTCTATGATCCGCGCGGCCTGGGGTTTGATCGTCGGGTCCCACTCGGAGTCTGACGATGTCGTCTTCGGTGGCATCGTCTCCGGACGCAATGCGCCTGTCCCTGATGTGGACCGTCTCGTGGGACCAGGCATTGCTGCCGTGCCCGTGAGAGTGAAGGTTCCCGAATCTGACTCACTGGCCGTCTTTGAATTTGTGCGCAGCGTGCAGTCGGAGGCCACGGCGATGATCGAGTTCGAACAGACCGGTCTGCAAAACATTAGCCGTCTCAGCTCCGACGCCAACTCCGCCTGCGACTTCCAGACCCTGCTAGTCGTGCAGCCGGCGAAGGAGAAGGCGACCGTCCTTGAGGAGCCGGATCTACGCAACGTGTCCGAGGCCGACGCCAACTTCGGTACCTACGCCCTCACTTTGGAGTGTAGTCTCAAGGCCGACGGCGTCTCCTGTGCCGCTCACTACGACTCCGATCTCATTTCTGAAGACTATGTCGAGCGTGTTCTTGGCCAACTTGAACACCTTCTGGACCAAATGTGCTCCTCTGCCGACAAGACGATGGGAGACCTGGTTTTCCTCGGTCCTCAAGACCTGGACAACATCCGTGAGTGGAACCAGGAGATTCCAGGTCGGATGGACAGAACCATCCACGACATCATTGGAGATCGTATCGCTGAGCGCCCTGATCACGAGGCTGTTTGCTCGTGGGACGGCTCCTTCACGTACGGCGAGCTCGACCAGCATGCAGCTCGTCTGGCGCGTCGTCTCGCGCAATCCAACGTCGGGCCCGAGGTCTTCGTTCCTTGCTGCTTCGAGAAAAGCCGATGGGCGCCGGTGGCCATGTTGGCCGTGCTACGGGCCGGCGGTGCCTTCCTGAACCTCGATCCCTCGCAGCCGCCGAACCGCATTCAGCTCATGATCCAGAAGCTGAAAGCTAAGACCATCGTCTGCTCACCCCAGCAGTACGAGCTGTGCGCCTCCTTGGGTGACTTGGATGTCGTGGTCCTCGACGAGCAATCTCCCGATGCAGCCATCCCGGAGACCGTCCCCGTCAACGCTGTTGGTCCCGAAAACGCAGCATACGTCATCTTCACCTCTGGAAGTACGGGAGAGCCCAAGGGAACGATTATCCAGCACGGCTCGTACTGCTCTGGATCAACCACTCACGCGCCGGCGATGCTGATGGATCGTGACACACGTGCCCTGCAGTTTGCCTCGTTCACCTTCGATGCCAGTCTGGTCGAGATTCTCACCGTGCTTGTCATCGGTGGTACGGTCTGCTTCGCATCGGAGGAGCAGCGCAAGCGCGATGTGACGGATGCCGTTCGCAACCTTAACGCGAACTGGGCCGCCCTGACGCCGTCTTTTGTCAACCTGATCAACCCCGACGACGTTCCCGGACTCAAGGTTCTGATCCTAGCGGGTGAGGCCATGTCGCAGTCCCATCTGGAAACTTGGGCCCATCGCGTGCGACTCGTCAACGGATACGGGCCCAGTGAGTGCTGCGTGGCCAGTACGTCCAATTGGGATCTAACGGTCAACTCGAGCCCGCGCAACATTGGCCGCGCCTGCTCAGGTGCGTCGTGGGTCGTCATGCCCAACAACCACCATCGACTGGTCCCCGTGGGCAGCGTTGGAGAGCTGGTCATGGAGGGATGGAACGTCGGCCGGGGCTATCTGAACGAGCCTGAGAAGACGCAGGCCGCGTTCGTCGAGAACCCCAGGTGGCTCGACCCGACCGACGACACCCGGCCACCGGTGGTCTACAAGACCGGTGATTTGGTCCGCTACAACCCTGATGGTACTCTGCGATTCGAACGCCGCAAGGACACTCAAGTCAAGCTGCGCGGTCAGCGTGTGGAGCTGGGCGAGATTGAATACCGGATCAAGCAGAGCCTGCCGAACAAGCCCGATGCCGTCGTCGACATTGTCTGTGCCAAGGATGCCGTCGATCAGCCTCGCCTGGTCGCCTTTCTCCCCATCTCTCGTGAGGACGCCATGGAAAACCTCGTCGATGTGGACGCGATCATTCCGCCGCCGGACGAGCAGCACGTCGCCGCGCTTTCCGGTTTGGAGGACCGCATGGCCGATTTCTTGCCGATGCACATGATCCCCAACACCTACCTGCCCGTGTACTACATCCCTAAGCTGCCCTCTGGCAAGGCGGATCGCAAGACCCTGAAGCGCGTCGGTGGCCAGCTGACCCACCGCGAGATGGCCCAGTATTCCGGCACCACGGAGGAGGCCCGTCCACCCACCACGGAGATGCAGCTCACTCTGCAACAGCTGTGGGGTGAGTGTCTGAAGATGCCCGCGGCCCAGATCAGTCTCAACGACAATTTCATCCGACTGGGCGGAGACTCCATCACCGCCATGCGTCTCGCCTCCGCCGCGCGGTCGCGGGACATCCCTCTCTCCACGGCCTCTGTCTTCCAGCACCCTACTCTGGAGGCGATGAGCGCCGTCGCTGAAACTCTGACGCAGCAGAAGCTGCCCCAGACATTCGAGCCCTTCTCCAGCGTGAAGTCCTTTCCCAAGAACAAGTTGCTGGACGACATCGTCCTGCCCCAGGTCGGGGTGCCGGCATTCCAGGTGGAGGACGTTGTAGAGGCGACGGACTTCCAGACGCTTGCAATCAACGGCGGTCTGAACCAGACCCGCGGCTGGAGCAACTACCTGGTGTTTGACTTCAACGGTCCCATCGACCTGCGCCGACTGCAGAATGCCTGCGACAAACTGGTGGCGCAGCACGCGGTTCTCCGCACCGTCTTCGTCACCACCGGATCCCAGCTGCTACAAGTCATTCTGCGGTCATGCACACCCGAGGTCACCTTCCACGTTCAAGACGATCAGGATCCCTCGGAAGCGCTGGTGCGAGACGACCTTGCTCGTACCCCTCGTCTGGGCGAGCCCATCGTGCGGTTCATAGTCATCAAGAACGGTGCCGTCAAGCACCGCGTGATCATGCGTGTTTCCCATGCCCAGTACGACGGCTCTTCGATGCCGCTGCTGATGCAGGACCTCGGCGCCGCGTACAAGGGCGATGAGCTCACGCCGCGACCGCAGTTCTCGGACTTTGTGCGCATGCAGCTACACACCAGCGACGGGGCCGAGTCCTTCTACAAGGAGATGCTGGCCGGGTCAAGCATGACGCAGCTGGTTTCGCACTCCAAGACGTCGACCACCAACGTTCTGAACACCATGATCGTCGAGATGGTGCCGCTGATCGCCTTCAAGGATCACGGTATCACCCCGGCCACCGTGGTCAAGGCTGCTTGGGCAATGACTCTCGCGGAGATGGCCTGCACGTCCGATGTGGTGTACGGCCACATGGTGTCGGGCCGCAACCTGCCGCTCAACGGCGTCGAGTCGGTCATGGGTCCTTGTCTCAACATCGTCCCCGTGCGGGCCAACATGGAGACCATGGCGACCGTGCAGGAGCTGCTGCAGCTGATCCAGCAGCAGCAGACCGACACCATCCCGCACGAGAGTCTCGGCTTCCGGCAGATCATCGACCAATGCACCAACTGGTCCAAGGAGACGCGCTTCAGCACCGTGTTCCAATACCAGGAATTCGGCGGCGAAGACGTCACCCAGCCCATCACCATGGAAGGAAAAACCACCGTGGTGCCTGGATTTATCTGTCCTTCGCCGGATGCCTGCGACATGTCAATCCTGGCGACCCCAGTAGGCGAGCAGGTGCGGATTGAGATGATTTTCTCGACTCACGCCATGTCTCGCTCGTTTGCGGATGCCACCCTGCAGAAGCTGTCGGCGAGAATCAAGGAGACTGCCCGCACGGGCGTCGAGGGAAGAATGCCATCATTTGTCGGCCAACCTCAGATTCCTTTGCCGGAGCCTGGTCGTCGTATGACGAACGGAGTCAACGGAATGGTTGGGCGGATTGTCAACGGTCTCAACGCGCAGAATGGGGTGAATGGTGTCAACGGAGTCCACGAGGAAAGCGCACCTGAGGAATCGTATCACGTGAACTTGCTGGCCTCAGTGCCTCTCTAAAAGTGTATACCTTGGTTTTATGATTTCTTTTTTTTTTCCCGCGGAGTTTTGGTCCTGTACATAATCATCTATATTACTTTCTAATTCTTCTCAAGAAATAAGTCTTTTGTTGTGATTGTACACCAGTAACTTATCGTGGTCATGCATCTCCTTGGGTGGCCTTGGACACGTCTATAAAGGGAGTGTAATTTTGGATTGCTTTCATTCTTGAGCTTGCCATTTTTCAGAATACAACATCTCTTGACTCGGTGCAGAGATCCTTAATGTCCTTTGTTTCGTGGGGGACTACAGTCTGCACTCTGTAGGCTAAATGCTCGATGGGATGAGAGCCGTAGCAGTTTCTTGTTTCTTACCTACAGAAACGTGACTTAAAAAGGTTCCCCTTCCGGTTCACGACTCTCTTTCGGAGTGACCGGAGGAGCACGAATCCAGGTACTGACTGAATCATCCGAGACAATTCCTTCAGATATCGAGTCCACCGATCGTCAAACCGAGGGCATAGGCGTCTGTCCGGAGCAGACATGATCGGTGTGATTGCAAACAAGCCCCGACCCACGTCAAGACCATATATTCTTCATCTGCCTGGGGCGTATGTTGCAGGAATTTTTGTAGGGAAGAGGCCGCGATCGATCTCCTTATATATACGAGATTAATGATGCCACATTTAGTGATGGCCATTGTAATGTTGCATTAGCCACTAATCATTCGTTGCGGGCGTTCGGCAATTCCGTGACCTAGCAAAGGACCGAATTCTCGCTCATAACAGGGCGCACATGTAAGATCCGAAGTCGCCAACGAGTATGGTCCTCCAGCGCGAAGTTCGAGATCCGCTAGATCGCCGCACAGCAACGTATCGGTCATATGAGCGCCGTAAAGCGGAGGAGAGTCATGGTCGTACGAAAATTCTTCGATTTCAAAACCGTGAGCCAGGCCATCTGATGTAACGGACCGTGGTAATATGACGATGTTGAATGGGAGAGCTCCGCTTATCTGCTATACGTGAGTAAGGAATCTAACAGGTCGCTGAGGCTAGAATCTTACTGTCGATAGATTTCCCTTTGCACTGACAAGCTCGACTGAAAAGATTAGTTCATGATGAACCTGGATATGATTCGATTTGACGCGTTGTGTGCACTCCTCTAAGCTCTTCGGTAAAGCGACCGCTTTGGTCGTACTCCATTCGATGTCGAACATCTCCGAGGCGGCAGCTAGATAGTCTTCCTCTTGTCCTTCATGTCGCTCGCTAAGGACAATATGATCTTTTGCCGAGGTCAGATACCGGACGCCGTACCGAGTCGCGTATGCTGCGGGCGCATCGATCTTGATCGAATGCTTTTCCACCACCGCGATATTGATCGCTTTCATCCGAAGCCCCTTCTCTAAAGGCGCCATCCAGAAATTCACCGGGAATGTGGAACCGAACGGGATCTTCTTGTGGGGGATTGACACGCTGTAGGGGATCGTCGTATCGGCAAGCTCTTCGGTGATCTATTATATCGTCAGTCTATGTCTGTGGCATTGCGATGCAGGTGACGAACGATTGGGTCCGAGAGCAAAACATCACATCGGTCCCTGACAGCAGGTTTGTATATCCTTAGGGGTTGAGAAACCACGTGATTGCGGTATAGTTTCCGCTCAACGATTGCGTATACTTGGTAGGAAAGGTAAGAGTGATTCGGGCCCGTGATTGTGTCGTGCATGTTTGGGTCTAGCGACAGATCGAACGGAAACTCGTATTGCCCTGCCGGCAGGGTGAAGGACGCCATTTTTTTCGATGCAGCCAGGCTCTGACTCCGTTCAAAGGTAACCTCTTCATGGCATGTGGAAGAAAAGAGACCTTCTTGGAACGGTCTGCTATTATTAGCGCAGGCCTTCATGTATTTCAGGTGACACTAACAGGCTCGTTTGCCCTTTTATCTGGATGGAAATGCCTCGAATTGCCGTGTTACTAGAAACTGATAGGCGTAGTACTCCGGATATCGAAGGTTTTGCCTCGGCCTCGTGTGTTGACGGGAGAAAAATACATGGTTGGTCAAGTCTATAGTTAGTGATTCAAGTCATTAGCCTAAGCAAGCTGGGACTTTGTATGACGTAACTAGTCCTTACCGGAGACTGCTGCTAAACACCATGTTTCGAGGTGAGATGCGACGGAATAGTAGGTGTAAATATGCCCGGTAGCTGTAGAGCTAGGGAGTTCTGCGATTTGCTTACTTTTATAGTCTGACAGGAAAGCGGTGCAAGAATTTCCTATTTTGGAAGTCCCGTGAAAAATAGCCTATTTATGTATTACTACGGAGAGTACTGGGACATTTCTCTATTCTAACTAGGCCTAATGAGGAAGGTTTCCGCAATAAAATTAATTATCAACTCTTTCATGTCCAGAACCAACAGGCTGCACCAATGAAAGCACTGCTGCCGCACCCTGCCGCTGCACATCTTACCTCATTGGGAAGAATTTTCCACCGGAATTCCGACGTCATGCGATATTTGGCGTTAGTCACCTCCACTGGAGCAGTCACTACTCCATTATTCTTCTTCCCTTCACTCCGCGTGGCAAGCTCGCACAGGCTGAACAAAGCAACTTTCACTTGACGAGCTCCCTCATCCATTTCGGACTTCATGATCGAGACGCCACATACCGCCAGGTGACCGTCGCTGACGCAGAGTGCCCACCTCCAAGCTATACAAGCCGCACCTGCAAGGTCAGTCGGTCCCCTACAATTCGGGCAAGGGCATATACGCTCAATCAGGCGTCATTCCGGGCTGAGCAATCCAATCGGGCTTTGTGTTTCCGATCCCTTGCCCATTCCTACCTGCCGATCCCATGGAGGTGAAATTCCACATCAGCCAGGACGGTCGGGTTCCGAAGCGGAAATATGCCAAGGCCGCCTGTGACGCATGCCGTCGGAGAAAGGTATGATGGCTGGTATTTCATACACGCAGGTTGGCTCGCGCTAATCTGGCTTAGAGAAAGTGCTGCCATGAAAAGACAAAACGCCCACAGGCCTCTCCATCGGCCAATTTGGAAGGCAATGACGCTGGTCATGGTAGCTCAGATGCTAACTACAGCTTACGGCCGTCGAATCGAGCTCCAGTCTCTCGGGATCACAGAAGTACCGAGGAATCGCAGCGTCAAACACAGGCGCCTCGGTTCCCTGTAGAACAAAGGCAAAGAACCCAATCGGAGTCCTCGTCAAGGCTGCTCCAAGCCGACCGTTTTATCGGTGACTTAAACCCTGTTGCCTTCTTTGTTGATGACACAAACACGCGACTTATGGGCGGGCGCGCTCACCAAAAAGATGTAGGCGTATGGCTAGATAGGGATAATGACCTGGTCTCAGGCGAAGAGTCTCACGAAAATCCATCGTTGGGCCAGCGAGGTAATCCACGACGGACTGTTTTACTACCTCCGCGTCAGAGCCAGGAGGCATTGGTCGATATCTATCTCCGCCGCATTCACCCCATACTCCCATTAATCGACGAACATGATTTTCAGCGGCAATTCAAAGAAGGTTGCGCTTCCCCTTATCTCACCCAGGTCATTTGTCTGGCTGCTTCCAAAGACCACGAAGCGGAGCCTTACCTCCGTCTTGCAAACACCGACATACTGCCCCGTGGCGAATTTGGCAACTTAGTTTACGACGAGCTAAGCCAGGCAATTGCCTTGAGGCTGGAGAGAAAAAGGACCACACTAATCCAGATCCTTGCATTACTTTCTCTTCATGTTTCGGGATCCAGGAGCTTCGAGGATTCCTCGTTGTACCTAGCCCAAGCCATTCACCACGCACAGTCCATGGGATTTCACATCACCAGAGGGCCAGCGCAGGATAAAAAACCCACGATCGCGCTATTTTGGTCTTTATGGGCTCTTGATCGATATAACGCCGCCATACAAGGCAGGCCGTTAGTCATTCATGACAGGGACTTAGGCCAACAGCTGGTAGACGTGATCGCGCTTTTTGAGACGCCTTTCCGCGTCTTCCTATCTCTGGCATCGGTCCTCGCCGATGTTTTCGTTGTCTTCCGGCCGGCTCTGGAGGGTCCGGTCGATTTCGATAAGCCAGAAATCCCTCGATTCGAGGATATAATCGATAAGTCGGACGCCTGGGAGATCCCGCAGGATACAATATGTGAGTGATCTGTTCTTAATTCGCGAGAATCCTTCTAAGTCCCCAGTGTCTCTAGAGTTTGTATATCTCGCAATTGCAATTCTATCCTCGCGGCCATGGGTTCTCAAGGATCAACCCAAATCGAATAGTTTGTATGCTAGGCAGGACTTGGCTGTCCATCGGATGGTTTCCTTGATTCATATTTGCGACACTCCACAGCTTCTACCACTCCCAATCCTCTCTTACGCCATATCTTTAGGCTTCTGCGTGGCGTACAAACAAACCAAGCGATGCCAGCTTCTCAGCACCCGGATTACCGCGAAGCAACACCTGCAGACTTTGTACAAGAGCCTTGAAGCATTATCATCGACATGGTGGTCAGCTCAGGCCATGACCCAACTCGGCCGGCGCGCATTGAGTGAGGTTCAACGCACCACTGAAAAGACAAATGAACTGCCAAGATGGAGACAACTGTCTGATCCAGTACCGTTAGCAGAGTATATCAACACCCCCATGCCTCCTGTCTCAACAGCATCAGACCCTGTAAATGGGGTGGTTGCAAGACCTGAGCAAGCAGTTGATCTTGCAGATGTGGAAAATGATGCATTCAGCTACTTTCCAGAAAACCCTTCTCTTGACATCGACCATCTCCTCGGAAATCTCCTCAATATCACGGTCCCGACATGTCCGACCAACCCTTCATTCACCGATTTTGATCTGGGTTGGGTTGACCAGTTTGGATATCCCAACTTCTACTGAGATGCTGGGATTGAAGAGTCGCAAAATAGAAACGACATGCTCCGACAGCTCTGCTTCTTCTCTTCTTGGTTATTTTTATGAAATTTAATGTAATTACAAATTCTTTTCTCATTTGCATACTATCAAAAGCATAACATCAATGGCATTTAACTTTTGATTCATCTCATTATTGGTACCGTTCTATACCTTCCATGTGCCGTTTCCAAATCCTTCTAAACCCTGAAACACCAACGTCTAAGATAAACCCAGTTCCAAATATCATTGCGATCATAATTTCTTTCCAATCAATAGTCCTCCTCCGATCCATCATCACTGAACGCCGCCTCGTCCAGCAGATCATCCTCGTCATCATCCTCATCCGCCCACTCCTCATCATCGAAATCGTCACTCGAATCGTCGTCCAGCATCGCATCATACATCTCACTCATCAACGCCTTGATCGCCTCTTCCTGTCCCTCGGTCATCTTCATCAGGTCCTGCAGTCGCTGCTTCGGCTTCCACTGCTCGGAATCGAAGTCGTCCGTATCGAAGAACGCCTCGGGCAAATGCGTCCCGAAAAACGCCAACACCATCGCCGGCACGCCCATCACGTACTCCGCCGACAACGAAATACTCGCCTCGTCGTGGTCCAGTCGCTTCGCGAGGCTCGAAGTGTCGCGCGCGCGGATCAACTCCAGAATATCCGACCCGGGGATTTCAATCTTCTCTCCCTCCTGACTGTTGGCGCACGCCTTGATCAACACCAGCGTCTCGTCCCAGTCCAGGGTGTGTCGCTCCGTGAGCAGCGCCAGCAGCAGATATGTCGGGCACTCGTTGTGCGCGTTCTCGCCGTTCAGCACGCGCGCATAGGCGTCGCTCTCCGCCTCCAGACGACCCTGGAACGGCTTCCAGAAGGCCCGGTGCCACGGGTCGGCGGTCTGCGCGGACCCAGGGCCCTCGGTTTTCTCCTTGCCCGCGAGCGCCTGCGGCGGCAGATACTTCTCGTAGCGGGTGAAGTTCCACATGTTCCAGAGGTTGTCGGCTTCTTCGCCCATCTTGGTCTTGGTGGCGAGGTCGAACGAGAGCTTGGCCGAGTCGGTGCCGTCGGTCTGAGGCACTAGCTTGGCTTCATATCCCGAGATGGTGTCCTGCAGGGACTTCTTGCCCTCTTCGGAGCTATCGCCCTCGGCGAGGATCTCGCATGCTTCGCGGTATGTGACGAGCGCCTCGTGTTCGGCCTCCGTCACGTTGCAGTGTGGGTGCGTCAGTAGGGCGTCCACGAAGGCGATGCGCTCTTTGGTTTCTTTGCTGGAGGCTTGCGAGATGTCCTTGAATGGCCGTGGAGGGGCCAGGTATCGTAGGGGGTCCATTGTTGGGTGTAGTGGAAGATGTATGTATGGGAGTTTGTTTGTTTTGATTCTTCTTTTTTCTTCTTTTTAATTTTTTCCCAGGGGTCGCGATAAGAAAAAAATTTGATCGGATCCCGCCACTTTTAATGTGGGTCGGCCGGAGTCTTACCGGGGGATCGGCACTGTTTTTCTTCTGGTCCAAAGTGGATATTTTGACGGGGTGATGTTCATGTGCAAGGGTCAATATTGTTCTATTATTGTGAGGGAGTGAGGTGAATGAGTGGAGAGGAAATGCAAGGATGCGTTTGTGGTCCTAATTGCTACCGACTCATCCTGTTTGCTCATCCCGGTTCACTGTACATATGAGTCCTGTCAGTGGGCTATGGACAGCTAAAATTGGTAGTATTCAAGTAATCTCTTCTGTATTTTGATTAATCATAATTTAACTATCTTCTACCTTGTATCTTACTTGGGTATCACTCTTGCGACAAGCCTTGTACTCCTTCATATCCCCAGTCCCACACTTCATTCGAACACCGCGAATGAACACGAGAAGCGACGATCAATGTATCTATTTTCTTCGGCCTCAAATTCCAGCATTTGCCCCAGCCTGAAACACCCAGTCCTGAGTTTATTTCCCGGTCGATCTGGAACCAGGCCATTTGAACATGAAACTAGCCAGGCGATGCCTTACATTGCATTCCGCCAGGGATGGACGGCATTCCCCAAAGTGGCGGGACAGAGGGGGCATGGATATAAAGACATCCTGCCACCTGTAAACCTTCATTGTAAATACCTTTGACTCTAAGATTTTTTTGTTGAGCACGACGTTCAACTGAAGAAACAATGCTTCGCATTCCTGCCCTCCTGATCAGCATGCTCTGCTTGGCGGTTGCCGCCCAGAGCCAAGATTTCTGCATCGACGTTTGTCGAGAACAGAGACCTGTTTGTCCTTCCGGGCAGGTGAGTACTTGTGTATTTGGGGCTTCTTTCAAATCCATCCAAGAAGTTAGGGCTAATGATATTGCAGATTGCCTCAGGCCAACCGGTAAGTTGAGAATGTGTCTAGTCTTGGCAAGGATCACACCAGTTAACCATTCTGTTCTGCGTAGGGCTGCTGGGGATGTTGTCGGTCGCTGAATGAGACAGAGGGGCATGTGTCGGCTCGAGCATAAATTCTTCTTCTTGCTTGATTATTGATATATATGATTTGTTTTGTTTTCTTCTATGTATGATTCGTTTGCGCAAATCGTTGCTGTATAGGTACTTAAGACATTTACTTTTGTTGCGGCGCAGCTGGAAATATATTCACGTTGGTAGGACTTGTACTACCACATCACACATGTCAACAAAACACGGAAAAACGTAAGATATTTTTTTTTCTCTCAAATAACAATGGACTAAATTCCGACGCCCGAACAAAAGTACCACAACCAGAACGAAGGCAGAAAGCGCCCTCGAGGCTGTGCTGCCTGCAACTGCGGCAACAAGACCAATGTTACCTTGAGCGCTTACCAGCATCACTCAAGAACCAGTAAATGTAATGCCACCATGACATCTCCGTAGCTGACTGGTTGATCCTGACCAGATTAGAAAGTGTTGGTGTGTGACTGACAGCGGCGCAGTCTTTCACAACGCTCTTCGTCCGTACCACGAGTGATATAAAACTGCAACGCATCTTCCTTCCTCGACTATCAACGGCAGCTCCTTTCATCTTCTCAAGTCTCTCAGTTATCATAAATCTGCACTCAAGATATCCACGAAGATAATACCCATCGTCAACATGTCAATCATCCACACCCTCCTCCCCTGCTTCTTCAGCGCCCGCCGCAAGTCCACCACAGCTACCAGCTATGCCAGCAACCCTTCCAAAGGCCCCTCCCCCCTTGCCAACCAGGCAACAACCATCCTCATCACCACCGAAGACCCGGATCTCATCCGCAAACAACTCTCCGACCTGGTCACCACCACCGGCTGGACCGAGTCCCTCGCTCAAAGCATCCTCCACACCCTCGAAGACGCCATCAAAGGCTCCGCGAAGATGGCCCGGCCGGCGGCCGACGCGCTGGCTCGGGCAACGCACGAGGCGCACGACTTCGCGCATGACCACCCAGTCTATACGACAGTTCTGGCGCTTGGGGTGTTGGTCATCCTAGCGCCGTGGGTGTTGGAGGTGCTGGGGTTTGCGGAGTTGGGGCCCCTGGAGGGCAGCTTTGCCGCTTGGTGGCAGAGATTGTATGCGGGGTACGTGCCGAAGGGGTCGCTGTTTTCGTTTTTTCAACGTTTGGGGATGATCTGGAGGTTTTAGGGGGAACTTTGAACATATGTAGTTTGGTGGGTTGGCAGAGAAAGTTCAAGATGCTATGGACTAGGTAGACTGAGAGGAGACGTTGGAATATAAACCTTTTTAGACCACCCAAAACCCATCAATTGGCCGGTTGGTGTAGTTGGTTATCACGTATCGTTAACACCGATAAGGTCCTGGGATCGAGCCCCAGACTGGTCAATATTTTTTCCTTTTGCTGTGGTGGAGTGGGTGGGTCCATTTCTACAAAAGTACGGACCACGGAGATATATGTCGTAGAGAGTAGGTTGGGGTTAAGTGGAATTTTAACTATATCTACTTGTCTGGTTGATCCCGTTGACCCAAGCCAGTGAATAGTATCCAATTAACTAGCAGGCAGCCACCGTGCCTGCTCCCAGACACTGCCTGCCTACTTGTCTAACAGGGAAATTGCTACTGTCGTCATTGACGGCAGTGTAGTTATTGCAATGACCTCTTCCAGATGGATGGGAGAACCATCTCCAACCATCAATCATCTCCAGGAAACTCCTGCAATATACTATAATCCGCAGGGAAGTAGATCTCAATTATCAACCTGTCATCTTGGGGGTGGTGGCCGAGTGGTGGACTCGGTCATGATCATCTCTTAATATTATAAAGAAGAAGTAGACTCTCTTTCTTGCGATACTGTGAGACACGCGGTTAGATCCTGACGCTTTCTTAAAGCTTTCTACTAATATCTCCCCTGGGGCATCAGATTCTCTCACACATCACCTTCAAGCCACATGACCCGAGGTGATATCTATCGTATTTTAAGGCCTACCTAATGCTCTAATAGCGTATCTCAAGGTCTATTTATCTTTTTTTTTTTTTTGATATAGCCAAGTTATACGTAGGGCATAGGCGCACATATAACTCTCTGTTAATAGCAACAATTGCTCTCTAGGGGTCTACTAGTTTGTTATGGCAGGTTCCGTTTTTATGTGTTTTAGATTTCCCTAGCATTGTATGTCTTTTTACCCGATGGGAGGTTAGCAGGAGAAATAAGGCTTTAGGGTTTGGGTTAAGGATTATTTAGCTCCGCCGCTTCTGCTCCGAACGTTAATTAATACTACGTACTACCTGTCATCATCCTACAGTCATATCCGACTCCGCGACAAATATTCATATACAATTCGCTATATCACTCTCACTCTATAATTTCTATACTTGGACTCTCCCGCGTACATTTCACGTCTCATTCCCCGTCATCATGACGTCCAACCAACCGACCAGTCGAGGTAGCAAAAGGAAGAGAAGCCCCGCGAGAACAGTCGTTGAGAGAGAGCCGGCAAACCCCCCACCGTTGACTCCCCAAGACACAAACGAGTCAAACGACCGAGCTGAACGCCAGCCTGAACCCTTAACGCCGTCTTGCATACTCAAGCTCAAGTTGACTCTACGGCCAAAGTGTAACCATGATCATGAAGCGACCACATTATCAGGAACGTGTGACCCTCCCATGTAACTTTCCCCGCCTCAAAGGGAACAAGGCAGCAATGACAGTCCTGATCATGAAGAGGCGTATAGACACGATTTCCCGATCGGGAAAAGGCAGGGCTGAGTCATCCACCAGCAATCCATCACGTGTTGAGCAAGGTTTCCCTTGTTCTCATCGAGTCTCCAAACTTCCGTCCGTACAGACTCTCAAGTCTCATGCCGCAACTACCGACTATCATCAGCCCAACAGTCGTACGGTCTATACCGCAATACCATACGAGCAGATCCTCGGTCAGTACGTAGGTCGGCTTGCCGAACTCGTAGCCGAACGGATAAACGGGATTTTTAGCGCGATCCACAGCGGAGCGACAGTTTGGCCTCCATGCGAATCACGGCCAATGGGTGGCGTCGTGGTCTGATCCCTCTCCAAGTTTTCTCTGTCATCATTACACAAACGTCTGAGTTGCTTCGACAGATTTTTCGGTCGCAGGGGCCAATCTAACCAGATGGATTCAATTAAAACCAGAGCCTGTCGCCATCGCCCGGCGCAAATCGATCTGGCAATGTCCTCCTTGATTCCTGCACCAACTCCAACATCTCGTGGGAATGGCATCCAAAGATGCGGCTGCTGAAGCCCCTCGTGCCCACCGGATCCCGCACTGGCGTCTCCTCGTCGACCAGGGCGTCGTGACCTCCGAAATCATCGAGTATCCCTACGTGGGCGCCGGCACCGACGATGATCCGTTCATCGTGGAATGGATCCCCAACGATCCGCGCAACCCTATGCTCTTCGGCAAGAACCTGAAATGGGCCTACACCATCACCGTCGCCTTGGCCACCTTCGGCGTCTCCCTCGCGTCCTCTGCGTATGCTGGCAGCATCGAGGAAGTCCTCAAGTCTTTCGGTATCGGCCAGGAGCTGGCCACGCTGGGCGTGTCCCTGTTCGTGCTGGGTTTTGCCGTCGGGCCGCTGGTCTGGGCGCCGCTGAGTGAGCTCATCGGGCGGCAGATCATCATGTTCATCTCGTACTTTGCCCTGGCGGCTTTCTGCGCGGGGGCCGCCGGTGCGCAAAACAGCTGGTCATTGATCATCCTGCGCTTCTTCGCGGGGTCCTTTGGCTCCTCGCCTTTAACCAATGCGGGTGGTGTCATCGCCGATATCTTCCCCGCTGATCAGCGCGGTTTGGCAACCAGTCTGTTCGCCGGCGCTCCTTTCCTCGGTACGTCTTTCTCCTTGTATAGCAGCATATAACATTCAATCGCATACTGACACCCCGCAGGACCAACCCTCGGCCCCGTCATCGGCGGATTCCTCGGCGAAAACGCCGGCTGGCGCTGGGTGCAAGGCTTCCTGGCGACCTTCACCGGACTCATCTGGATCGTGACCATCTTCCTCGTCCCCGAAACCTACGCGCCCGTCCTCCTGCGCAAACGCGCCGACAAACTCACCCAGCTCAGCGCCGGCCAGCACATCTACCGCAGCAAACTGGACCTCGAGCGCGGCCGCGTCTCCGTCGCCACGGCCTTCGGCTCCTCCCTCCTCCGCCCCTGGATCCTCCTCTTCGCCGAACCCATCGTCCTGCTGCTCTCCATCTACATGGCCATCATCTACGGCACCCTCTACATGCTCTTCGACGCCTTCCCTATCGTCTTCCAGAACATTCGCGGCTGGAGCCAAGGCATCGGCTCGCTCCCTTTCCTCGGCGTCATGACCGGCATGATGATCGCCGTCGGCTGCAACATGTACGACAATAAACGCTACGTCCGCGAACACCAGAAACACCGCGGTTTCGCGCCCCCGGAGGCCCGCCTCCCACCTACCATGGTCGGCGCCGTCGCCATCCCCATCGGCCTCTTCTGGTTCGCCTGGACCAACGGCCCCAACGTCCACTGGATCGTGTCCATCATCGCCTCCGCCCCATTCGGCTTCGGTATGGTCCTCGTCTTCCTGGGAATCATGGTGTACCTGATCGACGCGTACACTATCTACGCGGCTAGCGTCCTCGCCGCGAACTCTATCATCAGATCGTGTTTCGGCGCTGGGTTTCCTCTCTTCACGACGTACATGTACAACAACCTGGGCATTCATTGGGCGTCGTGTATTCCTGCCTTCTTAGCTCTGGCGTGTCTCCCGTTCCCGTTCATCTTCTATAAGTATGGAGCGGCGGTGCGCAAGAAGTGCAAGTATTCGGCGGAGTCGGATGCGTTTGTGCGCAAGTTGGCGGAGAAGACCTTGACGTCTGGTGGGGAGGAGGAGAAAGTGACTGACAAGGAAGGTGAGGCCGTGGTGGATCGAGAGGGTGTGGATATTGAGCATGAGCATGAGCACGAACATGACCTGGAGAGAGCGGATACCGCGTCGACGAGTAGCGACGACGGACAGTTGCGAGGCACCTACGAAGCGAGCCCGTACGATATTGACCGCGTGAATACGCGCAATTCGGCGATTACGCAGCGGTCGCGATCGCGATCGACGAAGGGGAGGAAGCGCTTTGGGATCTTTTGATTTGAAATTCAGCGATTGCTTTTTTTTTTATAACTATACTAGAATAGCATTTATGCGTGTATAATAGACATATGAATAGGAATGTTTAATCATGTATTCGTCTCTTCTCGTCACATTTACGTGGCCATGTACTGTAGCGTACTGTACTTTATTTATCGAGTGGACAAATAGCCAACTCGGTCCATCCATCCATCCATCATCTATCATCTACTCTAAGAAGAAGCCGGAGCGGGCAACGCCTCGGGGGTGTCGGAGCGGAAGCTCTGCGTGATCAGGTGCTTGAAGTTGGGCGACCATTCGACGCGCGGGGTCAGGACGTCCAAGTTCCACAGGTCGGCCAGATACTTGAGGATGGAGGTGTGAGTGAACTCGCCGGACTGGCCTTTAGGACTGTTCTGGACGATGCCCTTGCCGACCCAGGGGGAGATGAGGACGGTGGGCACGCGGATTCCCAGGCGGTCGAAGTGGAAGGTGGTGGAGCGACCGTCCTTGGCCTTCTCGGTGTAGGTGAGTTTGTCGCCGGCGGGCACGTTCTCCGGCGGCGAGACGTGGTCGGCGAAGCCGCCGTGCTCGTCGAAGGTCAAGATGAAGAGAGTCTCGTTCCACTGGGGGGACGAGCGCACAGCCTCGTAGATGCTCTTGACAAAGCCCTCGCCCATGTTGATGGGGGAGGGCGGGTGGAAGGACATGTACGAGCAGCACTCCGGGTTGATCCAGGTGAACTGCGGGAGGGTGCCGGCTTCGGCGTCCCGGAAGAACTGGTCCAGCTTCTTGACATTGGTCTTGTCCTTGCCGGAGCGGGCGGTCCACTCATAGAACTGGGAATCGGGCAGGAAGCCAGAGTCCGTGGTGTTCTGGTAGTTGATCCAGCTGACGTTGGCGGCGGACAGCTGCTCGAAGATGGAGACCTGGGGTAGCGACGAGGTGAGGAAGTCGTCGTCGTTCGTGCCGTGGCCGTGCGAGGTGCCGGAGGTCAGATAGGCACGGTTGGGGTTGGTGGGCCCCGGCACGGAGGCGAACCAGCGGTCGAAGAGTACAAAGTTCTCGGCGATGGCGTTGAACACGGGCACGGTCTGGGGGGTGTAGTAATTGATGACCTCGGCGGCGCGGGACAGGTCAGCGTGCAGGCCATACGAGACGATCTGCTCGGTGACGAAGCCTTGCATGTCGGGTACATCGTTCTTGTAGTTGGGATGGTAGGTGCTGTAGACCTGCTGGTTGCCGCCGCTAATACTGTGATCGGGATCGTCGGGGGCGACGTTCTTGGCGATGGGCTGTGCGCACACCTTCTCCGACGTGGGATCCGACACGTTGGCGGGATTGCAGTAACCCGTCTTGACCAGCCCGTCGATGTCCGGGTTGTAGGTCAGGCCACCGGCGAAGACGTCAAAGGACAGGTTCTCCTGCACCAGCACGACGACATTCTTGATGGGGTTCTCGGCGGTCTTCGCGGGCCCGTGGGGCAGGCCGGAGATGCCCACCCCGAGAGAGAAGAAGGTGACGAGGGAGAGGATGCTCATGACGAGCAGGAGGAGAGTGATGCAGATGGATTTGCGCCAGGAAATAGTCGAGGATGATCGAGGCTCCCAGAAGGCGGTCTTTATATCGTGGCCAACGTGGGAAGTGACCGGATCATCTGGCGGCCGATACTCAAGCATCGGCCGCTTCTCCGGGTCCTCTGTCCCACGTGTAGCTGCCGAGTGATTCCATTGCATGGTTGGAAGAGGAAGGAGCTATTGACGGGAGATATGGGTGGATTTGTGCAAGGACGGGGGAGGAAGGGGGTTGGTTACTTGCAAGAGTATCACAAAATGGACGTTGCGGACGAAAGGCGGAGAAGGCGGGTCCCCCTGGCAGCCTCAGGCTCCCCAGTGACCTGCCCGCATGCCCGCCAGCCGCGCCCTGATTGGCTGTGGTCCTCGGCTTCTCAGCAGTTTGGGGCACTAACGGCGCTAGTCCTCATGGGGACTAGTCTGTGTCAAGCAAAGCAGTGCCATTGGTTACTCTGCGAAGATCTGCAGGATGGCCCACCCCGATTTGGCATGCGGCGTCCTTCTGCACGGTGATTCGCAGCCTTAAGGCCGATTGCTCATCACTTTATTCAGTCGCAATTAAGAGTCCAGGCAATTAAGGCCCTCTCCCGCACGGCATCAACTCAGCCGAGCCTGTCTCCCGGGCACGTGGCCGAGAACATGCCATATGCCCCGACCGTTATTGGCCCACGCCTTATCAACCGTCAACACCACACGGTGCAGGGACATGACTTTGGGCGAGTGCCCCTCCATGGCTCCGTGGTCGGGGATCCGATCAGGCTCGCTTCTGCTGTCGGAGTACCCCTGTATCCCCTGGACTCACCGGCGTAACCTCTGCAGGTTTGTTTTTTTCTTTCTTGTTTCTTGATTCCACCAAGTGGCTGGCCAGTTCTTCGCCATCTTCCAGCCACCCATCGGTATGCAGGAGAAATGAAAATGTAACCGAATGTGCTGGCCTCTAGATCGCGCGGTGCGATCGAGTCGCGGTTCGTGCAGATTCTTGGTGACTTGTGTCACTTAGTTTATTCCGAAATGTAACACATGTCAATATCTGAGAACCATTGTCACCCGATCAGACGCAAAGGATCGAATGGCCTGTCAATCTTGCGTATGACACGATGGCGGGGAAGCTGGGTTTCGAATTGTCGGGCATGATTGTACCATCAGAACCCGTTTCCAGCTTTTCCCTTTCACAGAGTTGGACTGTGCTGTCGCGGGCATATCCCTCGTTGGAGAATCTCGTCTGACGTCGTCGGGAAGTTTTTTTTCTCCGCTGTCTGTCCTGTCCAAAAGTACCATATCATGTAAATACATCCTGTCATGGAACTATTGAAAACATCCAACTCATTAGAACTTGTAGCTGTACGGCGTGTCCACATCTTGTATCCTAACAGGAGAAAACAAAGATACGACATGTTTGGGATCGCGAGCTGGTCCTCAATCTGTTGAACATGACCTTCGACTCATCGAGGTCAGGACGTTCTAGGCGGGATGACGGTCCTCATCTGAAAAGCAACTAGGAAGGCCGCGGGCTCACAGAGAAGGTACGCTGCCTAGCGGTACTTCACATGAAAGACACTAATAATCATGTTCAAGACAAGGCCATGAATCAAGCCGAGTAAGTGCTCATGTGTACTCTGTAGACCGTGTAGGTTGCTAATGGGATGGATAAGTCATGTTCCCACGATCCTTGTAAAAGGACACCAGAATGGTATCTTCGTTGGTCCCCCCTAGCTAACAGTGAAAAACAAGCCGAGGACGTGGAATCAAGTGTATTGCCGCACCAAAGCCCAATAACATGACTCCTTTGTCACTAAGCCAACAGAACCAAAAGATAGTGAGTAACATCCGGCCTCTGATTCTATATACGGCATTAGTTGTCCAACAAATCATCTGTCCCAAGACACGGCAGGGACATCCTCCATCCTTTGGAAACACTCCTTCACCCACTTACACCCAACAAATCCAGACATGCTACCGAATGACAACCAATCAAGACCAAGATACACATCCCTCACAGGCTCCTGGAACAGTTCCAGAGCTTGCACTAGATGACTAATGATGTCATGAATCCTGCATCCTACCCCTGCCATGAAACTCAGCCCAGGACCAGAGATCCGCGGCCAATTAATGCAGCGGTCAATTTAAAGTGTTGGATCCAGGCTTTAACATGATGACGAATGTGTCGGACTTGGGCGTATCGGGTTGGGGCCAAACTAAGAGGCTCTTCGTTTCGGCCCCAATTGTGGGACTAAGGCTTGGTAGGGATTTTACGGATAGATCGAGAGTGAAGCTAACAACAGTAGATACTTACGAGAAGATGGAGAACTTCTGCGGTGACGGCACCCTGTGGTTCTTCTATGACTGGGACAACGGCGAGAGTGAAATCAAGGACTCCCAGAAGAACTGGTTGTATTATGAGGATGGAAAGGGCCAGCAGCAGACTTGGAGTCTCAACCCCCCAGACGCACAACGCTAAGGGATACGTTGGCAATGCACAGCTGAAGGGAGAGAGCTTTGAGACTGTTTAGGTGGGATCTACTATGGCTGGAATCTTGAATTTACTGGCTCGGGATAGATGACAAGATACAATCGAGCTCTCATTTAATCATGGACAACATATTATTTATTTCTCAGACTTCAAGCATTTTCTTGGTTTATCCAGGAGCTATAGGGGTTGGCCTCGGTTTTCTGGGGGAATAGAAGTCACACTCTGATGTGATTAAGCGAGACCTCTGCATCTGCGATACCCAATGTAGGTTTTGATCGGTTGATTCTTTATAAGGAGACGGTTCAATGGCGGGTGGCCGATCCAACGTCAAAATTGAAAACATGCTTGTGCCAGTAAATGGACCATTGCCACAGGTATTGGTCTAACTACCGTTCGCTGTTCCGACTCTAAAAAGTTGGAACCACGTCGAATATCAACCTCTTCTAGACTGGTAAACCATAGCTAACAATATCCCTGCAGTTCGTCAAAAGACATGCCTTCGTACATACAAAAAGAACACGAATTTCCGAAGCCTGCAGCTGCCGACGCGCGAAAAATGGAAAAAAATTGGTTCACGTAACAAGGCCGTGGAAAGCGCCAACAAAGCGACTAGAGCACGGATTCCGAGCCAGCGATGACCTTATTGTAAAGCTTCGAGACTAAGGGCCCCCATTCATCCAACGGCCAATCCAGCAGATCCTTGTTGATCAGGTTTGGGCTGGCGAAGTAGGTCTCCTCTATCCTGACTAGACATGCGCGTGCTTCCTTCGAATAAATAAGCTTCGGGGTGACCTTGAATTTCGGTGCGAGGCTTCCGCTGCGGTCATCCCAGTCTGCACGCAGTACTTCAACCAACTTCGCGAAGGAGACGCCCCAGGGAAATTTGGTTTGATCAAAATCCACTCGGATCATGTTGCCAAGCGATCTATTCCCATCGGCGTGCAACCAGCCCTTAGTGTGCAACTCGTCGGCATTGAGTATGTTGAGCTTCTTGCAGAACTTTGACACAGTGAGGTCCTTCGATTTACCGAGAAATTCGCGGGTGGCGGCATCATTTCGCAGCTAGTGTTGGTGACGCTCAATGCACCATAACACAAAGTTTTCGAGGCAGTCGTCAGGCACGGTGCTGAGGGATAAATCCTCCTCTTCTTTAAGAGAGGCAGATGGGGAAGGGGGAGAAGGGCATCCAAGTTTCATCATTAGCTCAGAGGACGTGGGACCAGAAGACTGAGAGGCACAGTTTGTTACGTTCTTTGGCTTGGTCTTTGGCACGCATTTCCTCATTCTTGGACTCTTCTTCGATCTTCTTGTTCAGACCACTGATGCGCTCTTGATAGAGAGCTGATGCTTGCTAGCCCAGGTGTCACCAAATGAAGCATCTCGAACGTGGTGCTGCGAGAAAAACAGGCTGGGCTCGGTGTCGCCGTCCCAGAGTGTGCCCGCAAACCAGATGTCAGGAGTGTCGGGGTCGAATTCGTCATACCATTTGCGCAAATCTCAAGTATATCGCCCGGAAGTGCCTTGCGAAAGATAGCAGAGTTGCCTGCTTCCCATTCCTTTTCAATACATTCCTTCTCCCACGCGGCACGAGCTTCTCTCCATTTCGCCATTTCCTCGCCATACGCGACGAGGGCATCGTTGAGAGAAGAAAGGTCTTGGACTTATAGTCTTCATCCAGACAGAAACTTTCCGAGGCAATAGTTGCGCCTCCGCTGTCTATGAACCTGTGATATGGAGCCTGGAGACGTGGCGACAGAGAGACCCTCGTGTATGCTTGACGTACTAAGGCGAGTACGTTGTCCTTGCCCCTAGTAGTGATTTCCTTATGCTCAAGGTCAAACGTCATTCCAACCGGGGTTTGTGGCATAGCCGGTTTATTCCACTTAGGCATATCGGGTGGCGCGCTCCTCATGGCTTGAAATTTCTTGGTCTTCCCGTCGATGTCAATCCAGAATTGGCGCCGGACGAATAAAAAAACCAACAGAGGTGCATTTCCCTTGTATGTTGGTCGTGGAGTAACGGCCTCGTTTTCGCTGTCATCCTCAAACCTGGGCCTCTTTGAACCGGCAGTTGTCCCAGCACCGCGCCCTCGACCGTGTCCCCGACCACGTCCTCGGCCGCGGGTTGAGCCACGCCTACCGGCCATAGCGACAGGCGGAAGTGGGATAAGAAATGAGGAAAGAGGCAAGGAAAAAAGTAGGGGTGAGACAGGTAGTATGGTGGAGAAGTAGGAGGTGAGAGAGGCCAGGGGAGCGAGAGAGATAAAGATAGTGGATTGTAGTGGGAAGGCGGAGAAATCGTGTGGTAGTGAATAGAATGTGAACAGTATGAGTTAAGTCAAAGTTGGAAGGTAGAACACAGTGGAACCGGTGTCCAGTTGTAAATAAGTGATTGACAGGGATAAGAGTTGTGCTAGCTGTGCTGTCACTTATGTAGTCAACCTAGGCCAATTGTTCTATATTCCTTGATCCCCAAATCATCTCTGCAGCTTCTTGTTGTATGGCTCTTGGTTGAATATGAGGAATTTCACTACGCACTGAGCCTCTGAACACCTAGGCTTTTAACCAATATAAGCTTCCTTTCCCACTTAAATAAGATGCTCTTAAACTTATAGGATCTGTGTCGTTTTGTTGTTTGTTCTCCATATGGACAGGTCCTGGCTTGTCAAAAGATCTTCCAAGGTTCTGGGACTAATTGAAGCAGAGCTCAGACTACCACATTAGACTGCTGTAAAGAAGATATTTTATAACGACAAGCTGCAACCCATGTGGCCGTCTGTCAGCCATGGAAAAGTGACCCACAATGGGTTTTGAGGGGGCTAATGACAATATACCCTTAAATGATTGATCACTTCCACAGTTTTCCAAGGTCTCCGCAAGGAGGAAAAATCAATAACAAAACTTCAATCCGTATACTTGCGAGGTGAGCAATAATTCTTCGCCTAGTTCATGGCTCTCTAATAGCAGTGTGACCACACCTTTCCGTTGCGTCATAGATTCCAGATCTAGGGAGCTACATATAATGCGATGATAAATTTTTAGCTTTCGTGTTATCGGAATGCACATATGCTCCCCGATAGGCTAGCCGATACGTAGCGTGTTTCAATTAATAGAAGGTCTCGAAGACCGCTGCCACGGCCAATCTAGCTGCGCGAGCACCAAACTACATACATTGGGATGCTGAGGCTAATAACTGAAGGAAGGAAGGTTGGACCAACCGGCGGTAGTGAAACTCGTAAGAGTGAAAGTGATGCATCGCTGTCGAGCTTTCTTTTGATGGTTGAGCAAACGAGATGTGAAAGGTTATGTTGGACATTCGTGAGAAGGGGATACGTTAAGTCGACGAATGCTCAATCAGCACGACTTAGTTAGACAGACATTGTTCAAGCTCGCGGATGGTCCTCTCAACCTTTTTTCTATGGTCTTTTCTGCGTCCCTCAGGACCTGGAAGGTCTCATGGAGGATGTCTTCGACGGTAAGAAGGGCAGCTTTGGAGATGCCTACTCAGAAGACCACCATTCCCGGACTTGAGTTGCGTTTTTGTAGGCATGAAGAATGACGAGAAGAAGTGATGGGAAGTAAGAGGAATCGCGAGGATTGATGAGGAACGGAACGATGCTCTAATACAAAAGATGTAATGATCAAAGTAACCAATCTCGGTATGAGATAGATTTGTGGCCTAGTCTCAGTGGCTTTCCACAGTTGACGCAAGAAAATCCGGCCATTGCTTATGTGTTACTAGGAACAGCAACAGTATTCGAAGCCAGACAAATTCTAGGGGAAACTAAACGAGTCTTTGATGGTAATCTGCTAAACTGTAGAACTTCTTACTTTTGCAAATGGCGTGGTCAATTCGTCATGTAGACGTCGAAAGAAATTGCTTCTCAGCAGGCGAACGATCAGCGATTATTCGCCAGTGGCTCTGTAAGTGTAAAGATATTGAGCAATTAATAGGCAAATAACTACTGTTTGGGCGACGAGTAATGAAAAACGGTGGAAGATGGAGGGCGAGTTATCCATGTACAGGCCCGATGTGCGGGAAGTGAAACACCATGATTTTACCGAGATAGACATTATGTATGAGAGTAACAGCTTCAAATAGAATACTAATATTAATCCTAGGTCTGCTATGATAATACAAGTTATTTCTACCCCTAAACTTCATGTCTTTCACCAAGCACATATCGACGATATTTGAAGGGCAAAACGTCATTCTCATCTTCACTTGAGCGTTACTCCGTATTGATATCCCCCACGAGCAACAACCGTTGTCCATTGTAGACATTATACCCCGTACTCGTACGTGCTGTTGATTTGGACCCCTTACTGACCCATATACTAGTTAACAGTGCAATCGCTTATTACTGACCCATAAAACCCGGTGGGCTTTGCCGTTCTACACAGTCCATCAGGAACTAGTAGCCACAACAAACAAACAACTCGACAAATCCAGAGTCCAGACTCCATGTTCCTAGTGGGTCTTTACCCCTGAGTGATCCCTGATCGACCTCCAAAAGATACGCATTTGCTGGTACCTGTTCATATTGATGGACGAAATGGAAACAGAGAATGCTCCCATCTGTCATAACTCATAATGATCACCACGCGACCGTTCATATCACGGCTCAACAAAGATATGCATTGCTGCATTTACACCAGGCTATGCTGGACTGCGCCCTCTCCATGAGTAGTCTCCGTAGCAATGAAGATCATCCTCGCGACGAATGCCCCGATCTTCCATACTGTCAAGTGTCAACCCTCCGGACGGCGGTTGTCTGTCGAGGACTGAAGTTGCAACCGAAAATTCATAATTCGGTGGCTATTTTTATCCCACATCCTCTAGCGGCTTGTCATCACTTACAATTTCGGATTCACGGAGGACAGGGCGTCTAATCGTGGCCCGTCGTTGGACCGACCCCAGTCAACGCCCCAATTCAACCGACAGTGTCAGCCACGGATGGAGCTTAACACTACGGCAGGGCGGCCTATTCTGTTAGAATCTGCATGGAGACGAAGTCCCTATGGGGCAGTGGCTATGCAATTCATTAACATCAGTTTATCCTATGGCTACAACTCTCTGAAGTGAGTCTCCTCCCCAAAGGCAGAACAAGGGGCGATCCAGGAGACACGACAATCCGACCGCATGACACTGAAAGTCGGCCCCCCTTGCTGGCGGTTATTGCAGTACTTATGAAACTCCATTAGGCAACAGCAAATGACAGCCAATAGTGCCACAAATAGTGGGGATATCAATATCGGTTGCCGGGTCTGACTGGCCTGCCCAAGTGGAGAACCAGCCTTAAGGGGCGACCCTAACTCGACTCCACAGGCAATAGTGCTAGGGATGAAGCCTTGGCGTCTCAAGCCCCGAAGGGTTTTTGAACTTTTGGATCGTTTCGCCCAGAAGGAATGCCATTCTGGAATCTGCCTCAGCCACATTGCCCAACGCGCTCCATGCTGGAGACACCTATGAGTTGTTTCTCTTGGCCTTGGCATTCCATTCCCTTGGCGGTTAGGCGCCACAGTTTTCAGATGGGTTGAAACCAATCGGCGGTGACACTGGGGGACGAGAGGAAACGAGCCACAGCCACCCTCTGCATGACAATCCAAACACAAACGCAAACATCCCCCTGTAGCCAAGCGTCCGTCGCACAAGTCGGTTCGGAAGGGGGTTGTCCAACCTATTAATCTTACTCCATCTCCAGATCCAATCGCTATGGCGGAGGTGGAGTCCTGTGCAGGAAGGCCAAGACACAGTCGGCGCCCTCGGGGGTCGATGTGTCCACCAGCAGGGCTGAGAAATGAGCATTCCCTTGAGAATTATTTCTTCTGCCTGGCTGGCTCCCCTTCTCCTTTATAACTCCTGTTTCCGCCGTTTCTGCTTTCCCTGGTTCGCAAGTCCTCCGTTCCCACCCATCCACCCGCACAATCAACATGTCGTATCAACAACCTCCCCAGGGCTAGTAAGTCACTCTTTTCACTCTGGCGGACTGCTAGCGTTCCAATTAGCTGACTGTTCCAAGCTACCCTCCGCCCGGCGGACAGTACGCTCCTCCCCCTCAGCCATACCCGATGCAACAGATGCCTCCCCCCCAGCAGGAGCCCCAGAAGGAACGCGGATGCTTGATGTCCTGCTTGATGATGGCCTGCTGTTGTTTCCTTTGTGAAGAGGCGTGCACAGGATGCTTAGAATGTTCGAAACCGCTTGCTTTGTTCATGAATCTGAAGCTAATCATCAACAGGTCTATGCTGCTGTTGCGACGACTGAACAATCCCACGTAACCCGGCGAATACAGCGATGGAAAGCGCAAAACCCTCTTGATTTAAACATCATCGAGGTACATAATACGAGACAAATGCGATATCTGTGAACCCGAGGTCTCATGGTGGCTGGAAGCAGCGTGGTTGGAGACCGCATGTTGGGAAGCAAGATATTCGGCCTCCCTTGATATATCTCCTTTGTATGGTACCGGACAGCGTTGGTTTGCGGCTTTTATGTCATGCCTGCATAGTGGATTATACCATGCTATCAGGTACTCTTTGGCTAATGAATTATTATATCCCATTCTTGTTGCTACAATACAATTGTTCGTTGATTTGATTACCCTTGTCTTGCAAATGTTATATTGGATTTTTAGTGTTCAATTTTATAGACAGTTATTATGCTACTTTCAGTCAATTGAATGATACAGTCTTTTGGCAGGAGGTTGTCAGACTTTTGTTGTGTTGTCGACATGAACGCGCAATCCTATCCCTGAGGTCGAAGGGTAGCAACACAACCCCCTCATAAAGCACACGAAGAGTAACCAATCAACCAAGCGTCAACCAGCAGATCGTCCCTGACAAACCGATCAGGAGTCATCGGTCACGCGATTATTGGAGGGAATTATTATCCCGAATTCATCACATTCCTCATGCAAAGCAATGTCCAAAATTATCGAACTATCCGCACCCGTAAGGTTCGGTCCAACATCTTTGTTCATGTGGTGTTATTTCATGTTTCCGAGAATAAACCAGGCCCATAAGCGGCGCCTATAACAGACCAAGGACGGTGCACTTGAATAAAGGGAATGCTGATAAACAATGCAGACCTGATGGAACTCGATAAGATCGTGGCGAATCGAGAAGTCTATAGTTTGCGAAACAAAGTGCCTTCATTAAGTCGCACTATGATCCTTTAGGGTTAAGCGCAAAATGCCATGAGAGCAGGGTTTGACCAGTGTTTCTTGATGTTTCTCAATATGCACGAGGGTGTGCTCGATTCTTATGAAAGCTAGCAACCTGCAATGGGGTTATCTGCTGCAGCGTTCTACTGTTGGCCAACTCCTCAGCTAGGCACAACCTCGGAATAAGGGACCGGATCAACTGCCAAGGTACGTATGTAAATTTCTACATATGCTCAGCAAGGTAAAAATGATGATCCTATTCAACTCTCGACGAACAGTCTGCAGCCGTCGCAACAGCAGCATAGACCTGTTAATTATTAGCTTCAGATTCTTGTACAGGTTCAACCCGGAAAACAGACCCAACCCAGCAAGACCAACAAAGTTGACTGTCCCCAGAACATCATTTATTTCGGGGTTTCAGCACGATGACCTGCCCTAGATGATCATTGACTATTTGCCCTTTCGCACCCGTCCAGGGTGTCCCTTGGCTTGGCTGCGTTGTTGTTTATGGCGTTCTTGACATAGAGAACATTCGTCGTAACGCTCATCAATCAAAAATGAGTCAACTTTGATAATTGTTAATTAATCTAACCAACTGTGAATAAGACATCAAAAGGAGAAGGTTGGAGGGATGGACATGAAATGTAAGACGTTGTACAGTACAGGCCCTGCTGTTGTAATGGATTGCAACCAGGGGAGCTCCCAATCGGCGATCTTGATCAGATGCCTACGTGCTAACCCTGTTAGCGACCAGGTGGGTACTACCAAACCCATAGAAGCGAATGTAAACTTGACTGAGATGGAAGTAGAGCCAGTGATGAAAATCATGATGATAGATGGTCCTATCTCGGATATAGACAGTCACCACGGATGACAACTTGATCAGCCCGCACAGGCGCGTCCCTACACCGAACATTTCTCTGCCTTCTCAGAATGACATCCCGATGATTAAGTTGATCGAAAATAATTTATGTATTGATCATGACTAACTTTTTTGGCCCGAAGGCACCGGCTCGCAATCACCACGGTAAACTTCCTTTTCCACTACATAAAGAAAAAAGACATCATCATTGAGGACCTGTTGAAACTGGTCAGTCGACACACCATCCCGAATATATTCGAGTCTAGTCCCAGTCCTGCACGTCAGCCATACCGGCATCGTGGGACATAGCCTCGTCTTCACTTAGGTCAATCTCGAAATCATCATCAAGCTCATTGGGTTGAGTCGCGCCGAAGATGGGGGAGGCGGCAACTGTGTCGGTCATCTTGGCATCCTGGTACATCCTCTTGCTAGGAGGCTCCTCGTCACTCCAAGTGTAATCATAGTCGTCATCTTCGCTGCCGACCTGGTTACTTTGACCCGCGCCGAAAATGGCAGGGGCGGGATGACGAGCAACCAGCTGAACAGCGGCGGGGAGGGGAGCAACCGGCTCAGCAACAGCGGACAGAGGAGGGCCGACATGAGGAGGGCCGCGCTTTCTCTTGGGCCACGGCGGGTGTTGAACAGGCTTCAAATGACCCTGAGTCTTCCATGGACACACCACGTCTTACCTCAAGCTGTCTAGCCGCAATGGCGGCCGCCTCAGCAATATTCTCGAAGGGCTTGTTTTTTGGGCACTGATCCTGCATGTGCCCACGCTTCCGGCAGCGGAAACAAGTGTGGTTGTCCTAGGATATATCGATTAGTAAACGTTCTATGAGCTAAAAGGCTTCTGCTTGCCTTGGTCATGTTGTCTACACAAATGGTCTTGAAAAGCGCAGAAAAGAGACGTGACAAGGCCAGGATAGAGACGTGACACTGGGGGAGATGAGCACGACTCAAGCAGGATCCAGACTGGTCTGGTGGGAGAGTCGAAGCCGAAGAAAGAAGGAAATCTCACCTGCCCATGGTTTAATCCTCACAACCATTTTTCTGACTCGCGTGATGCAGAGCGCAGAGACCAGGTCAGTAATCCCCAACAGACCTGCCCAGTCCGCTATATTTGCGTAGAAGAACACGGCTCGTATATATGTGAGGTAAGAGGAAAGAAAGATATGTGGGAGACAGCAGGGGAAAGAGGTATATCAAGGGAAAGGTTTGGACCCGCCGTGGTGGATCGTGTGTGGGTGAATTAACGCGGGCCTCAGGTAGGGAAAATAATGAATGCAAGTTAGAAACGTTGCCTTCGGCAGATAGTAGGTGAATCCGGGGTACTTCATTACGGGAGTCCTAGAAATCGATGGATTTGGTGGAAAATTAAATTATTAAATAATTTGTATGAAGTTAAATCAACATGCCTGATTGTCATTTCTAAACCGACTAGCTAGCTAGAGCTTCGACTCTCCCAGCCTCTTCTCCTGCGTCTTGTATATCTTCACGAGCTGCCGAATCCCCAGGTCTAGGAGTACGTCCTCCGAGCCGCCGGGGATCCTGGCACCCGGTACATCCCGTAGTATAGCCTCGACTAGCTCCCCTTGTCCCGAAGCCGTCAGGCCCGATCCACCGAAGAGCAAGACAGCACACTGGGCGCACTCGTTCAGAACCATGCCCGCCTTTGCTTTAGCCATTGCGGTGACTCCGCCCAGCTGGAGATCCGCTTCGGCTTTGCTGAGATGACAGAGCTGGTAGAGCAGCTGTTCGACGAACGCCGACAGGGTCTCGAGCTCGGCGCCAGCCTTGGCGAGTCGGTGGCGCACGACGGGCTGGTCCATGAGGGGTTTCCCGAAGGCCTGTCTCTTCATCACGTAGGAGAATGCGGTGGAGAGGGCGACGCGAGCCTGACGGGTGACGCCGATGCTGATCAGGAGACGCTCATGGTTGAAATTGGTCATGATGATGCGCATGCCCTCGCCTTCGCGACCGACGAGATTGCCCACCGGCACCTTGACGTCGTCCAGCTCGATGTAGGTGGTTCCGCCCGTGGCCTGTCCGGAAACTTTCAATCGACGCAACGTGACGCCGGGGTGGCCTTTCAGGGGGACGAGGATGACGGAAAGACCGCCAGGACCGGGCCCGCCCGTACGAACCGCCATCGTGGCTATGTCCGACCATATCCCGTTCGTGATCCATTTCTTCGCCCCGTTGATTATGTAGTGCTGTCCATCCTCGGATTTCACGGCCGTCGTGGTGATGCCCGCGACGTCGCTGCCGGCGTCGGGTTCGGTGATGGCGATGCAGGCTCGCTTTCGTCCCAGCAGGAGATCGGGAAGGACGCGCTCTTGAAGCTCCCGACTAGCGAATTTGATGACCGGGGGGATGCCGAACGCGAAGCCGGCGTTGATCCCGCCACCGGTGCTGAGACCTGAGCGACCGAGCTTGCAGCGGTTAGCTAGATTCAATGGGAGACGGTCGGTGGCTCACTTCATCCGCGTAAATTCCGGCGTGGATATAATCCCATTCTTCGACCTTGACGCCTACCCGGGTCAGCTTCGGCCCCTTGCTTCGGCGGGTAGGGGGGGGGGGGGGATACCCAAAATATCGTGAACGTCCAGTCGCTTCAGCCAGTCGACCGGCAAGGGAGCGGGGAGATTGGGAAGGAGCATGTTATGCTCGTTGAACTTCTGGAAAACACTGGCCGGGACCTCACCGGCCGTCTCGAATTCCATGGCGCGCGACAGCAGGTTCTCGAACAGGAACTGGCGACATCGTTTTTGGAATTGACGGTGGCTTTCTGTGTAGTAGGGGGAGGGGAGTCCGCGCAGGTACGGCGGTTCCGAGAACGGCACGGGATTGGGGGATACTGTGGCCATGGCGAAGGAGTTGGAGAGGAGTGAGGGAGGTGGGGATAGAGCAGCAGCATGGAATATTTATCTTTCTGGGGCCCCGCATTGATCCAGACGGTCCCGGTCCGAGGCTCGGTGCGCGGAGGATCGACGCGTGATCCCGCTGCCATGGGTTCTTCACGTGTCGTAGGCTTTTTCTGACGAGCAAGAGTGAGAGGTTTTCAATCAATATAGTGATAAACAAATGAACAAAGAAAGAGAGAACAAAAAGAAGGGGAGATGAGAACCCGAAATAGGCATAGCAAAAGTTTGTCGGTTGGGTACAAGCACAGACAAGCTGGTGATATATAACCTCGAACTGAGAGGACAATCTCTGGCAAACCATCCATTTGCATAAATCTTCCACAATTGGTCTTACGTCGGTCGTTTGAACTCCAAGCGATAGAGTCATTTCGTAATACTTGATTTATAGTCATCAAAAAGGCCAGTATACTCTGCTATGCATTGCAATGCCGATCAAAGTACCAGGAATAATCATGGCTGCGATGCGATCCTCTGTAAGAAAGGGCTGCACTTATAGTGCCTAAATAGCTTTACGAAGTGTGATCTTGTAGCTCGATGGTCGAGTGCTCAGTGCCATTCCCATCTTTACATTGAAGTGTATGCGCGTTCGAGTCGCGCATGGTCTTTTTAATCCCTTTATTTCTATTTTTGTTTCTTTTTTCTGTTTCCCCCACCCTTTCTCTGCTGCCATTCTCTTTACTCCCTTGCCCGGTTTCTTTGTTCCCAAAGAATCCAAACAGCAACAAAATACCCCGTTCCCCCGGCCGCTACCATGGATCCCTGGCCAACAACTACCAACTACCGATGACGGGCCTCGGCCCAGCGGTGATGTGGGGTCAGAACTACAAGAACAGCGTCGTACCACCTCCTCTATCTTACACCTTACGCCTTCCTCCCTCCATAACATCTCGACCCCCTCGCAATGAAAGACACCATGCAAGCCGTCGTTTTCAAGGGACCCTTGGAGGTCGCCCTGGAATCGCGTCCCATACCCCAGATCGAGTCGACCGACGCTCTAGTCGCCGTTCGCTATACGGCCCTATGCGGAAGGTAGGTTACCCCAATCTCCTCAGGTTACCTCGCAATCGCTCGTACGACAACTGACCCCACCCAGCGAACTGCACGTCTTCCGCGGACACCAAAAATCCGCGACCGGGTTCATAATGGGCCACGAGTTCACCGGCGAGATCGTCCATGTCGGTGCGGACGTCCAGAAATTCAAAAAAGGAGATCGCGTCGTCTCGCCCTTCACAATCAGCTGTGGCGAGTGCTTCTACTGCAAACGTGGGTTCTCGTCACGATGCGCTAAGGGTAGACTCTTCGGAAGCGTGCTGTTGGATGGAGCCCAGGCGGACTACGTGCGGGTTCCCCTGGCCGATGCGACGCTGGTGGCCGCCCCGGACGCTATCGACGAGACGAAACTGATCATGATGGCCGACATCTTTCCGACGGGATATTTCGCCGCGAAGAACGCTTTTCAGGCCCTGGGACAGACGGATATCCGGGAAAGCACCGTGCTCCTGTTCGGCAGCGGACCGGTGGGCATCTGTGCACTGATCAGCGCTCTGGAATGGAAGCCAAAGCATCTGATCGCCGTCGACAGCGTCCCGTCCCGGCTGGAGCTGGCTGAACGCCTCGGGGCCGAGCCGTGGAATTTCCAGACACATGCCGATGGACTGCGCCAGCGCGTTATGGATCTGACGGAGGGACGGGGAGCAGATGTGGCTATTGAGGTGGTGGGATTGAGTGCGGCGCTGAAGTCGGCGTTCGATCTACTTCGTCCGTGGGGCACCATATCCAGCGTGGGAGTGCATAACGACTCGATTCCGTGGACGGGAAATGAGGCGTATGGCAAGAACCTGAAACTGCAAATGGGCCGATGCCCGGTTAGAAGTAAGCCGAACGCTCCCGGAGTGGCCAGAGGGCTTGACGCGGCTGACATTGGCTAGGCATCTTTGAGGAGGCGTTGGAGCTGTTGGCCCGAAAGCAGGATGCCCTTGACTGGGCCTCATTCGATATCCGTCCGCTCTCGCAGGCGGTGCAGGGGTGAGTTCCGAGTAACCTGGAGTTGCCCAGAGAGTATCGCGCTGACATGCTCAGGTACGAGGATTTCAACCAAATGAAATCCCAAAAGATCATCTTCGAGGCGGGGAAATGATGTACATAGCTTACGAGATCTAGCCAGATTCATGAATAATGCGATTGTTTGAAATCTTTGAGCAAAGGGTGCATCGACTGACTCGTTAAGCACCAACAAACCCCCAACGACCTTGCGTATTTTCTCCAGCCTAGTTTTTCGTTGGGATGATCTAATTTGGGAGAGCCGACTATCAGTCACATGGGCTGGAGGTGCCTGGCAGTGAGCGAGTGACGAGCGCGACTCGTAGTTCATAAGATGGCAGGCAGACAAGGAGAAAGACCGCAATATTTGATAAACTGACATGATTTAGTTCAGAACCCTCACTGTTTCCCGAGTGGCATTCGAATGCAATCAACTCCTTGATCGAAGTGAATAGATGTGGCAACAAAGGTTGGATGGCCAAGAAAAGCAAGACTGTGAATTCACATCAATGCATGTTTGTTGGTTGCCTGGGACACGCTTACCACGCTAGAGGAGATCTTCTCTATGTCCTAAGGCTGGATAGCGGTGCTCTCGCCTGATGCTCCATTAACCAGCAACTTGATATCCAATAACAAACCAAGATTTAGCCATGGTTTTAAGGTTGCATGAACGGCAACTTCCGCAGAAGACAGACCAGAAACAAGGCCATGCATTCTTGCATGCCTACTTCACGACAAGTCCCGATGCCTTCCCCAAAAGATACCATTATCTGTTGAGAAGTCACAGCAGAACCTCATTTACAAATAGTATAAAAGGCCTTTGTTATAAAAGGATGCTACCCGCTCAAAACTCGATATCTCCAACCCGAATTCCCCAACCTCAAAACAGAAAGTGAGTGAGACTTCTTGAGCACCCTGTCCCCGTTTGTGTGCAATGACTTCTTCTCAAAAAAATTCCAAGGGGTCTCGACGCAGCCAGCGGGTGCTCGATAGGGAGATGGCCAAGATGAGAGAAAATCGGGAGAAGCGCAAACAGCCGGACTTGGCGATGCAGGGCCGTGAACCTAAAATGTCGATCCTGATGCTCCCTAACGAAATACTTCTTTTAATCGCGAAATTCATGGATGTATCAAGTTTGGCGGCAACGGTTCGAGCTGCCCGATTCATGAATGACTTGCTGGACAAGGAGCTGTACAACAGGGCGGTTAGTTTCGTCCCCAGACGCGTTGGCTCGGTGGTGGAATGGGCGGCCAAGCAAGGTCGGCCAGAGACTATCAGAAAGGTCTGTGAGAAGATGCCGGCAAACACAGACTGGGATATTGTGATCGTAAAAGGGATCGCCCAGGCGATCTTTGCCAATCAGGTGACAACCCTGGATTTCCTGTGCTCCGACAAATTCAAACCGAGTCGGGCAGGTCAATGCATCCGGGATCCTCCTTCTTCTCTCGACTCTCTGGACGCGGTTATGTTTCCCGGCAATCCCGTGGACGTTGCCGCGTATATCGGAAGCGTGGGTGTGCTGCGATACCTCCGGGAGAAGGGGGTGCCGTTCGGAACGCCTGGATTTTACTACTCCGCGTTCATGTTCGAAGGGGGGAATGGATGGAGGTTGGGTGACACGCAAGTGGCCGAAGAGCTGGTCCGCCTCGGGTTCAATTCAAAGCTAGAGACATTACGCGGCACTTGCAACCAATCGCTGCTGCACGATGTGGCAACACGCGGGAGTACGGCACACGTGGATCTGCTGGCGAGGGCGGTGCCCGAGCTTCTGAATCTCCCGGATGTGGACGGGAGAACGCCGTTGATGTACGCCATCGCCTCCATGCAGATGCACTGCGCGAGACACATGGTGACCGTTACCGGGGCGGACGTGAACTTGGGGAATTCCAACGGGGTCACGGCGCTGCACATGGCCGTCTGCGGAGATGACACCCGCCTGGTCGAGGCCTTGATCAGCCGCGGAGCGGACGTTAACGCGCGGACCTTGACCCGGTTGACACCTTTGCATATGGTGACCGATACCAGCGATGGAAAGATCAAAAATCCTCAGATGGTGGAGATCCTCCTCAGTCGAGGGGCATTTTGCTCCCCCCGGGACAAAAAGGGCAACACGCCACTGAGCAATGCGCTGGCGGCGCAGAATATCCGGCATGTTGAGTGGCTGATGAGATGTGCTAAGCATCACGCGTACGAGTTTCAGGACACTCAACAGCTGTTGGATGCCTGTCGCGTGGGCAGCTTGCAGATCGTCCAGATCTACGCGCAGCGCGAGGGATTCAACATCGAAGAACACGAAGATCATTGGCATAGGTCGGCATTGCACCTAGCGGCAATCGGCGGATATGTCAAGATCCTGAGCTTCCTGTTGCCAAAGTGGAAGAACGTCGATCACCGTGACGTGGGCGGCCGAACGGCGCTGTGGTATGCCTGTTGCAAGATCAAGTCGGCCTGCGCATACAAACTGGTCCGCGCCGGGGCGTCGCTGGACTCGGCTGATGAGTCTGGCCGGACCCCATTGATGAATTTCACCAAGCACGTTCGAAGTGAGCCGACGATGGCATACTTTCTGAAATCATCGGAGAAGCTCGAAGCAGTCGACATGATGGGGCGCACGCTTTTGCATCACGCCGCTCGCTACGGAAACGTGTCGGCCACGCGGTCGATCGTGCGGTATCGAAGGAAGCTGGCGGGCCAATTTGCCATGATGGGGCAGTCCGCCCTGCTAATCGCTCTCAAGTACCATCGCCGCCGCGTAGCGCGGTTCCTGCGGCGGGTGATCTTGCTGAGGCGAAAGGACTACAGCTGGCTCGCGATGAATGGATTCCACAAGGAGGTCACGTGGATCGGGCAGGGGCGAGGATGGGCCCGCACGCGTAAACATTGGACTGACAGGCGGGAGGAACTTGAGAGTCTGAAAGTCGGAAGTCGAAAGTTAGGAAGAAGGTGAAGTGTGAAAGTCGACAGTAGTGTCTCAGTAAAGATAATCAGCAATGCAAATCACTATTTGATTGTCATTGTTTTATTAAACAGTAATTTTCCGTAATTTTCAATCTGATGGGGTGATAGCTCAGTTGGGAGAGCGCACGACTGAAGATTCACTCAGTCTGACAGTCAGTTTCACTGGCAATCGTGAGGTCACCGGTTCAATCCCGGTTCATCCCATTCTTCTTTTTGTTTCCTTTTTTTCCCTTCTATCTCCCTCCCGTTATCGTCTCTTTCTCTTTCTTTCTTTTTCTTTTTTTCTTTTTTTCTTTCTTTCTTTCTTTTTTTTTAATAAAATACTCTTAAACATTTGCATACTCCGTATATATTTTGTTTCAATCTAAAGACAATTTGCTAGCCGTGATACGGACCCCTTCAAGAGAGATTGATTGATATTCTCTCGGAGTACTCTGTAGTACTCTCTCCTCTCTACATTCATTCCTCCACCCGCCATTCCGCCCGTAATCTTCACCTCTACACATTCCTTCTGGATCAAAAAGAAGGGTTCATGTGGGGCACCGGCCAGATCGACCAACCCTTGTCAGAGCCTGCGAGGCCAGATGCCAGATGGACACCCGCGATGATGCACTTGCTGGAGACCGTCCCGGGGAAGTTGGGGTCTTTCAACATAGATCCACTCGTCCGTCCCCTGTCGCTCGCAGATACTATGGAGTATTACAATCTACGGAGTGCGCAGACACGATTTAGACGCTCATGTGTCCCTGGCAAGGATGGAGGTTTGCGACCGAGTGCTGCCGTCATCGACAATCGACGATCCGTGGGCCTCCGTCGTTGCAGCGAAGGGCACGGATTACCTAGCCTTGACTGGCATCATCCCTCCTCGTGGAAAAGGGGTAGGGACTCTCCTTGTCTCTATGACCGACAGTCATGTCATCCATTTGAATATTCCCCATGGATTGAACTGCGTGAAAAAGTGATGAGTCAGCCACCCTCTGGAAAAAAGACTCTCGACCCGTCCGCCGTCCTTGTCTCTCATCCATTCATTGTCCATCTTTGTTCGCCCGATCCACCGTGGCTTGCACAGCCTTCGCAGTCGAAAGCTTGCCATGTCGACAGAATACGGAGGATTCTGCATCTGTCTGCGGTCTGCAGTCTCAACCATGCGCAAGACCAGTCCCCCGATATGACGTCGCCTAATGCCCGCCCGCGCATCTTCCTTTTCCCTCAGGCGCACCAAAAAAGTCTTATTTCCAGTGGACTCTCCTGGGCAAAGCTTAGTTTCAAAAGCCAAGATGGCCACGGCCCCACGATGGGATCCACTGCATACGTAAAGACGGAGGGTTCCTGAGAAATTACGCCCGCTGGAGGGCGAACATTGGTCAGACACCATTGCCAGTCTCCACCATGTGTGGTGGTGCGCTTTGGTCCGACACGCAACCACTTGCGAGGTTTCTTTTTTCTCTTTCGCTCTGGCGTTTCTCCTGCCGCGGTCTGCTAATACGAGTCCACGAGGCCCCGTTATTGGACTCGTCAGTCGTCTCTAATAATAAAAAACACCGTAAAGTCCGGAACACCCACAGCTCGTCCACCGTGTACTCCGTACGCTAGTGTGGGCGCTTGTCTCTCAGTCTGTCGTGGTTTCTGGGTCCCTTTGCTGCATTTCCAGCTGCCTTTTGTCTCTTTCTCTCTCGGTCTCTTAATCCATCTCTCTCCACCCTCCTCTTTCTCCTCCATTCTTTCTCCCCTTCGCCAAATCTTGATCGCGCCACCCATTCCACCCAACCTGCCAGGATGGCTCGATTCTGGTTCCATTGGGGACTCCTCCTGGTAGCCTTTAATATCGCGCAGGTGGTACGAACGCTCGAAATCCAACTGAATGATGACGGTACGTCGCTCAGGGGTTCTCTCCCTCGCCACGCGATCCCGATAGCTAACGCGCCTCCCGCCTATAGACTCCCTAAAAGATGCCGCCAGCAAGACGGCCAAAGGATCGATGACATGGTACGGCGGCGACAAGCCTGGCGGAAACCCCGGAGCGTTCCCGACGAAGTGGTGGGAGGGTAGTGCCCTGTTTCTGAGCTTGCTGCTCTACCAACACTACACCGGTGATACGACCTACAACGATGCGGTGGCCCAGGGAATGGAGCACCAGGCCGGAGATGGAGACTACATGCCGTCCAACTACAGTTCTTATCTGGTAGGCGAAGGCAGATGTTGCTATTCTGCAAGAGAGAGCTTTTGTGACTGACCGGCTTCAGGGTAACGATGATCAAATGTTCTGGGGCGTTGCCGCCATGACCGCCGCCGAGATCAAGTTTGCCGACGTCGACGACGGATATTCCTGGCTGTCCCTGGCGCAGGGAGTCTTCAACACGCAGATCGAACGATGGGACGCGACCAACTGTGGCGGTGGACTTCGGTGGCAGATCTTCCCCTACCAGGCCGGATACGCGATGAAGAACTCCATCTCCAACGGAGGTCTGTTCCAGCTGGCGGCCCGCCTGGCGCGGTACACGGACAATTCAACTTACTCGGACTGGGCGGAGAAGGTCTGGGACTGGAGTGTTAGCTCGCCGCTGGTGAACAACAAGACGTGGAACGTGGCCGACTCGACGGATATCGACAACGGGTGCAAGACTCAGGGCAACAACCAATGGTCCTACAACTACGGCGCCTACATGATGGGCGCCGCCTACATGTACAATCACGTACGTTTGAGCCTTGATCCAAACTCCCCTCCACTCCTTCAAACAAGAATACTGACCCCCAGGCAAGACCGAAGATTCCAAGTGGAAAGACGTCGTCGACGGCCTTCTCGGTGTGACGCTGAAGACCTTCTTCCCCCAGAAGTACAACGGCGTCATGTCGGAAACGCTATGCGAACCTAACGAGGTCTGCAACGACAACGAAATCCTATTCAAGGGCCTGGTCGTGCACTGGCTGGCCTTCATCAGTGTCATCGTCCCCTCGACCTACGACACGATCTTCCCCAAGCTGCAGGCCTCCGCCCAAGCGGCGGCTCAGTCATGCAGCGGCAAGGGCAACAACACCTGCGGTGTGAGATGGTACGAGAACAAGTGGGACGGATGGGTCGGCATGGAGGAACAGATCATCGCCACCTCGGCCATCGTCTCGGCGCTGGTGAAGAACGACAAGTCCGGACCCGTCACCTCCAAGACCGGTGGAAACAGCACCAGCAACCCCAACGCCGGTGATGGCGACGGTGATAAGGATAAGACCCAGATGAAGCCGATCACTACCGGTGACCGCGCGGGGGCCGGTATTTTGACGGTTCTTTTCGCCGGTGTCTGGCTGGGCATGGTCGGATGGCTATTGTTGAATTGATTTGTTACTATTACATTACCTTCTGGATATATGGGTTTATATGGTTTCTTTCTATGTTAACTAGATGGGCGTTTTTCTGTATATATGAGCTTCTGTTTATACCTTTAATAGACTATATACCTTGTCTACTTGTGGAATTGTCTCCCATGGCTCACTGAGGTACATATCCTAAATCCCAGTAAATAAACGATCACTTCGCTTCCCTCTCCAATCCCTCTCGCCGCCCCGTACTCAACGGATCAAAGTACGGCCTCTCTCCCAGTCCAACGACGCGATGTCCCGTCCTCGGCCCCTGATCGACATAATCAAACGTCGCCGCATGATACACGCTGCGATTATCCCAGATGGCCAAATCGTTCGGATTCCGCCACTTCAACCGCGCCTGCAGGTCATGATTCTCCACGATCAGCGTCACAAACCAGTCCAGCAGATGCCGCGACTCTTCTTCCGCCAGGTCGTTGATCTTTTCGACGTGCGTGCCCACCGCAAACACTGACTTCCATCCCGTTACCGGGTTCGTCCGGATCACTGGGTGGATAGCCTTGAGCACGTCGCCGACGTTCTCGGGCGCGCCGCGCGGGCCCGTGAAGATCTCGAAGTCGTTTTCTTTGGCGATGCGGTTAAATCCGGGCTGCGCGTAGGTCGCTGTCAGGGATTCGAGGAACTTTTGGTACGGGGGCGAGAGCCGGTCATAGATTTCGTAGCCCGAGGCCCAAAGGGTATCTGTTCGATGAGAGGGCTGGTTAGTTGATGTCGCAAGGGTTGCGAGAGAAATGAGGAGTGAGTGCCATACCACCGCCCGTTTCGGGGAGCTGCGTCAATCGCAGAATCGTATAGTCGCTAGGAATTGGCTCGAAGGTGATATCGCTGTGCCATTCGCGTCTGGCGCTCTGTCGCTTGGTCTCGTTGCGATCGCGGTAGAGTTTCTGGCGCTCGGCGGAGCTGATCACGCTGATTTCATCGTCTTTGACACCGTGTTCGCGCCCGGAGTTGATGATGGGATGGACGTGCAGGCCCGAGGTGCTGGGCTTTCCGGAGAGTTCGCCGAGTCGCTGCACGAGTTCTTTTTGGAGGTCGTTGTCGAGGTCGTCTTGCTTGCGGAAGAAGACGACGCCACGGCGGGAGACTATACTGTCGGTCAGCAGGGGTGTGATATCAGGGCTCGATAGAACATACCGGTGATGGCGAGGTCACGCAGGAGATCGTCGGAGTTTGGGGCTCGTAGGATTTCTTTGAGGTTGGCAGTTGGGAACTCCCGTCCGATGATGGGCGTCACGTCGAATGACTCGAAGGCGTCCAAGGTGTCCTTAGACTTGAGGGGTTCCCGTTGCAGAGACTTGAGACTGGGCTTTTCTTCCACGATGGGAACGACGGGCGCGGTGTCTGTGAAAGAGGGAGCCATGGTTGCGGTGGACCTTTCAGACTGGTTGGGATCAGGCTTTATTGATGTGGCCAGAGAGAAGGAAGGCAGATGAGCTTTTTATATCTCCAGGTTAGGATATAGAAACAATTACCCCGCGTAGAGATAGGACCTCAGGAGCAAATCATAGCGTCGGGATTTAATCCAGACTTCGATAGTCCACGCTTGCCTCTGCTGTTCGCCATTGAGACCCCGGAGCATGTCATATCCCACCATTTGCATTCCCCCTAGACCTGGGGGGGGGGGGGGAGTGATGAGGATGGGATAATATTCCGCACGGGTTACGCCATGCGATTGATAAGACAGCCGTAGATCATCTCGCTCGGGTGTTCTCCTCACTGCCAAGGGGATGACTTCAGATGGCGACGGGAGCACGCCATGGCATGCCGCATCGAATACGGTCTCATTGGTTGAAACCGGAGTATACAAGAGATTCTCCAGGTACGAGGGCCAATCCTGTTGTCTGTATCCATAATCTGGCACATATCGCCGTCTTCTCCATGGGCCGAATACCCGATCATGTGTTATCGCCTCTAAGCATTATGCCTGCATAACGCATACCACAAATAATGTAGCTAGGACCCTTATGAATGGCGAATTCTATGTGCTTGTATTCAGGGTCTCGACTCGAGGGATTTCCGGTAGGGGGAGAGAGCCGGCAAAGTCGTGTCGCGGAGAGGATGAAGGCTTCATTCCGCTTGAACGTAGAACGAGAAATGATAAGATGGTCTGAAAGAATCTCTGAGCCGTAGAACGCAGTCCAGGGGCTGTTGCACGCAGAAACGTTTTAGATCTCTTTCCTGGCATAACCAACAGACCACAGCGAGTTCCGAAGCAACTATTCTTCAAGGGGCTAAAGAAAAGCTTCTTCTTAATGCTGAATGACTCGCCTCAGAGTGTATTGCCATCCTGTAGCTGCTGATTGCCACAAATGCACTTGGATGAGGATTTCAGCTGAGGATAAAGTCGTGCTTGAGAGTAGCAAACCACTGTGGTCACGACCAACAGTTCGTTGGTTGACAAATTGAAGAAGAACATCTAACCATTCCTGCTACTGCCGATCAGCATCAACAATATCTTGAAACCAGGCAGTTAGTTTTGAATGAGAGCTGACTTGGGATTTGGTAACAACAATGAATTATAGCAATTAGCAGAGCGAGTCGACCCTAAGTCAACAACCAGGCTGATTAAAACGAGGTTGTAAATAATGACTGCAGTCCTTTTCTCTCAGATTCTTGCGATGCGTCTCAAACATGCCCCAATCTTCCTCCACTTCTCCGTGTCATCGCGTAAAGAGTAGGGCCGGCGTTTATAAGAATTTGCTTACAGAGGAGGCCTTTTGCTTGGCTGACTCAACCCAAGGTAAAGAAGGTGGTAGATACTGGGAACTGTTGGAAAGAATCTATCTTGGCAAACAATAAAAAGTGTTGTGAAAGACGAAAGGCTGTCCGCAGAATGGTGATTAAACCTGTCATTTCATGCCAGCCGGAAGAGAGCTTTTCTCACAGGAAAGCTCAGCATATCGGTGGTATGCTGATGGCAGTATGCAGCTCCTCTGCCAGGTTGTCATGATTTCAATTTTCCAGATCGTGTCTGGAGGAAGTAAAATTTGAAAATTCATTTGAGCTATCACTTATTTATTGCCTTGCACGCCGAGTGCCACCCGTCCAATTATCCAGTTTTTTCAGGTCTAAAGGAAAGAATGACGAAGGGTCAGAAATTGAAATAGAAGGAGACCTGGCCAACTCCTGGCGGTGACAATGTTTAAGGGGCGGATTCATACTCTATAATCCGCAAACAAGCGAGTCAGCTGAATCTTCTAGTAGAGGTAGTTTCCAGCAAGTGTCTACTAAAGTAACAATCTCCTGAGATCCTTATACGTCTTTGTGGTCCCGACCTACTGTGCGAAACCCTCACTGTAATGAATTCTACAGTATCAAGCCTGATGCTGGGCAACCATGTAGAGACACTCAACTCACATTGCTATGACGGTTTGCGATACAGGATACACATTTTCTATCTAGTAATGTACTAGTATCTACCTCGGAGCTCTAGGCAAGTTCTAGGAATCTTCCGGCTCACCTACGTTGAATGTTAAAGGCGAGTTCCTGAATGCTCAGCCCTCGTGACTTCACCACCCACAGACCTGAAAAGGTTGACAATTGCCTCCTTTCAACTTCTCCTCTCTTCTTCCTTCCTTCTCCTCACCATCTCTCAATCACCATCCACCATCCACCATCCACCTACCCCAATCTACAATCTCGCATCTCTCTCGTTCATACCCATCTGCTTTCAATCTTTTCCATCTATCACCGCGTAGCCTCTCAGAATGAAGCTGTCCTTCCTTTTCCTTGGCCTTCTGGTGGCCTTGGTGACTGCCGTCGCCATTCCAGAGCCTGAGAACGGCATGTCTACCCTTACCACCCACCCCACTTGGCTACCCTCACTAACCAAGCCAAAGCCGATGTTTCTTATCCTGGACAGCCATGCAGAGGAAACTGGGCCTGTCCTAGCTCCGAGCACTGCGAAAAAGGCTACTGCCAGCTCAACGTGAGTGTCCCTTAGCTTCCTATCCTAAAGACCTGGACTGACCCTCACCCCAGCCAGGCAGATGCTTGAAGGACAAGGACTGTTCCAAGTACATGAAATGCTCTGACACTCACTGCTTCCCTCATTCCAACAATGATCGCCGTGACTCCGAGGACTCCACTGGCTCTGATGTTGCCGACGCTGATTCCAACGCTGTCACCTACAACGAGTACCCCGATGAAGCTACTGTTGTTCCTGACGCTCAGTTCCATGCTCCTTGCGTCAATAACTCCAACTGCTCCTCGAATGAGGTATGTTCTCGTGGTCACTGCACGCTCAAGGTAACTTCTCCCCGTTCATCCCAAGTGAAGCCATCCCAGACATACTGATGCCCGTTCCTCGTCTAGACCGGGCGCTGCTGGGAGTCAGGTGATTGCAATCGGCGACAGCATTGCATTAATACCTTCTGTTACCCTCCTAACCTCAAGAGCCGTCGTGACTCTGTCGATGGTATTGGTATCGACCAGAATGATGATGTCACCGAGCTTGATCAGGAGGACACGCTGCTGGATCTAGTGGCTAGGGAGGAAAACATTCGGTACAACAAGTGCCGTCGTGGCTGTAACACTAGCAATGACTGCTGCCGTGGAGATGACTGCTGGGGTAGAGTTTGCCTGGGTCCTCATCGAGGAGGTTGAAATGCTTGACTGCCACCTTTTTCTCGCTTCTACGTTTTATCCCAGCTGGTGCGATCGACCATGAGAAACATTGATGGGAACTCATAATATGGTTCTGTACCTCATAGCTTTAAGGGAACTCACTGATCCATTACACTCTTTCTTGTAGCAGTAGTAGTACTCCGTACTATTGTTTAACGTCCAACGGGACATGGGTACGGTGGATACCTGACGAAGAAATGGGATTACTATCTTTAGTAGGTACAGTACATACGTATGTACAAGATAACTAATTGGATTATTCTGACTTGAGTAAGCTGGTACCCGGATGAGGATAACTTTATCTTTATTTTTCCCGTGCCTTTTCTTTCTTTTTGATTGTCTTATTTCCCTGCGGTCCTTATACATCCTTATCTTGAATAATTAGTAGTATAATATTACCGTACGCGGCCCTGGTTAAGGTATATTCTAAAATACAATCACAGCTCCCTATTCCTGTATGCTAGTTTATAATTTATTTTATGAGAAGCAACTACTACCTGCGTCCGGCTATCTACAGTTGGTGTCTGTTCTGTTGAATGTACCTGGTAAAGGGCGGCATTCAGGCAATCGATTGCCCATGTCCCTGTGACCTCCCATGGGGTACTGGGAACGTGGCAAGGTCAGGATTTGTGTACATGGATAGATCTATAGAGCCTCCATACCACCCCGGAAAAAAATGTCGAGCAGTAAGCTTCGGCAGCCGCCGTTTTAACTGCAGCCCTGTATGGACTGGACCTAGGAAAGGGTGCCCTGTAATGCAAGGCGCAGGGTATGTACGCATGACAGTGGCCTTAGAGGACTAGTTAGTGAGTGCGCGTCGCTCTTGAAGCGGGTGAAAATAGATACAGGGAGAGTGCTTTACTCTGTAGTTTTGTCGATGTGCACGCGACCGTGAATTATGCAGGTCAATCTTATAATTTCCGTGAAAGACGATGCTGACGAGAGACCCTGCGGCTGAGAAGGTTAGAACCAAGGCATTGTCCCCCAAGGTCCCGTCCCTGGAAACAACCCGTCTTTGGGGGCCAAGGTTCTAATGCGTCAGACTGAATGTAAAACGATCACTGAGTCTGTGACACTGCATATGCCAGATTCCGGGCTTGCGGGACCAACCCTGCAGGGGAACTACGTACTAGGGGTGAGCTAGTACTCTAGCTAACTAGTACCTACGGAGTACACCGTACGCCGTAAGCGAAGCCACAGCAGTGCTATTTTAGTCCTTGCGATGAAGCGTAGCCACCCGCCCCACCGCATCGACACTGTCTTCATCGTGTGTCTTAGGCTCTTAGTTTACGGCGTACTCCGTGCCTCCGTCAAACATCTCCAGATGGCCTGAGCGGCGGGTTTCGCCCTGCGGAAGAACCTCTTCGTTGAAACAACCCCACCCACGACCAAACGTGCTCGAGCCGAGCTTCTCGTAAACCCGAGGGGCCAAATGTTTCCCGTCTTCCCCTGTCCGGCTCCACCGTCGCGAAATGAAGACTAACGCAGGCCGCCAGGGAATGGGGCCGGGCTGGATCGGCCCCAACCGTCCGACGCCCGGCGCCATCTGTGCCAAAGGCAAACGGTTTGACGGGGAGTATTAGACTAATTGTTATATAGTTCGCCTGAATCCCTCCAGGGCGCCGTCCGCTCGTGGGATGTTGTTTAATTTCCCCCTTTTGGCGCGTGCGGGTCACGCCTACGGACTTCTTTTCTGCTAAATTGTTCACTAATATAACGCCTCGAACCGGTCCCGATGGTCGCAATGGCTGGAAACCCTTCCTCAGCGGTGCTGACCTACAGTTCCAGCATGTACCGATCGCGACAGGACAGCATCTCCAAGGATATGGCCCAGGTGGCAGCTTTTCCGGTGCACGACGGCAGCGACGAAAAGGTAGGCAAGACAACCCCGAGCGCGAGTGGCATGATCGCTTGTGCGAAACATGGAATAACCCCAGGTGGAGACGGCGATGGAGTCTTGATCCATATTAATCAACGTTCGTTGCAGATTCCCGTCACCCCCTTTGCCCTCCCGACCGGCCATGAAACATCCACCGATTCAGATCCGTCGCTTGCACGGCGGCCTACGCGCCAACCGTCGAAATCATCCTTCCTCGGCAACGTTCTTCGCAGGGTAAGTTAAATGGCCGATCGCCAGCTCGCGTGCTTTTACTAACGGTACTCTCGGAGCAGCGAAAAACAGTCGGCGAGCAGGATGAATCGCCGGCGCCTCAAAAACCTCTGCAAATCGTTCCGGACTTTGAATTAAATCATGAGGACCCCCGGTACCTGAAACCCAGAGCAGTTTCGATGGCGATCAGCCCGGCCGGCAGGACCAAGGCGACACAAAGCATTTCACTCCCCTTCCACCCCGACCGGAGACCGTTCACCTTCAGCCAGGATCATGCGGCCGAGAGCATGCGCGCCTCGTACAAACGGGAGATCCAGACCAAAGATGCCCGGATCAAGCTCCTGGAGGGCCATCTGGTGAATCTGGCCACGGGGATCACAGAGATGGATAGGGATCGCAAACGACTGCAGTCGCAGGCGCGCAGCAGCGGCACTACCACGAAACCGAAATCAGACAGCTCGTCGACGACGGTCAGAAAGACGTGGATGGCCAAGTCGACGCCCCAGGTGCGCGAGGACCTGTCGATGCTGGAACAGCGCATGCGATCGTGGGCCATCAAGAATAGTGTCACCGACATCAGCGACCTAGATCACTTGGACGGCGAGGAGAAGAACATCATCCTCGAGGAATTGGACGGCTTCTGCGCCGAAACCGACTGGAACACGTTGATCCGCGCAACGCCGATCGTGCTGCATCGCATGCCAGCTCTGCTGGCCCAGGCAATGCTGTCAAAAGATGTGTTCGCGACGGCGTTTATGAACCCGTTCTTCGCTTTCACCGAGGATTCTACCGGTGGCTTACCGACGTCGCGCATGCTTAAAGCATTGTATACGACCATGCTGGATCGTAAGAATCATCCGTTCCAGCCAGGGCGATCAATACTGACATGAATTGACTAGTCAATCCCACAGAGGCCCACGTGTGGCGCTCGCAGACGCTGCGAGTCCTGTCAGCTCCTCCATCCGCCCAGAACGAGGAGAGCATGCTTGCTCAACGAGTACGCGAAGTGACGAGCGAACTGGCGGTGGAATTCCTCAACGGGCCGGTACAGGCGCTTCTGCGCACTCCAAGAACTGAGGCCGAGCTGGTCAAACGAAACCAGGAGCTGTATAGCCTGTACCATAGTGCGGGAGCGCTGGCGCTCTCGCTCTGGACGCAGCGGGCGTTCATGAAATTCCACAACCTCCATGGTCTCCAACGCTTCCGAACGGGCAATCCCGCCATGACGGCGCATCCGCTGCAGCATCTCAGCGAGGACGACGAGAGACTGGATGGAAAAAGGGTGTTGCTGGTGGTGCAGCCCGCGGTGGTAGCGTACGGGGACGAGGAGGCGCAGAATTACGATATGTGCAAGGTGTGGGCGAAGGGCGTGGTGCTGGTGGATGAAAATGAGGGAAAGGAGCGGCAGACCTGGTTTCAATCGCCAGATACGATATCAGAGGAGACAGCCCCTTCATAGGGTCCATAGGAACTGAATTCAAACCTTGAATCGAACTACTGCGTGACGAGTGAATGACTAAGACTGCTTGCCTTAGGATGCTGCGACCGGACTCTCTCCTCTCCTCCCCTCTCCCCTCCACCTTCCCTCCACCTTCCCTCCCTACTGGCCGGAGGAGATCTACTTGCAGCTCTTGAGTTTGTGTAAGGCTCTTGATCTTGTCCATTTCTTTGATATCACCTAGCATACTTCACACTTAGCTCAGTTCAAGCCGTGCTTCGACTCTTGCGTCTGGCTGCATATTGAGGATGTTCTCAGGTCAATCATTCAAGACCGGGCGATTTTATCAAACGAGAGCGGAGCTGGCTTTTCTTTTGTTTGCTAACGGCATTTGTTAGGCAGTGCGTTCATTATCCAGTTTGACCGTGAAAAGCTCAGTAGCAATTATACCACCCACAACACAAAACATCGTGAACAGATAACAGAAATACCAACCCAAGAACGTTGGACTTGACTCTAGATTGCTCGAAGCCGAAAATCTACCCACAGTTCCAGCAAAGGTTAACTCGGTTCTCCGGTGACTTTTCCGATTCCCGACGGGAATCGTCCAGTGGTTCCTACCCCTTGCGTCCGGCCTCATCTTCGGTCCGAAATGACGATTCTAACCTCTACTGTCCTCACCGATGATTTGAATCCGATCGCATATTCCTACTATGGTAAAGCTGAATTACAACACGAGGCAAGATCGAGTCAAAGGATGGACTTGCGGGGACCGATGGTGATGGCGTGATTTGACTCCATCATGGCTCACACGATAGCGTCCTATCGCCAGCCAAGAAAACAGATTCTTTTTAAGTCGTATTCTTGCGCCCTTGAGAGAAAGTCATTACATTCATCCTTTCAATTTCACGAAAAAATGGCCTCCGGTTCAATCGACCAATCGTCCACCGGGCAAAACGAAAAACATCCGACCAGCAAAACACACCCAACTGGCCCGCCTACTGGAGATGCAGCGCTCGAATTGCTTGGAAATGGAGCCCCCGGTGGACCTCTGGACCCTGAAGCATCGGCACGTTTGGTCCGAAAGATTGATCTCTACGTGATGCCGCTGATCTGCATTGTGTACTTCTTACAGTACCTCGACAAGATCGCCGTCTCCTATGCTAGTGTGACGGGCGTGCGCGAGTCGGCGAATCTGCATGGGAACCAGTTCAACTGGGTCTCAAGTATGTTCTTCTTTGGCCAGCTAGCCCTACAATTCCCTACGATGCGACTCATTCAAGCCTTCCCGCTGGCACGGTACGTGGCCTTCAACGTCACCGTCTGGGGCGCGATCCTGGCGTGCATGGCTGCGTGCAAGTCATTTGCTTCCCTAATGGTCTGCCGCGCGCTGCTGGGTGCCGCGGAGGCTGCGGTCGTACCGGCCTGGGTAGTCTTCACCTCACAGTGGTATCGCAAGGAGGAACAGGCATTCCGCGTCGGCCTGTGGTTCTCGATGTGTGGCTTCGCGCAGATGTTCGGCGGATACATTGCCTACGGCGTGGCCATCCATATTGGCGGAGATCCCACGGCTGCTCTGCGCGGATGGCAGGTCATCTTTCTCATCCTAGGCCTGTTTACTGCAATTATCGGTATCATTTTCTTCTTTATTCTGCCAGACTCCCCGGTCACGGCTTGGTTCCTCTCACCCGAAGAAAAAGCCATGCATGCCGAGCGTTTGCGCGGTAACAAACAGGGCATCGGTAGCACCGTCTTCAAGAAGGAGCAGATGTACGAGGCGTTCCGAGACCCGCAAACGTGGATGTACTCGTTCTGGGTGTTTGCGGCCAACGTCCCCAATTCCATCGCCACCAGTTTTGGAAACATCCTCGTCACCGGCATGGGATACTCGGCGAACCAGAGCCTGCTGCTGGTGACACCGCTGGGTGCCTACGAGGTCGTGGCGCTCATCGGACTAACATATCTCGCCATGAGAATGGAACAGCGCCTTCTCTGGTGTATCATCGGCCACCTTCCATCCATCGTGGGTGCCATCCTAATGGCGACTACCGAAAAGGCTCCGGCTCTCGTGGGATATTACCTCTCGGGAGGAATCCCCATCGGATGGACGACGATTCTGGGTCTGACTAGCACCAACGTAGCCGGCTCGACGAAGAAGATCACCGTGTCCTGCATTCAGACAGTGGCATACACAGTTGGCAACATCATCTCTCCGCAGACATTTCAAGCGAAGGATGCGCCCCAGTATCTGCCGGCCAAGATTTCCATCATCGTCTTGTACTTCCTCGTCACAGTAGACCTGTGCCTCATTCGATGGATGTTCATCCGCGAGAACCGCAAGCGAGACCAGGAGAAAGCCGCACTAGGCGACGCCTACGTGGTACCAGAGAACCACGAGTTCCTCGACTTGACGGATCGCCAGAATCCGGAATTCCGATATGCAATCTGATTGTACATACAGAACCAGACATAGACCCGTTATACCCATGGAAATAGCCGAACTGCACAGTCCTGCAGGAATATAATGACCCAAGCGTACCTACAAGAGCACCGTACTCGTATGATAATGTCAATGTCCACCTCGATCAGCATGTCTTCCCCGCAGGACGTTGAGACTTCAGCCTAATGGAATCCCTGCAGGTTTCTCCTGGCGCCACGGCGTGATTGGCGGCAGGGGACGATCGTCATTAATGTTTGACCCTGGAAAAACTACTCCGCCATACCTTCAGTTGTTCGAACATGCATCCCCGCAGGAAACTTGCCTCAGGTGGCGAGCTCCGAGATGCATATTGGCTGAATTGATATTGGCTGAATTTATGCAGATCATCGTCACAATAGCTCTGGATAAATTCAGGGAATGCAGCAACCCTTTAAATTGCACACGTATTCCGGAGTAGTGGATTGATCAAGCTATAATATTATCAAGATGGTCCGCTTTGACTTCTTGGGCTGGTTGGCCCTTTCATTCCTCTCGTCTGCTTTCGCAGCCGACGTCTTCCCTGACTGCACCAGCGGCCCTCTCAGCAAGCTGGCTATCTGCGACACCTCGCGCGACCCCGTCGCCCGTGCTCGGTCCCTCGTGGCTGCTATGACGCTAGAGGAGAAGATCAATAACACTCGATTTGACTCTCCCGGTCTTCCTCGTTTGGGACTGCCGGCTTACAACTGGTGGAGCGAGGCCTTGCACGGCGTCGCCAGGTCTCGCGGAGTGCACTTCGCCGATAGCGGAGAGGATTTCAGCTATGCCACATCGTTCCCAGCTCCTATTGGCCTGGGCTCCGCGTTTGACGATGAGCTCGTCAAGCAGGTCGCTACCGTGATCAGCACCGAGGCTAGGGCCTTCGGCAACACGGGTCACGGCGGCCTGGACTACTGGACGCCCAACATCAACCCGTTCAAGGATCCCCGATGGGGTCGCGGGCAGGAAACTCCTGGCGAAGACGCGCTGCACACCGCGCGTTATGTCTACCATCTCATCGATGGCCTCCAGGGCGGCATCGGACCGGCTCATCCCAAGATCGTGGCGACCTGCAAGCACTTCGCCGCCTACGACCTGGAAGACTGGGACGGCATTGAGCGCTACGCCTTCGATGCTATCGTCTCTTCACAGGATCTGGCTGAGTATTATTTCCCGCCATTCAAGACCTGCACGCGCGATGCCAAAGTCGATGCCGTCATGTGCAGCTACAACTCGCTGAATGGGATTCCGACTTGCGCCGACCCATGGCTCCTACAGACCCTGCTGCGCGAGCACTGGCAGTGGGAAGCTCCCGGACACTGGGTGACAGGTGACTGCGGTGCGATCCAGAACATCTACGCGGATCATCACTACGCCGCGGACGGAGCGCACGCCGCTGCCGCCGCAATCAAAGCTGGCACTGACCTTGACTGTGGAGATGTGTTTCCTCGATTCCTAGGTGAGGCCGCGGAGCAAGGGCTGTTCTCCAACCGTACGTTGGACCGCGCCCTGACGCGACTGTATTCGTCGCTTGTCAAGCTGGGTTACTTTGATCCCGCCGACGATCAGCCCTACCGATCCCTGGGGTGGAAGGACGTGTCCACGACGCAGGCGGAACAACTCGCCTACACGGCCACAGTAGAGGGTCTTGTCCTGCTGAAGAACGAAAAAACCCTGCCGCTGAAGAAAAACGGCACCGTCGCGCTCATCGGCCCCTACGCCAACGCTACTACCCAGATGTTGGGCAATTACTATGGTTTCCCCAAGTACCTTCGCACACTCCTCTGGGGTGCCTCCAACGCGGGATTCAAAGTCCGCTATGCTCCCGGGACGGATATCGACTCTGACAGCACCGAGGGCTTCGATGATGCCCTCTCCGCCGCCAACGATGCAGACGTCATCATCTACGCCGGCGGGATCGACAACGACATCGAAGCGGAGTCCAAGGACCGCACGACCATTGTCTGGCCCGGCAACCAACTTGATCTCATCGACCAGCTGGCGGACGTGGGAAAGCCACTCGTGGTCGTCCAGTTCGGCGGCGGCCAGGTCGACGACTCCTCGCTTCTGGAGAACGACGGCGTCGGCGCTCTCCTCTGGGCCGGATATCCCGGCCAGGCCGCCGGCGCTGCCATCTTCGACGTCTTGACCGGCAAGGTCGCGCCCGCTGGCCGTCTACCGGTAACGCAGTATCCGGCAAGCTATGTCGACGAAGTCCCTATGACCGATATGTCGTTGCGTCCTGGGTCAGGAAACCCCGGCCGGACGTATCGATGGTATGATGAGGCCGTGCTCCCGTTCGGATACGGCCTCCATTATACCACCTTTGATGTATCGTGGGGCAAGTCATCTGGGTCATACGATACCGCGACGTTGGCGAAGTCAGGAACAAACGCCTCGGACACATCAATCCTGGATACGTTCAGTCTCACGGTAAAAAACACCGGCAAGGTCACCTCGGACTATGTCGCGCTTGTCTTCTTGACGGGCGACGTCGGACCCAAGCCATATCCCATCAAAACGTTGGTAGGATATAAACGTGCAAAACAGATCAAGCCCGGACAGAGCCAGACGGTCAAGGTCGAGGTGACTGTCGGCGCGGTGGCGCGTTATGCTACGAATGGCGACCAAGTCCTGTATGCTGGGGAGTATGAGCTGCATATCGATAATGGGAAGGAAGGTACGCTTTCGTTCGTGGTGAAAGGAGAGGACAAGCTGTTGGATGCATTCCCTCAGCCCGATGGCAATCGGACTTCAATTACACTACATTAATGGTGTGCTGAATCGGGCTGTAAAACGGATCCTGAAAAATGGATTGATTGGCAATATCAAATACAATCGCAATTGAGTCCGGCCCATTGTAGAAATCACTGCCTAGAAAAGTGTGCTAATATATATGCGGACGGTCTAAATTTCTATCCAATGAAAGAAAGCATAACTGACCGCGGCAAATGCAAAGGCCAGTATAAACCCAATATCTCCCCCAAGGGGAGGAACGCCCGCGTGTCGAGCGACAGCACGAACCCACAACCTAGAGCCTTTAGGCAACTGAGACATTGAAGCTTGATCCAGTGCACAACCCATTGCACCGAATTTGGACGAAATTCTGTTTCATGTGTCGATAATCAAATGGTTTTTGTAAACCAGGAAGGACCGTTAAAGACACACCTTCCACACACAATTCTATATACGGATATCGAGATATGAACAATATACAAAACACATACCATCATAGCGACGTGAAAAAGCAATATGTAAACGTTGAAACATGGCCTAAGACGTCTTGTTGGCCGCGGCGGAATCCGACACGAAACCGCTCATAAAATCGGGCCACTGCCCTAATAGAACGTCATCTGATAGAGACGCAGTAGGGGAGATCACGTCGTGGGGCGGCGTGATGATGCTTTGACCTGGCAGCCCATTGTCTAGGTCAAATGACAGAGGAATATCTACAGGAAGGTTGGTCATCAAGGCCTGCCAGTGCTCTTCGGTCAGCACCGACTCCGTCAACCCCGGGGTGGCCGAAGGTGTCGACCAAGGCGGCGCCATCGAGCCCAAGTCCGCCGGGGACTGAGACGGCGGAGTAGGCTGCAGCCGACGACCGGGGACTAGACTGCTGCGGAATTGTTCAACGAGCCACTCGACGCGGCGCGCGATCTCCCGACCAATCTCGGCGGCGTTCCGGGCAACGGCGTATTGTTGGCCCATTAGATCCAAGGTATGGATGGCCGTCTGCAGGCACCGGCGCCCTGCTGGGGTGGGTGGACAGACGGGGTTGGCAAGCACGAAGGCTAGAATACACACCATCGCATCCCACTGATACTGCACCACGGGGCGCCAGCCGCGAAGAAGGTCCGTCTCGGACAGCACCTGGTGTAGCAGATTGGTCAGCATCATGGCGTGGTTGAGGCAGCTGATGTTGTGGCTATCGCAGAGCGGCGTCGGAAGCGACGCCCTTGGCGGGAAGCGCACGAACGAACGGAGCGTAGCGATCTGGAAATGATGGTAATTAATCTCTAACAGTAGTCGCTGACGCTGCAGCCAGAGGGGGGCTGTGGGATCCAGGCTGAGGGGTGTTCTATCGGTGGAAAAAGGCTCGCGGCCATCCTTGCGCTCGGTTTTGAGGGGTTGGGGAACGCCCTGCAGCCAGTGATAGATAGTGCGCATTTCCCGCCCTACAAAGCCCGCCAGAGACTCGATGATGGCTGGCTCGCCGTAGATGTTTTGCACGGTCGGACTCAGAAGTCGGGCGCATTCGGCCTTGAAGGCGGCCTGCACGCGTCGCGCCACGACGGTGAGCTTGACTTGTTGCACGTGGAAGCTAAGCCAACTGATGGGTTGGTGCGCGGACGAGGGCAGCGCTGTCCCCGAGAGCGACCCGGCTTCCGCAGCCCCTTCGTGATCGCTTGGAAGAGGGCAGGCGACGTCGTCCCAGTCCAGGAGCGGCGGACGGTCCAGGGCCATGGAGAGAGAGGTGTCTAACTGGTACAGCGACCACCATATGCGTAGATGCAGTTCCCTTTCCTCGGGCGGCGTGCCGTCTAGCGGGCGCAAGTGCAGGCGCAGCGCCTGAGCCGTCCGAATGGCCACTCCTAAAGTGGCGTGGGCAGAATTCAAAAGTGATGCATTGGACAGGTAGATGACGCTGTAGATGTGACTTTGCAACGAGGCAATTGACGGAGCCTCCAGCTCGTTCATCAGTAGTCGTTGGCTTCGCTGGTAGAAGCCGTAAGCCATTGAGGATGTGTGGGTGGCCTGCTCACTGTCTATGCTCTCATCGTCTGTCACCAGGAACGTGCTGCCATATTGCATGCAAACCGCCAGCAAACTATCGACCAAGGCGGATGGCTTCCGGCGGTCGTCCAGTCCAGGGATTGTGTCCGACCATAATGACTCGTAGTATGCACCGAAGTCCCCTTCTGATAAGACCGGACAAATACAATGAAAGGATTGCCAGAGCAACACCAGAAAATGTTCCTCCTGAGCCCGCGACAGATCAGCGACCTCTGAATCCCAGAGTGACTGCTGCCCCGCGACCGGCCTGGCATCGTCGACCTGCGAGATGAGCGCCGGGAATGGAAAGTCCAGGGTGGTTCGGTTCAGCGCCTTGCAGAGATAGCGCGTCATTCGAGTGACCAGATACGACGACGAAAGTGGACCGTAGTATATGGCCCGCCCGGTACGCTCATCCGCAGCCGCCACGCCTTCCCACGCGTTGTATAGGTTCTTCCCAGTGTTCGCAAAATCGATTGGCCCCGAGGCCGTAGAAGCAGACGAAGAGGCGAGTTCCTCAGGCGCGGTCGAGCTGGCATGTTCGTTTGCCTTCTTGAGCTGAGCTTGCAGATCTCTGACGCGATTGCGCAGTCGCTGGATTTCCCTGCATCCCACGCCTCGGTCAGCGAGGCGGATCCGCCATGGAGGGGTGACAATCGTACCTACTAGCGGTCTGCGCGGGATAGGCCTCGGACGGATTGCTATTGCTGCACTGACTACCTCGCTGGCGACAATTGTCGCAGGGTTGCCGGTCGTCGCATTTTATGCGATTCAGGCGACACGAGTCGCAGGCCCGAGCAACCTGGTTACGCTTGGGTCGAGCCGCGGTAGAAGTTTTGGTGGGAGATTCGGTGGAGTTGGGATTGGCGGAGAAGGTGGAGAACATGTTCAACAGGCACTCATCACCATCAGCGGTCGATCACGGTCACATCGATGGCTGGAAGTCAGTGCGGTGGGCGAGTGGGGGAGATCGACGGAGAGGAAGAGAGGAAGAGAGACTGAGCGAGGGAGCTCGAGTCTAAGAGGGACCGTCGAAGGATTCAAGTGTCACGTGATTTACTTCCAGCTGTCTGTCGCCGCGGATATGCACTAGAAATAAGCCCTTACTACTGAGGGTTGACCCTTTTTAGTGCAGCGGTATTTTTTCCACACTGTCCCTTTATTCCTCAACTATTAATCCCATCGAGGTCTACTGTCTTAATTTTGGAAAATCTACTTGCGGTGGGATTGAAAAATGAATCATAAAACTGTACCGGGGGGTGGAACCATTCCGAATCGCCATGTTTAACACACTATATATCATGAGGCTAGGGAGATATAAGCGCTTCAACCGCCCGGTTTTCTCACCCAACTCCATAATATGTTTTCAAGAAAACACATAAAACTGCACTAACAAAGATTGAGTTCCTACTAGAGATTCAATCATGGAATTAAATTGCCTTTAGGTACAGATGTTACTAGACTACAGTGATGAATCTAGGTATAGAACCAAGGCTTTGAGAATTTGAATTTCTTGTATTGTGGTAAGAGAATCACTGGTATGCATGGAACCTGCGACTTCCATAGAAAGGACCTTGACCGAGTCTTCCTACCTGGAGACTAATCACACTGAGCCGAACGAGAAGATATACTAGGAGGGAAAGGGGAAAAAGGTCGAAGCAGTGCTAAGTGGGCGAAGGCATGGTGCGATGGTCATTTTCATAAAAATAGTCAGAGTCTTCGTAGATACATAGGGGTGAAACGCGAAGGGGGGCTTGGTTCATGGTGATTTTGGACTTGGTAATCACATTTAAAAGTCTGCCGTAAGCTTTGGAGACGAGTTGCTGGTGTTGTGGGATGCCGCACGACTTATGCTGTCGGACGACCTCGTCGCAGAATCTGGCGAGGTTATGGATCCAGCGATAGAGATCCTCGGTCAATAGCGAACCGTGATCGGCAGCTTCCTTCACCATGCCGTTCAACATCTTTGTAAAGTAATCCATCAGAAAGACGGACACTCGACACGCAGAGTTATGAGCACGGGTCTTGGGATCTCTTACTTGTTCATATAGCTCGTCGAGTCTGCGGCGAACGGTCCGGGTCTTGAACTGAAGCCCTTCCTCGACGACCCAACGGAGTGTTCTTCCAACGAGCCAGTAATATTTTCCGGGATGCACCTGACTCTGCACCACGAGGTATTGGACTGTGAATATGTTCTTGTCGCCGGTGCATTCAAGTACAATGAACTTGGCCCCGAAGGTGATATCGAAATATTCCAAGATACTTTGACTCCTGCCCTTTTGGATGTATAGCTGGTTACACCTGCTGACGGTGTGTAGCTGCGGAACACTGAGAAGCGAGTGCTTGTGCGATCTGGGCATGGTTGATGAATTCGCCTGTGGAACGTGATATTGTGAGAAAACCGATGAAGGTGAGTTTGAAGGGGCACTGGAGGGCATTGGAATCAATGATTTGGGTGACGATGAGTGGACCAGAAGCGTCTTCAAAGGGGTTATATAGAATTTCTCGCGCATGCTTTATAGGGAAGTCCCGAAGGTAGATGACCTGCACGACCAGGTTCAAAATGATACTCTCTATTTGTCCCGGATGGATCCATGTGGGGAGCAGAGATGTGTTCAATGGTGTATGCTTACAGGGTTGAAGCACACACTATCGATTTCAATGGACTCATCACCTGTTAGAAGCTACGGTCGCCCGCAACATATGGATTTGTCTGGAAGAAGAGTAGTCAAACTCTGAAGTTCATAGGGCATGGTAAAGACCAGGCAGTTGATTTACTGGCATACCGTGTGAGTTTGCTGTGATCATTATATCGCCATTGTGTCCGATTCCTTTGTTTCAAGCCTAGACGGCAAAGATCAATGTTCCACCCGAACAGCAGCAATGGAGGCTATTTCCAGGCTAAAGTCACCCTCCTGGGTACCGAAGAAACTGACGAAATCTTAGCAAAGAACAGTCCTTATATCTGAAGACACCTTACCTCCGCATCATGATACTGATTCGCTTGATAGAACTCCGGTCCAAGGGAGGGGCATCCTCTTTGTCTTTCCCGCGGTATGTAGGACGTAAATCCTTCCAATGAATGACAAACGGCCCTTTGTCCGGCGCGCAGAGATCATATTCCCAATTGATAGTGCTTTGTTCTCGGCCATCGGGTCGTTTGGGTAGTATAGTGTCTTTCAGCGTGATGGTGTACTTTTTGCCGTCGGACTGCTTGACGTCCAGTTCCAACCCGTCTTTGCCGGTCAGATCCCAGCTTCTGTCGCCCGTAGTACGCTGCGAAGCAAACCCAGCCCCGCCTAGCGCGTGGGTATCGAGATGGCCATGGAATCGAGCTGTATTGGAGGAAGAGTCGCAGTCGAGGTAGGAGTGGGAGGCGCCTCCGCGGACGCGATCGTCAGACGCGGTCCAGTCCTGCGGGGACCAGGGCCTGGGGATGAGTTAGCTGTCATTGGGTATCATTGGGGGCAAAATGACTTACTGATCACCCCCGAAAAGAAACGTCTTCGTGGAGGAGGTCATTGTGAATGTTTTTGCTTGAGTCTTGACCGAGAATTGGCGGGGGGATTTCGTCGGCTGCCGCTGGACGCTTGACCTTCCGTTTATGGTGACAACGTCACTCTATCCATTCTGAGTTTAGCGTGATGATCTGTCTGCAAACAGAGCAAATAGAACAAACTAAACAAACTAAGCAAACCAAGCAAACCACGCTGTACTCTGTACAAACTACACAGCACTGTTTTCCTTCGATCAAAAGTCTTATATGACTGATCAACAATCCAAAACAACTAACTCAAATTCAAATTCAGCTTAAACTCTCCAGATTCATCACATGAGATCTCAAACTACCGGAAAGTTAACTACAACTTGCCCTGTCCTGCTTTGGACGGCACGCTGCTCTGGGCGGAGGTATACGCTGCCGCCGAGGCGATATTCTTGCCCTGGAAATTGGACAAGAAGCCCGTGTCGGCCTTGCTAAAGCTTCCAGAACTGCCAAATCCGTTTACCTGGCACACATGACCCAGATACGTGGAGCAAACCTGGTTGGTACTGCTGTCCGGGGAGGTGAAGAGCTGGCCGCTGTTCGATTCCAACACGGTCGGGACATTCTGGAAGACGTTACCCTCGGCCAGGACCTTGCCTCCGGATCCAATCTCGAAGGCGTGGCCGGAGAAGTCGTGCCAGTAGTTGTTCACCTGGAATATGGTTAGAGAAAAGCTGAACTCACGGGGATCTAGGATTATGCTTACTGCGTGCAGAAGAGTGTTGGATTCGACCTTGGGACTGCGGCCACTCATGTGGTAAATGTAGTTACCCTTCAAGGTGACCATGTCGTTGGAGCCATCCAGATAAATACCCCAGTAATGATACCCGTTGCAGGTGGCCGAATAGTCCGACTGTCCGTTAAAGTATGAGTTCGAGACTGTCACCCGGTTGGATGCACTGGTGCCGAGAACCAGATGCTGACGACCGATGCGCGCAGTCTGACGACCGGACATGATTAGTGCTCCTGACTTGCAAAAGATGACAGGAGAGAGGCCTTACCGTAACATGATCGATCCAAACCAAGTCGCAATTGTTGAGTGTGATGGCATCACCACCCCAGACGTATTTCGGGTTCAGATCAGTGATAGCAACGTTTCTATGATGAGACAGGACTCGATCAGAAATGTTAGGTAGGACGGTCGCAATAGAGCTTACTGGATGATGACATTGCTTGCGCCGCTGACGATACGCAGACCTTTACCCTTGATGACACCGCTGGATCCCGAGCCGATGAGACTCTTGTTAGACTTGACGGTGATGCCAAGGACACCGGCATTATCACTTCGAAGAATTAGCTTGGTGAGATTTTGGGTCAAACTCAGGGGCAGCCTCGGAGCTTTCCAGCAGACTTACTATGACACCGAAGCTGTTGGTGCATTCGGTTGGTAGTTGGTACACCAATTGTCTTTGTTGATTGCCAGCTGGCAAGCGGAGCCAGTTCCCCATGGAGCACATCCAGTTCCCGAGGTGGTGCCTTCGGTTCCTCTGAAATCAAACCTGTACTGAAGTGAGCATGAATGAATTGTGCAAGCCGGGGCCCTGAGTCCTACGTCTTAGTCAGAACAATGACCCGGGCTGAGCTATCCCCGAGGTAGGAAACGAGCTCAGCGTTGGTGGTGGGATACACGGCTGTGGCGCTGCCTCCGCCAGTGACTCCTTTGGCGAAGCCCTCGGCAGCTCCGGATACACTCTGAGCAATGACGCCAGAGAATGCCGCCAACGCAGCAAAGAAAAGGCTAAGCTTGGTCATGGCAATTGAATGGATGTCTGGTCTTGGAGAATGGAAAGAAACTGACTGTTTTTCTCCAGTTTTTCGGGGGATGATTTCGGCCGTTTTATAGTACTGTACTGTCGTCAATTCCTGTATTCATTTCTTGGTTCTTCAGCCCGAGGAGTAATTTCCACCGGCTGAGGGGAAGCTGTCAGAGGAGATTACAACTTTCGCTGGCATTTGACACATTACAGATATCATTGGTGGACTGGCGGTTTACAGAGACCTGGGGAGCGTTAGCCTGAAGAACTTCAGCCCTGCCATTATCGAGGACTGGAGGATGAAAATCCCCTTAGATCCGTGCGCGAGAGCTAGAGAACTAACCCCGGAGAAACTCTGCGAGGAAGGCAGACCACGAGGATGAGTTGCTTCGGCTGCTTCGGACCGGCATGTGGATGCCGTGATTGATATGCCGGCTTTGAAGATGTGATTACGCCCTAAATATTAGGGCAGATCAAAGCGTCAAATCATAGCGAATCCTTCAGCTTACGGAGCGGCTTATTCAGTCCGTGACTTAAATGAAGGGGCGTTGTGGTGGTATACCCGTTTACAAAAACTTCCACCAACCCTGAATCTTCCCGCCAGTAGCACTAAAAGCTCAAATCCTTCGAAAAAGGATTTGACCTCTTGGGGGATGGGGGGAGGGTTCTCGTATGCTCCATGCCCCATGGGCTTTTTGACAACACCTCATGACCGACCTACAAAACTACTCGAAGAACAATGAAAGTGAACATTGAAAGTGAAAATAAAACGGATGGTGCTCATAAACCGTCTTGGAAAGCCAATCGCAAATGAATTACTCCAAGAAATAACAACAGCGGCCACCGACCCGGAGTGCTGCACTAGGCGGAATGCTTCGGATCCTCTCGAATCTCCACATGAGCGGTGCTTTCCTTTCTCTCATATTCATCATCCTTCTGCTGATAGCCAGCGGCGGCGACTTCGTTGGCCTTCTCCTTACCCTCGAACACTGTTTCTGATTAGTCGATGTCCTCTCTAAACAGTATAGCCCGATGTGGTTTGACTTACTGAATGATAGTTCCTCCAAGGTACGCCCCGAAGTCTCCGGGAAGAAGAAGTATATGAAGACAAGCTCAAAACCCAGCCAGCAACAGTACACAATGAGCCATTTCCAGGCAATGCGAGACAGACCAACGGGATTGACATAGGTGGCGAAGAATCCAGCGCCACGGCCGTAGAACTGGAACCAGGAGAGACCCTGAGAGCGACCAGAGTATGGGAAGATCTCAACAAGGTAGGCTAGACAGACCGGTTAGTTCCTGATAGCCAAGAAAGAACGAAAGTGGCTTACTGTAAGTCAGGGCATTATATCCCAGGTTGTATGCGGGCGAGTATGCGAATATAAAGAAGATGGTCAAGATTGCTGCGGACTTGGCCTGTGTATTCATGAATCTTTCCATAGAGATCGTCCACGCGATGTATACACAGAGCAAGGCCGAAGCACATGTGAGATACATTGTTCGCCGCTTGAACCGCGGGACTGTCAGCGCCAGCGTCGTACCGCAAACAAGCCCCCAGCAGGCGATTCCGATGTTGATCTTGGACTTGATAATACTGTCGGTGATGTCCACCATCTCCAGCAGGTCACTCAGGTAGTACCTAGTGTGGCTGTCAGTGGGAAAAGTCTACGGGGTCTCTAAAAAAAAAGGACTCACGAGATCAGGGTGTTTCCAGACCACTGTGTGAATAGACCGAGGAATGCAGAGATGAGCAGACGACGCCGCATACCGGCCGTCTTGAACATGTCCCACCAGGTCTGTTTAGCATCCTCTAGTTCCATCTTGATCGTGCGCTCGATCTGGGCAATCTCCGTCCTCACGATCACTGAGTCGCGATTCCCTTCGGCGTGATATTTAACAAGAACATCAAAGGCTTCCTCTCGTCGATCTTTGCTGATAAGATATCGAGGACTTTCGGGGAGAAAACTGTTCTCGAGTTAGCACCGCTTTCGGTTTCTTTTTTTCAATTTCCAACCCGCGTGGGAGCATACAGGACTGTGCAGATCTGCACCATAGCCGGTGCAATCTGCAGGAGCGACGGAATCCGCCACGCCCAGTCAGATGGAATGGTGACCGTGCCCAAACCCACGGCGGCAGCGGTGATCTGACCGATAAAATAGGACGAGTTGAACAGTGACGTGAGGATTGGTCTCTCCTTGGGATATCCCAGCTCTCCGATCAGCGAGGACCCGGCGACAATGCAGAAGGGGATCCCGAATCCCAACAGAATTCGTGCTACAATGTACATGCCAACTGCGTTCGTTAACACCCGCAACAATGTAAAGATAGATGGTCATCCGCCAGCTTTTGCGCCGTCGCTGATTGGCGAAGGGGTGTGGCCCTGCGTCCTAACAGGGAACTTACTTCCATTGGAGAAGCCCTGAATCAAGGCCCCGACCAGACTGATGCCTGAGCCAAACATGATGGTCCATCGTCGTCCCAAGAATTTGTTGACAAACGGGATAAATGGAAGGGAGATGATAGCACCCAGGGAGTATGCCGCCGCCAGGAACCCCTTGATATTCGGCTCGATCGCGTATACTTCCTGTCCATCCTCGAATTCACCAGTAGGGTGACCGAAGTCTTCCGGGTGTTAGTCCTGTCAGAAAAAACATGTCACTGCGGGAAAAAGACGACATACATTTATTCCACGTGTACACAATCTGCACCGTGTTGATGATTTGAGAATCAAAACCAGATGTGATCTCAATCCCCATACAAGCAGGGAACAAAATGAAGTAAAGGTTTCGCAAGTTGGGCTTTTTATACCACGGAGTCCGGTCGGATGCCAGCAAGTTGGCCAGGACGGGCTCGCCGAAGTCCTCCTCGCGCTGCTTGCCCACGACAACCATGATGAGTAGCAAGACAAGTTAGAAACCAGTCTGATGTCTAGGGTATACCGTGAAGCAAAAAGAAAGTGTTGAAACGAGAAGGACGATGGGAGATCCCGCAAGGTTATAAGATGATAACAGCACCACGCCGTTGACCTCCCTTGGTATTACACACCCGACCTAAGATAGGCCCATACTAGTCGCAGCATGCCAAGGCACGTTGGATTCGTTTAAAAGCACGCGGACAAGAATGCTTTCCGGGTAAGATCCCCGCTGGTGGACCGGTGGAAGGTAAGCCTGGCCTGATGGACGCCCATCTCCATCCCCTCCCCGACACGCCACCAATGAGGCACATCATTGCCATTTTGAGACCGGAGCCAGACCGTCCAAGACATCTGGGGAAGATGCAAGGAGACCCTGGATGAGCCCAAAGAATCCCCCGCATTGGCCCTGCAGTGCCTCGGGTCTCGCGGAGTCTCCCCGGACAGCCAAGCCGCCAGTCCGTTCGGGGCTAAAAAAAAAATCTGGGGACGAGGAAACAAATACAATAGTAGTAGCGTCTGATTGATCGGAGTCCACTGAGTTTCTGGACCTCCAGTGAATACGAGTTGAGCGTGTGCACGCGTTCGAGAATTATTTGGGAAGGGCGTCAAGTCCCAAGATTGCGGCTTCTACCCGGCTACGACTCCGTGCATCAGCCACTCTAACAAAATGCACAACTCCTTGATCCCCGCGCCCTCCTCGCTCCAAATCCTTAATCGCTCGACCACCGCTCGAACGCAGTCAGCCCATGCCGCGGGGATGCTGACATAGTCCATCGACGAGATGCCATTCATTTTGCCTCGAAAGGCAGCGATGAGACACAACGCGTGGTTGAACCGCACACGACATGCGCCCCATGACCCGGGATGTCGAAAGAATGGGACCTCAGTTTGCGTCCGATACACAGACAGTAGTAGTGCCTCGCTGGCCTTCGGCCCGTAGCTCTGTGCGAGCTCAAGATCAAGTGGCACATGGATGCAGAGGTACAGATACGCCCGGCATAACAGCTCGCGTACCTCCACGTATCTTTCTCTCGCCAATTTGACAAGTTCCGGCTCGTTGGGTGCGGGCATCGATTTCAGCGGTGGATTGAAGTACAGGGTATGTGGAAGACACTCGACCCATTGCTGAAGCTGGCTTTCCAGCGTAGACAGCGCTTCAGCCAGCCGCGCCACGGTCGACATGGTCATATCGGGTGCCAGAACGCGCACAGCATTTCGCGCGCGATTGAGAAGCCTCCTTAAAGAGATCTCGGCTAGGTAGTAGTACGAGGAAATCGATTCCGGGTTCATGGCCGAGGGACTGTGAGCGAGTATCTCGCCGGGGCTCCCGTAGGCCAGATCTACCGGAAATGTGGGTAAGGCGAACGGGAAATCGGAGAGGGACAGGTCGCAGGGTGGTAAGTCTGTCAATTCATATCGGACTTCACTAAGGGCGGGTTTCAGCACGCAGCAGATCGACATTAGGATTCAGAGTTACCATTCTGACTTCAGGCAGGTCCAATATAGTCGTTGTTCCAGACCTAAAGTCGTCAGGATTGCAGTTCTCATTTCATCTAGCAGGACTCACTCTGCTCCTGTGAAGATCGTTCCGTCTCGCCTGTTCGATGTCGCAGGTTATATGTTTGCCACAACATCGACGCCGTCCGAAACATTTTCCACCCCGGGATCGGTTCGATATTGTACTGATACCAGATACTACTATGCGTCAGTTGACTGACCGAGAGCAGAGAAATCATACGAAGCCCACCCAAATAAACACAGACACTGAACACCCACCAAGGACTCATCCATGTATGCTGCCGATAGCCGTTTGCGCGCCATGGAGACGAAAGCCAGCGACTCCTTCATCCGACACTCTGGAACCGCCAAACTGACGTATGTACCTTGTTGCGCGAAAGACGGTTCATGGCGAGCGATCGTCCGAGTTTCGGCGTCGGGATAGTTGCCCCAGACAGCGGCCAGGGCAAAGACAAGTAGAAGGAGACAGGACGAAGCAGACCAGTCGATGCCATTCTCGAGAACGTTGGCGATGTATAGGTCGAGTTGGTCCGCGTCGACGATGGGGTTCTTGGTCCAGATTTTCGTCAGAAAGATTTCCCGCAGCTCAAACATGCGAACGGCGTCAAATCCCGGTATTCCTAGTTCTACACTGAGCAAGCGACCGACATGTAGTCCGGGAACATACTAACTAACCTGGCTGGAACCTATCCGGCTTCTCGGAGAATGCAGAGGCAGGGAACGTAGTGACGGGCTTTTTCTCCGGGAAGATCGGCCAGGTCAGGATCATATCCGAGCCGGTAATGGGCGTCTTCAGTGCATCATTGCGTGAGATACTCTCCGGATCTTCCTCTTCCACGGCAGGCAATGTGGAATCACTTCGCGGGCGGAGGATCGGAATATTATCTCGATTGACGGCCAATGTCTCTGTGAGTAGCGTCTCTTGCCTCTCCACGGCCTCCAGGATGCGCGACCCCCATGTTTCCAGACTAGCAGCACGCTGTTAGCCCCAGACGACAGACGTGGGGGAAACCCTCCTTCATTTTATTTTCTATTTTTATTTTCTTCAGGAGGGGGGAGAAGAGAAAGAACGGACATGGATAGCGGATCCTTGTCTGGATATTTGCACGGTACGCCCCGCTTGATACATTTGGCGCAGACTGGCCTCGCAGAATCGCATCGAGTCTTGCTCAGACGACAGGCGTCGCAGGCCGTGAGCACGCGTGTGTGCTTGCGAGTATCTGGTTGGACCTGTCGCTTGCCACGTCGGACTGCGAAGCTGGTCTCCATTATCTAGTTATGGAAAATTGGGTTATCGGAGAGGGACAAGCAGCCTAGCCGGAATCGCGAGCCGCAGGCAGGGGCGATAATGGTGTCCTGTGCAATGGGCGAGAGACCAGCGATGGCGACTAATCGGCCTCGTCTCGGCACAAATGGGGGCTAGTCCTTCTCCCCGCTGCCAAGGGAGGATAAATTGGCTATATAGACCAGCTGGCGCCAGTTGCAATTAGCCTATACTGCGGTGGCGCAACGCCGGTGCTTCGTATGAATTGGGTATTTTCCCCCCAATCAGCGAGGGGTCTATCGGATATTTCTATCGCCTCTAAAGTCCCGTCCAATATCTAGTTTGCTCGACTGTGAACTGTCCCCGAGCCACGATCTCGTCGCTGGATGTGCCCACCAACACTTCATAGGTGCCGGCCTCGCTTTCCCACATGTCTTCAATCTCGTCCCAGAAGCTCGTCGCGTACGAATCGACTTTGATTTGCACGTTTTTCTGTTCTCCCGGCTGTAGGAATACCTTTTCGAATCCATGTAGCTCCTTGGCGGGTCGCGGGGTCGGCGACTTAGAGGCAGCGATATATAGCTGTAGCACCTGGGCTCCCGCCATTGCACCCGTGTTCTGAATCTGTACCGTGATCGTGGGAGGATTTTCCGGAGAAAATGTAGCGGGCTGCACGGTGGCTTCCGGGGAAACAGCGAAGGTCGTATACGAGAGGCCATGCCTAACAGGTTTTCAGTCAGCAAGTAAGCAGAAAAAGACAGCAAAGAAGAGGTATCCTACCCGAACGGAAAGAGAACGTTTCGTTCCGTCTTCTCGTAGAACCGGTATCCTACGTAGATATCCTCACCGTATAGCACCCGCCCACCGACACTGGCGTAGTTCAGGTATGCCGGGTTATGTTTCACGTCGATAGGCCAAGAGACGGGCAGCTTTGCGCAGGGGTTTACACCGCCGAAGATCACGTCTGCGATTCCATGGCCTGTCTCGTTTCCGCCATACCATGCCTGGACGATCCCCTTCGCTTGGTTGACCCAGGGCATAGTGACGGGCATCCCCGATTGATTGACGATTACAGTGCGATCGGCGGCCACGTCCAGAACCTGGCTGATCAACCGATCAATCCCGGGCGGGAGATCCATGTGAGCCCGATCGAAGCCTTCGGATTCCCAATCTTGATTCAACCCGGTGCAGAGGATCGTATAATCCGCGTCCTTGGCCGCCTGGACGGCACTGGCAACCATCTGCTCGGCATCCATACGTAGACAGGCACCTAGGTTGGCGGCGCCCCCGCCGAAGTTGACCATGCCGACGGTCTTCATGGTCGTGGTGTTTGCGGAGCCGTACTCGATGCGGATCCGATAGGTCTGGCCGGCGACCAGCGCCAGGGATCCGACTTCTTCGACAGTGCCCTTGCCAAAGAACGCCGTACCGCGCGTCTGACGTGTGGTGTTGTCGATAACCAGCTGGTCTTCGATGTAGAGATTGGCTGTGCCAAAGACGCTCAGTCCAAAGTCCCAGGTTCCCGACGCGTCGGGTGTGAAGTCACCAACCAGCGTCGCCCAAAAGAGCGCCCGGTTCAGCCCCGGCGTCTTGTAGTCCATCAACTGGAAGGCGGTTTTAGCCATCGGCTCTGTGGAGAGGAGCGTGCGTGGTGTGCCGACGGGCTCGTTGTAGAAGTGCAAGACGGCATTACTGAGGAGGCGGTCGATGACTGGCAGCATCTTATGCGCGTAGGCACCCGTTTCGTAGACGATCGTGGCCTCTGGCAGAGCTTCCTTGACGGCGTCGTAGAGGGAAACGGCGTAATAGGGCTCCAAAGACGCGCTTCCGCCACCGGAAATTGAGGGCGTCTTCATGTGCGACCCAATGAGGGCGATCTTTTTGGCCTCCTTAGGCAGGGGTAAGATGTCTTCGTTCTTGAGGAGCACAATGCTGTTGGCGCAGACGGCGCGATTTAACGCGCGGTCTTCCGGATAGTCTCGACCTTTTTCCACTCCGGAGACCTGGGTCTGACTGGCTCGACGAACGAACTCCAACACCCGGCGCGCTCGCGCGTCGATAGTTGATTGCTTGATGAGACGCGCCTGCACGGCCGACTCGATGTACTTGCCCCGATATCGCGACACGCCGGGCATTTCGAGATCCAACCCGGCCACCATAGAGTCGATCGTCGTGTAGGTACCGTACCAATCGCTCATAATCAGCGGATCCCACTTCCATTCCTCGCGGACGAGGTCTAGCATCCGCTTGTCCTCCACGACATGTTTGCCGTTGATCTTGTTGTAGGAGGTCATCAACGCCCCGGGCGCGGCGTCGCGCGCCACAATCTGAAACGGTCGCAAATAGATTTCCCGTAGAGCTCGCGGGGTGACCAGCACGTCCACGGCGCGTCTCTCGTGCTCCTGGTCATTGCCCACGAAGTGCTTCACGGCCGAGATGACCCCCGTGGCTTCGCAGCCGAGGATCATGGCGGCAGCCAGCTTTCCCGACAAATGGGGGTCCTCTGCGAAGGATTCAAAACCCCGACCACCTAGCGGAGCCCGCTGCATGTTGATCGTCGGACCTAACCAGCAGTGGGCGCCTTTGGCGATAGATTCCTCGCCGACCAAATTTCCTGCCCGGTGTAGCAACTCCCGATCCCAGGTGGCGCCGAGCGCAGACCCGCATGGCAAGCAGGCAGCCGGTACGCCGGCAAAGAACTTGGTGCCGCGGATGCCATTGGGGCCATCGGTGGAGCGAACGGAGGGCACATTGAATTCGGGAATGGGGTGGGTGTGCCAGAAATCGATTCCTAGCTGCTGTCAGAGGGTGAACATGCGGCAAGTAAGTAGCGAAGACATACCGGATAAAAGGGCGATCTTATCCTGCTCGTCGATGTTTTTCAGGACATGGTCCACGTCGAATTGCGGCGGCATATTGGGGGTGAAAATGGAAGGCACTCAGACGATTAGATCAGAGGAAATAACAAGCAAAGCCATGGCCAGACAGGTCGGTCAATCCGGACAGGCGACCGATAAGTAGTCGACATGATTGCGATCCACTGGAGATTCGATTGACGCGACGAGGCCGAGAGATCCACCCAACTTCGCGGAGACTCCCCGGGGTCCCCGCATTCCTTCTGTGCGGAGAAAACCGACTGATTTTGGATAAGGGTGGACCGTGAACGGCATCAATGATTAACAGGACGTGACCGATTAGAGGGTGAAGAGGAGGCCGATGAAAGGGGTATATTCTAGACAACAGTCGCGCCGACCGCTGCGGACGCCGGGTCACATGAGCCACAACTGTCCCACATGGTTGTCCCCAGTTCCTGCCCGCATCAGAATCCCCTCATTCATTCATATCCTCCATGACTATTGATACTAACTAGTACAGCCGAGAAGCTGGAGGTCCGCAATCGCTACCGGCGAACTCTCCTGCGCATCAGGGAGCAGATCTGCGACTTGCTAACCTACCCGACCGAGCATGAAGATTGCAAGAAGGCGCATATCCACCAATATACTCTGGCTCTAGACAAAAAGGACGATGATAGGCCGCGATTCTTCACGCCGTATCGGGGCGGTCACTCCAGTTATGTGGACGAGAAACTCCCAGAATCATTCGCCAAATTCAACCCCGGACGGGAAAACCATCTCAATGTCCAGGGCCTGCACCTCTTCATGGAGTCATACCTTGGCTCGATGAGGACACATGAGCCTCGAGGGATCTACTTCCGAGAGTAAGGGCTTTTTTTTCTATTTCAATCCAGGGCTCCTGGCGCTTGAAATCGTATTTTCTAACGACCACATAAATAGGGCGACCTCAACTTCGGCGAACTCTCTGAAATCGATTATTACTGGCAGGTGTCGTTACCTGTATTGCGTTAAATAATCTCGACCGTCACCACCGTCCAGTTATTGGCCCCTACGAAGCGTTGCCGCACATGAAATGTATGATGGAGGGTGGTGAAGCCGTTGGGGATGACCGCTTACTCCGAGGGGAGATTCTGGCCATCATTCAAGTAATGGCCGGCCGGCTCAATACCAAGTCTGTCCGACCTCATGTCCTGGCTCTGGTAGGTCTTTGGATTTTCAAAAACTTCCACACCAACATCACAGAAGTGAAGACGCAGTCTGGCGCTAACCAGTGCCCCATTTCGCAGGTGATGTTCTACTCCGCCATGGGACCTCAGCACATACGAGTTCTGGAAGCATACTTTAACGGTGAGAACCTCGTTATCCGAAAAACCAAACTCTACGACATGACCAAGTACGATGCTGCCACACTAAGCCTTCTCACGCGTTGGTGGATGGGACATGCCGGTGGCGAGACCAAGACTATCAGTCGGGAGCTTTTGGAAGAGTGATGCTATTAAACATCCAGGCTGACGGCTTTTGTCTTGACGTGGTTGAGGCGTTTGGTTTTTGGTTGGCTGGGCGTTATGCGTTGTGTATTCTTTGTTCGCTATTTCCTTCTGTCTTGTCATCATCCCTTGCCTGATTAGCCATGATTCCTCGTTTACGTGATTGAAGCTCTAACATAGTACCCAATCCAAATAATTCTGATAAAGTGATCCTATTTACATGTTTTCATAGATGTTCTAGCTCCATCGATACTGACATTTTCAGGAGCAGTACACAGAATAAGTACCCAATGAGTAATGATGGAAGTAAGACAAATCCGATTTTTAAATTAGAGGTGGGAGTTGAATACAGAAGACCCAGCTTATTCATTCACACCTAACATCTCACACTAACAAATAACTTCAAGCAGAAACGAGTAATTGCGGCTCAACCGCAAGCCACTCCTGAAGAACGACCATAGAAAATTCCCACTCCGAACATAATACCCGATCAATGTCCAGTCATAGTATCGCCACTCCTGCGTAGCTTCACTTCACTTGTGCCATTCGGGATGATCTCTGGTCATTTATGAGTAGCCTCTGTTCCAGTCAATTTCAATCCCAGCCAAAAATCGGATTACAGGGGAAGAACATACCTCTAGTTTCCCTGAGCGCACTGCTTGGCGAACTTGTCCACGTAGGCAGGGAGAGACTTCTGCCAGACGGTCTGGTCAGAGTCCAGCGCCTTGATCTTGTTGCACTTCTCCTCGGTGAGCTTGGCGCTGCCAGAGAACTCCTTGACGTGGTTCTGCAAGATGGGCTGGGAGGCCTTGAAGGCACAGAAGCCGTAGTCGAGGAGGCCCTGGAAATCGTTGCAAAGAGGCTTGTTGCCCTCCTGAGCACAGCTCTTCTGCACGGCCGCGATGACCTGGGTGCTGGTCTGGTTGAACAGCTGCTGCTCCTGCGCGGGAACCTCCAGGCGATGGTTAACGTCCTTGATGATCTGTGGCATCACGTAGTTGTGCACGTAGTGGTTGTGCTGGTTGATGGTGGCCTTGCAGCCCTGCTGGCACACTTCCTTGTGGAAATACTGCATCAGCTGCTGGGGCTTGTTGCCGACGACCTGGGGGATCTCCAGGCAGCTCTGAGGGATGGATGGCAGGCTGCTGCTGCCGGCATTGCCGGCACTACCAGCGCTAGCAGCGTTGCTGACGCTGCCGACGCTGGCGGCGGAGGTAACGGTGGTTCCAGCCACCAGGATCGAAGCGAAGGAGAATTTCATCTTGGAGATTGAGAGTTGAAATGAACGGTATTGGAAGAGAGAAGAATAGCTGTCTTTGCTGATTGAGTTGAAATGGCTTTGTTGTTGAGAATGGAGTGTTGAATGGCCGGATTGAATGGACTTTATATACCTGGATGTTCAGGTCGTATACGGGATATCCATCGGTTGACGGACGGTAGAATTGCCGCGTTCGCCCCAACCCATCTTTGAGATTCAATCAAGCCCTGACTTGCGGGGAGGAATAGGCGTTTCGGATCAGGGCCTTGCATACTGGGGATTGTTGCTGGCTGTAGATCACCGACGAACGACGCGGGAGATCCACCACAGCCCAAAAATGAGCCACTGCATCTGAGGCACTCTCAACCGCCCTACGTCATGCCATTGTTTCAATTCCGGTTGGGATCAGGAACAGCCGGAAAACCCGGGGTTTCGAAAGACTTCTAGAATTTCGGTCATTACATCACGGTGTTTCATTGAGGCATCAACCGATGAATTGCCGTGATGTTCGCGCTCGTCGGTACTTGACCAGCAAAACAAGGCATGGACACGGATGAGAACAGGAACCTAGGATGTGTCTGATAACTACGTGGATGGGGAAGAATAGGCAGAAAGGACGGCTTATCCATGGTCACCTTGGAGATGGCTTCTCGTTCGCTTCATCTTCGGATGAAAAAATGGTTGATCCCAGAGATCGGCGAGAAGCATCAGGTCTCTGTGGACTACCGAGTATATTCTCTGGTCTATCCATGCGTCGGACTCATCAGATACGACATGTCAGATCATTGGCCCCAAGCGGTTACCGAAGCATGAAATGATGCCTCGGTCACGCGTAAACAACCAATCTCTTACGCGCTTCACCTAGCCAGCCAAAAATGACCGTTCCTTGTGTCTTGGTGAGCAAGCAAAGATAGATCATTAATTCTAAGGGAACTGACGAGATCAGAAGGGCCCGTGTGTCTAGCGTAGACTTCACCAGCGACATCGCTCTCCAGTTCTACCTCCGTCAGGGGGTAAAATCCCTTCCCAAGGTGCACGGAGCAATTCCATGCACAATTTTCTTCCCGCTTTGAGCATACTTCTCAAAATATTTTGCTCAAGATGTGCACACTGTGGAGACGGGTTGGCGGTATACTGAGGCTGTGGAGCAGTGTGTGTTGCAGACTGAGACCGCGACGCTGCCGGGGAATAGATGTATCAGTCCGGCAATGGTCCTCGGAAGATGCCTCGGTCGGGTCAATTTGATGAGCATATAGCGACCATACAGGCTAGATGAAAATAAACCTGGTTAACCATGCGAAGGGCCACGAATGGATGGGTAGGAGAGCGGCTCGAATGGGGAATGGACGATGTTCACGAGAAAAGCGGGTGCTGGAATACGGTACAGCACACTATACAGCTTTCGGCCAAACTCCCCAGGATGAACGGACACAAGGTAGAGCCGTAGTTCTTTTAGGGACGCTTAATCCTCGGGGGCCGGATTGAGTCTGAAACGCCTTCGACCTCATACACTCCTGTCCCAGGATGCAACTTGACTTGGTCCTCGGGCCGGTATACAAGTGCCGTGCATTCGCGGCTCGGGTTATTTTCAGATATTTATTTCGAAAAGGTCTCGAGTCGATCCAGGGGATCCAAAAAAAAATTATTTGGTAGGTAGACAGTGTAGACAGACCTCCATTCGGTCTGGTCGGGTGATTCCTTGCTGTAGGCATGGTCTCTTCGCGCCTCTCAATGCCAGTTTGTTCACCACGATCAAGTGTTCGCCAAGGTACCTGCATAGAAGATTACCAGTATGTCGCTGATGGCCCTTCCGGATTATGGAGAAGACTTGGATGCCTGAGGCACCCAGTCCAGCTTTTACGGAGGCCACAGCCAGGTTGATTGATGGACCGTTGCTGAGTAACGTTGCTAGTCCTCCGTTGAATTTCGAATCGGTCGCTCATCAAACCATTTCGCCCAAACTCCTGCGTCTTCGACTCAACCGGACGGTTTACGTGGCCAAACAGACTTTGTCTCACCCAGAGTACTGAGAGCAGTAACTCCTAGATCTCTTGTTAGCTACGGTATTTCTGCATGTTTCTTACCAGAGACCCTCTTTCGCTAATATATCTGGTATACTGAGGAATGTTAGCCCAGTTTAATTAAATCTAAGTAAACCCTTTGGATCTCCCGTTCCTGACGCACGGTTGGGACGGTCGATCGTTCCCCGGCGGTGGGGCCGACCGTTGTCAGTCAAGCATCCGTATGGAGTACTCTCTCTGCTCTTTAGCAGAGAGAGAGAGAGTCTAGATCTAGGGATACTAGTACTACCTACCTGGGGTTCTCCACCGGTTGCTGCCTACTTCTACCTACTTCGTATCCCTCCCGGAGATGGCCAACCGGACGGACTATTGGCACGCCACTAGGTAACTGGTTAGTCAATGGGCTGACATGCGCCATCGCCTAAACAATGCTAGACACTTTTTCTCCCTCCCATTTTTTCTTTCCCTTTTCTTTCACTCCCCACGCGTCACACACTCCGACTCGTTTTTCATCTCTCCTGGAATCTCCAATCTCCTGATCCTGCTACCCGCCAAGATGCGTGAGATTGTAAGTGGTCCACCTGTCATCTACAATTCGACCTTCAGCGACCGGTCCATTCGACGTGTGGACACGATAACTGACAACATGACTGCAGATTCACCTCCAAACCGGCCAATGTGTAAGTCTTCCGACCGCTGTTAGATCAGGGTGACGCTGAACGCTCGGCAATAGGGCAATCAAGTTGGATCGGCCTTTTGGTATGTCCCTCCCGGCTCTACCGCCGTTCAATCGCTAACCTCCATCTAGGCAGACCATCTCCGGGGAACACGGTCTCGACGGAGACGGAGTGTCGGTCCCCTCAATCTTCTGGCGAAGATCATCACTGACGGAGCTCTAGGTACCATGGCGATTCGGACTTGCAGCTGGAGCGGATGAACGTGTATTTCAACGAGGTGCGTCTACTACCGTAAAAAGCTCTCCCCACGTTGTATGCTGACCCTGCTACAGGCCGGTAACATGAAATTCGTCCCGCGCGCGGTCCTCGTCGACTTGGAACCCGGCACGATGGATGCCATCCGCTCCAGCCCTAACGGCGGCCTCTTCCGACCGGATAACTTCATCTTCGGTCAGTCGGGCGCCGGCAACAACTGGGCGAAAGGCCACTATACCGAAGGAGCGGAATTGGTGGACCAGGTGGTGGACGTCGTCCGTCGCGAAGCCGAGGGCTGCGATTCTCTGCAGGGCTTTCAAATCACGCACTCGCTCGGCGGTGGAACGGGCGCCGGCATGGGAACGCTGCTCATCTCCAAGATCCGCGAGGAGTTCCCGGACCGCATGATGGCCACCTTCTCCGTCATGCCGTCGCCCAAAGTGTCGGATACGGTGGTGGAGCCCTACAACGCGACCCTCTCGGTGCACCAGCTAGTGGAGCATGCCGACGAGACCTTCTGTATCGATAACGAGGTGGGACCCCCCCCCCGGTGAAGTCGATCGAAGCACGGACCCGAGGCTAATCCGATCATTTAGGCGCTCTACGATATCTGCACGCGCACCTTGAAGCTGTCGTCGCCCGCGTACGGCGACCTCAATCATCTGATCTCGACGGTCATGTCGGGCATCACGGTTAGCCTGCGATTCCCCGGCCAGTTGAATTCTGATCTGCGGAAACTGGCCGTGAACATGATTCCTTTCCCGCGTCTGCATTTCTTTATGGTGGGCTTTGCCCCGTTGACTAGCCGAGGGTCCCACTCCTTCCGCGCGGTAACGGTGCCCCAATTGACCCAGCAGATGTTCGATACTAAGAACATGATGACCGCTTGTGATTATCACAACGGCCGCTTCTTGACCTGCTCCGCTCTCTTGTCAGTACCTTTCGCCCCTTCCCCTGCTTGTCCCACTTTGTCCCGGAAACTAACGCACCCCTAGCCGCGGCAAGGTGTCGATGAAAGAAGTGGAGGATCAGATGCGCAACGTGCAGAGTCGCAACTCGGCCTACTTTGTCGAGTGGATCCCCAACAACGTGCAAACGGCGCTCTGCTCGGTGCCCCCGCGCGGACTGAAAATGTCGGCGACCTTCGTGGGCAATTCCACCTCCATCCAGGAGCTGTTCCGGCGGGTCGGGGCGCAGTTCACGGCCATGTTCCGTCGCAAGGCGTTCTTGCACTGGTACACGGGCGAGGGCATGGACGAGATGGAGTTCACCGAGGCGGAAAGCAACATGAACGATCTCATGTCGGAATACCAACAATACCAAGAGGCCAGCATCTCAGATGGAGAGGACCAGTACGTGGAGGAGGCATTCGAGGGCGAGGAGTAGACAGCTGTGCGTATTGAGCCGGGGTCTTGAGCTAGTTTGATCCTATTTGATTGATATTTTTACGCTCGGTTCTTTTGCCCGTAGACCCATTCCCCATTCCCTAGTTTTATTCACATTCCCGCATTCCACCCGACTCCATTGCGTTATCTCGGGCCGATCTAGCGTTTCCGAGCGGTGACCACCGGCTTTCTCTTAGGCATGCCGATCACTGACAATCTTGGATTTAGAGAGACAACGGTTGGTGCTAATCTGACTGGAAAAAAACAAGCTCAGCTCACTAGACACAGGCACGTTCGTTCAGTGTAGGCTAGAATATCGCCGACCGTGGACAAAATACAGGAGTTGGAAACCGAAAGAAACAGAGCGCTTTGACTTGACTCCGTGCCTGTGCATCGTTTCCCGACCGGCTTGCCGACTCCGTCCCAGGGCTACGGCCTGCAGCACCGCGTCCTATCGTGACTCCACCGCACATTTCGCAAAAGCCAAAATGGAGCCCGCCCCAATTCCCAGGACTTTTCAGTTTCCACCGCTTCCCGCATCTCCCGCCGGAGATCCGCCTGCGCGTCTGGTCGCTGTTGCCCTCGCCCCGCACCCTGACCGTGGCCTGCCAGCCAGGCGTCAATCTCATGCTGCTCCGCTACGCCTAAAAGACGTCGGCAGGTCAATCACGAAGCTCGCGCCGAAACCCTGCGCGCCTACCGCACACGCAACCGTAGTGAATACGCGGCCATCTGCATCCTAACCGAAGACGTGATGCGCTACGTGTAGTTCGAGGTGGTGACCCTCAAGCCAATGATCACTTCTACCTGGCTATACTGCAGCGCATGCCGCGAGTGCGCGATTTGGCATTGACCCTGGCCGACATGCTCTTGGACCCACGCCGGGAAAACGGGCAGCGTTATCTCGACATGCGGCAAGCGGATTTGCAGAAAATGACCGAGTCGAACCCAGAGTGGACGCGTTCTTATGTGAAACCAGGCGACAAGAGCAATCCTTAGTCAAAAGAGAATGATGTGTAATGTAAATGCATGAGGGTGCAAAGGATCTGCTTCATGTGACGGCCCATAGCCCCAGGGGTTATCACAGCGACCTTGGTCGAGACCCAGATGCGTTGGTATTTGCTCCTTGCGAAAAGAGCACCACTGCTCTAGGTCGGTTAGAATTGACACCTAATAGTGGATCACAGCATGATGATTCTTAAACTTTATCCACTTGAACTATCGCGAAAAAAGCAGGCGGGGGGCGAGGGCCGCAGTGCTTCTACTATACACTCGCAACTCCCATTATTTGACCTGCACGTGTGCGAGAAAAAATTGAGAAGCTAGACAGTTTACGTCTATACTGTCGAGAAATTTGAGTTTCTAGATAAGAAAAAAGACAGATAGGGATTTCTCCTGACAGGCCTCGTCAGCGTGGCTCAGGGGAGTCTCAAAATTGTGGATGGAAGATAGAAGAGACGAGAAACGAGGCGAGTGTGAATAACCATATTGTGTAGAGGAGCAGACCACCCCGACCAGTCAGATAAGCTAACAGACCACATGCCGGCAGACCCTGACATGGCCAACTGTCCGGTGGGCTCCGTGGTGGTCGAGAAGGGGGCATCGTGTAGAATTTTGCAAATCCACACCCCCCGGATGCCTCCCGAACGGGAAATACCCACTTTTTACATCGGGGCTGCTCGACAAATTTCAGATTTTTCCACCAGATTTTTACTCTCCACCGTGATCGTTAAATATGTAGACCGGGAGGCGCTCTCAGGATAGGCCATCATCTCGTTTTTTCACGCTCAGGTATGACTATCTTCAAGTGGTTCGACCGTCGCGGCGACCAGGAGGCCGAGGGGCCCGGCAGCCCTAAGAAGCCTTTAGAGCCCACGATCGTCTCGCTGGGCTCGTCGCCACCAGATACTCCTGCGACCGGAGTTCTCTCGCCGGCCGGAGGGGAGGAGGTGCTGGCCTTGGATAAGCGCCCGGAATTTGGTCGTTTGGCCTCGTGGAGAGGCGGGTTGATCTTGCTGGTGACATCCGGCTCTCAGTTCCTGGACAATGTGTTCATGACCAGTGCCAACATGGCACTCTCGTCCATTCAAGATGAATTCGGCGTCTCTAGTAACAACCTGCAATGGATGATTTCGGCATACACCTTGACCTTTGGTGGTTTCCTGCTCCTGGCCGGAGTGTTGTCCGATCGGTATGAGTCCCCCTGTCGGCACATGTTGCCTTGGATGCTGTACTAATTCGGATACAGCTATGGACGAAAGAATATACTTTGCCTTGGCCTGATCTGGCTCTCCATATGGACCTTGGCGATCGGATTCGGACAGTCGTTCATTCAGCTCACCATCTTCCGTGGACTGGAGGGAATCGGCGCCGCTATGACGGTACCGTCTGCCATTGGCATCATCAGTTCTTACTTCACTGGCAAAGACCGAACTCGCGCTCTCTCTATCTACGCATCGGCTGGTACGATCGGTTTCTGCGCGGGTCTGATTTTCGGTGGCTTCCTGACATCCTCTTTGGGGTGGAGGTACATCTTCTATTTCATCGTTATCATCACCGGCTCGCTAGCCGCCCTGGGCGCGATTGTGCTGCCTAAGGATATTTACATGGAGCGCACGAAGGTTAAGATGGACTACTTCGGTGCCATTCTGTCGACCGCCGGTCTTATTCTGCTGCAATTTGTGCTATCCGGTGGCGGGGTGTATGGCTGGAGCCAGCCCTTTATCATCGTGCTCTTGATTCTCGCCGTCGCTATGCTGGTGGGATTCGTGCTGCTGGAGAAGTACATCAGCTATCCCATCATGCCGCTTTCCTTATGGAAAATCCGCAACTTTGCTGGATTGTGGATCGCTGGTTTCAGTAAGTTGTTGGTGAATCGTTTATAATTTTTGCACTGCTAACGATACCAGCCTGCTACGGAAGCTACCAAAATGTCATCTACTACATCGTCCTCATGGCGCAGCAGGTAGACAATCTCTCGTCAGGCGATACGGCCCTCCGCTTCCTACCCATGGGAGTCATCGGTTTCATCGCATCCATGGGCACGGGCAAGCTCCTGGAATATTTCAACGGAAAATATCTGCTCCTGATAGGACTGTTCCTCACCGCGGTTGCTCCGATTCCTAGCGCGATCACTTCCAGTCCCGAGACGAGCTTGTAAGTAACATGCATGCATCGCGGCTTATCTGCAGGATGCTAACGCAACACAGCTGGGTTAATGTTCTTCCCACCTCCCTGATCAGCATTACGGCCGTGTCATTTATCTTTGTTACAACGAGCACCGTCATGTTGACCAGTGTACCCACTGAAATCAAGAGCCTTTGTGGTGGCATGGTACGTATCCCGCTTTGCTTTTTACTATGACACCAACTGACGGCGTCTTCCAGCTCAACACCGCATTCCAAATCGGATCGGGTGTCGCATTGGCCATCTCCGCTGCCGTCACCGAAGCCGCGGACATCGAGAAGGGACACGGTCTGGCGCAGCAATACTCCACCGGTCTCTGGTGTTCTGTCGGACTGGGCGCTCTGGGCCTCGTCATCGGATTCTTCGCCGTCCGTCGCAAGGGCATCGGACCTGAAGACCGCATGGGCGACCCGGTTGCCATCTAATTTCATTTTGCATTCGGCCTTTACGCACATTGATGATATACCTCGGTTGGGACATTAGGAATACGGATATTGGCTTTTGTTTGGTTTGGTTATTCTTTAATGTTTACTGTTTGCCGTTGCGTAGGACTTAATTATTAATGACCATAGATTCTAGACACAGGGATAGGGTCAGAGTGGCGATGATTTGATGACCCATATAAAAAGTTTGAGCTCTTTTTTTTTTTTTTTTTGCCCTATACTACCCCGATACTATTTTCGCAGCGGTCCACAAAACAAACCTTGCACGGCCCATTCTCCCAGGTGGACCTGCTGGACTCCCGTCGATCCACCGGCCATTCAGCGCCGGCGTGTCCAGCACATGGACCCGGTGGCAAGTGTGCACCCTGCATCAAGGGGGAGTGGAAACTGTCGACACTTCGTCTTCAGCCTTTTGAGTTTGAAATCCTCTCGACCTCGCCCTTATCAATTCGCGCACCGTTCTAGAACCGGACCCCTGGATGATGCACGGTCGGCTCCACCGCGGGAGAAAAGATTCCTGGGTCCACTTGAACAGAGAAGATTATTTGCCGAGCTCATGCCAATATTATTGACTTATTGCTAAGCTGGTGCTGCAGCTCTGTGCCATGGGATGTGAGTCGCGCTTAGCGAGCCTGTCATTTCTTATCTTTTTCTGTTATTGCGACACTAGGGCTTCGTTACGTAAAGTTGTCCTCTTCACTCCAGAAACAAGGTGTAGAAATTGGGACTGTCTAGTATGCGTTACTCTAGGAACATGGTCCTATTGACTCACTATCATGATCAGGAGTAAGTATGGCAGATGCGTATACACGACATCAAGAAGAAACTGAGTGCTGGAGAGCCTAAGGAAGTATAGCGGTGTTCGGTGTTTGAAGCAGAAGCAAACACCGAGCTCCGGATTGATTACGTACTGCAAGGCCGAGATGATCAGTCAATCGAAGGGCGCATCTATCCGCCCGGGGATCGGCCACGGATCTCGGCGATGGATGACTATGTCACTGGACGCATATCAATAAGAGAAGAGTCCATCATGCGACAGGACTCGAAGACTTTGACAAGGCTAGCGGAGACTTTCTATCTCATCGATGCAGCATGCCTGGCAAATTCGTCATGATGGAAAAACTAACTGTAATGATGTAGGCAAATTTGCTGCCATAAAAGGCCCGAATAGCTCTCTTTCATGCCATCTCACTCCCCTCCACTTTCTCCGTCTCCCTGTCTATTTTTGAAGTTCATACAATCCTAAAACCCCAAAGCGAAGCTTCTCTGAAGAGTCAATGTGCCAAGTGATGAATACTTTGATATGGGCCCTTATGGACGCCCCATCACCACAAAGAGTATCGACGCCCAGACCTGGTTTGATCGAGGCCTTGTCTGGGCATACTCCTTCAACCATGACGAGGCCTACCGATGTTTCGAATAAGCCATCGCTCACGATCCTACTTGCGCCATGGCCTATGTTTGACCGAAAAGACCTGGAAACGAGCGTGAAGATCTGCTATGACGCCTCGAGAAGGCCAATGAACTTTTGAACGCTGAGACTACACCCGCCGAACGAGCTCTAATCAAGGCGATCCAGTCCCGTTTTCCAGACCGACATCCGGCTTCGCACTTTGCTATCGTGGACCAATCCTATGCCTGCGCGATGGAGGAGGTATATCGAGAGCTCGGCGCCCATGACATGGATGTTGCCACTTTGTACGTGGACTCGCTCATGCATACCGCTCTCCGGAAGATGTTCCATGTAAAAACCGGTCTACCTATCGAAGGATCACCCGTTCACAAGGTCCGGCGAGTGTTCGACATCGCGCTGCAGCAGCCCGCCGCGGACACCCATCCGGGCATCTTGCATCTGTGGATTCACTTCATGTAAATGTCCTGCACTCCTACCGTTGCTCTGCCGTCGCCGCCGACGAGAAATATCTAGCAAAGAAGGGCGGGAAGAATTTCTACTCCTTCTACCGACTGCACAACTACCATTCACTTATCTACACCGGCATGCTTGCAGGACAGCTGAAGGTCGTTCGACGAGCATTGGATCAAATGGAGATCTCGATTACTGATGATCTTCTGCGCGTCGAGTCCCCGCCCCTGGCGGATTGGATGGAGTTCTTCAAGGCTGTCCGTGTTCACGCATACATTCGATTGGGTCTGTGGGAGGAGGTCATCGCTTTACCGTTACCGGCAGACCAAGTCCTCTACTGTGTGACCACCACCATGATTCACTACGGCAAGGGCATTGCCTGGGCAGCCATGGGCAAGGTCGAGGAGGCAGATCGCGAGCGAACGCTGTATCATACGGCCGCCAAGACCGTCCCACCTTCCCGCAAAGATTTTCCCAATCTCATCCATGATGTGTTTAAGGTGGCAACGGCCATGTTAGAGGGTGAGATTGAATACAGACGCGGAGACTACACTCGCGCGTTTCAGAGCCTGCGCGAGGCCATTCATTGGGATGACAACCTACGATATACCGAGCCGTGGGGATGGATGGTTCCTTCCCGTCATGCCTACGCAGCCCTAATGTTGGAACAGGGAAATGTGGAGGAAGCTGCGCTGAGGACCTTGGATTAGATGACTCACTTACGCGAGCTCATGAACATCCGAATAATATCTGGGCCTTGCATGGATACCACGAGTGCCTGACCCGCCTTGGGAGGAAAAGTGAGGCAGGCATCATCAAGCAGCAGCTCGATTTGGCTCAGCAATTGGCTGATGTGGAAATCAAGTCCTCCTGTTTCTGTCGGCTGGGGGTGATGTCGGTTGAATCTGATTCATGCTGCCAGTACAGGGAACTGCAAAACCAGCTTCACCGCCTTGAACTCTTTTCTTTATTTGGGGCCCCACTGCCAAGGAGCTAGTCTGAGAAATGAGTGCATACAAATTGACCTTGATACATTATGCCAGAAGCGCTCTTTGCCATAACATTAGTCACGCTTTAGTTCATACAATGGGACGCGAGAACATAAAGCCGTATCCCACGTTACAGTATTCCATTCTGTAAATATCGTTAAGTACAACTCCTCTGCTTAATAGAAAGCCCTGTACATAATGAACACGAATATCATAGTAACCCATAAGGCTGCATGGAGTATATACTCTGCGACATATAACCCATTTATATCTGTTCATCCTCAACATCAATGTTTGCATGTCGAAAATGACCCCGTGCACTCTGTTTTCTTGACCCTACAACGTCCAAGCTCCATTCTAGGAAATCCCTAAAATTCTGATTTGCATGTTTCTGCCAATTTCGTCTCACGAACGCCTTGAGTTCTGCGAAGTATCCTTCAATCGGGTTTAAATCAGGAGAATACGGTAGTAAGTACAACAATTTCACACCGGCATTTGAGCATAGCTCAGCTACTCGGTCAGTATGATGGAAAGACGCATTGTCCATAATAAGAACTGACTTCGGCTCTGGCCATCGACCGCAATGGAGAAGCTGTTCAATAAAGTCCTCAAATATTCTAGCATCAGTTGATTCTTGAAAGACTCGAGACATCAAATGCCATCCTGGCAATATGCGGGTATAATCTGGTGTCGCTGATCCCGCTGAAAATGGGAAACCCGGACAGGGGCCACGCTGCGGGGAGACCACCCTATCCTCCTAAAGCTAAGGCGTTTATCCACGCTAAGACCGATCTTCTAGCACTAAGAATCAACTCCTGCGCTGTTGAGCCAATTGGATCGGCTCGGAATTTCAGCTATGAATTTAATGGATCGGATGCATAGAGCACGTCCCACTTCTCAGCCGTACCGTGCCAACTCATCAGCCGGGTATATTAATGCTCTAGTAGCCTTAGCACTGGCAAAGCCGTGCTGTCACCTCATTCTGACTGTCGAATCTTGACTGGCCCATAATGGAGACTGAATCTACCAGACACGGTGTCAAAGATAAACTGAGGGGCGTCAAGGGCAAAATGAAAAGGTTGTGGCATCGAGACCACGGGACTGTAGGTGATCCCGATCAAATCAGCCAAGGCTCTTCAACGGGTCTGGAAGCTCCGCCCACCCACTGTCAAGAGACGCACGAGTCGAATGACAGGCAACGCAATGTCAAAAGTCAAAGCTTGCACAATAAGCTAAATGATGAGCGACACGATGCTGTCTCACACGACACGCCAGACGGGGACCAGTGCGACCGGTCAAGACAACGGGATCAATCTGCGGATTGTTCTTCGATCCAGCCTGCATCTGCCCCTCCTACGAAACCGGATCTGTGGCAACGCGCTTTTGATGACCTCGAGCCAGAGAAGCAACAACTTATCAAGTCTATACCGATGCCGAAATACAATAAACCGATCGACTGCAGTGATGCGAATATCAATCCCGATACTGTGGGTCGTTTAAAGGCACTCAATGGGGTAATCGAAACTGTGAAGATCCAATATGAAATCGACCAAGAAAAATCCAGGATTAAAGAACCAGCCCAAAAGATCATCAAGGCTGTTCTTAGCTTCCAGGACTTTATCCAGACAGCTGTAGCATTCGACCCAACAGGACATGCGAATAGTGTCTGGGCAGTCGTGTCCCTGGGACTTACCGTATGCTTATATTTTCCCCTCAAAGACATCAAAAAATGTGTAACTAACAGAAGCAACTCAAGATGACGCAAAACTATCGCAGTCAGAAAGTGACTTGGTTGGAATCTTGCGTTTTCCTCACAGACCTTCTTGCCCGGTATAGCTTTGTTGAGGACGAATATCAAAAGGACCCTAACACCGACGAACACGTTGAGACAGCTCTTGTTCAGATATATATCGCAGTTCTAACATTCGCTGCCCTGGTCCAGTCACTTTATGATCGTGGACGTGCTGTCTGGATCTGGAAGAGCATGTCTGGGGATTCCCTTTCCAAGCTCCAGGAATCTATTGATGAAGCGGAGTCACATCTGGGCCGATGGCTCCAGATAGTTGACCGGCGTGAACACAGGGAGAGAGGAAACCAGCTACTTGAAAAGGCGGATCAAATACTGACCAAAATTGACTGCATGCTGGACTCAGTCAATGAAATCCACGACAAGACCGTCCTTGAGGAGCTTAAGGTTGCAGAAGAGGCTCATTATAACGCATACACCGGCGAAGAGTATCAAGAATGTCTGCAAGAGACTCGAACTGAACTTCTTGAGGATATCAAGGGCTGGGCCACCGACCAACATAGGCAAGCTGTGTTTTGGCTGCAGGGCATGGCAGGAACAGGAAAGTCCACTGTGTCACGGACGGTGGCTCGGTGGTTAGATGATGAAGGCTTGCTAGGTGGTAGCTTCTTTTTTAAGAAGGGAGGAACAGATCGTGAGGATGCCAGACGACTTTTTACTACCCTTACTAAACAAATAATTAAGAGATTACCTCATCTCCAGCAGCCAGTCAAGAAGGCAATTCGGGACTTGCGTGATATTGGAAGCCGCAATCCACAAGAACAGTTTAATGAACTGCTTTTCAAACCCCTCAAGAGCTTCAATCTTGGCTTAAGGACTTCGTTGATCTTGGTAGTTGTTATCGACGCTCTGGATGAGTGTCAAGTTTCAGCTGACGTCGCGGCCTTTCTCTCAACTTTGCCTAAGTTGAATAACTTGAAAGATATCCAGCTACGAGTTTTTATTACTAGTAGGCCAGAACCACCTGTTATCAAGGGTTTTCGACCGATCGACAAGGACGTGATCATTCTCCATCAGGTGAAGAGGTCGACTATCGAGAACGATATCTCAATTTTTCTCCGGAAAAAGCTTAACGGGATAAGAGATGATTACGACGAACTACCCCGAGACTGGCCTGGGGATGAAAATTTCAAGGCCCTAGTCAATATGGCTATTCCCCTATTCATCTACGCCGCAACAATATGTCGGTTCATTAATTGTGATGGAGAATTACCAGACGCCCGACTTCAAGCTATCTTATCCTCACGCTCAAGCGACGGGATGAAGAAGATTGACAGCGAGTATTCAAAATTGACTGATATCTATTTCCCAGTCTTGGAGCATATTGTGTTACAGAAAAAGCCGAAAGAACGAGAGGACTGGATGGCCGACTTCCACCGAATCATGGGCACTATTGTTCTTCTCCTCAGCCCGCTCTCATCGGTCTCCCTGGGCAAGCTCATTTGTTTTGACGAAACCAAAGTCCGAAGCAGATTGAATTCTCTCCAGTCTGTGGTATCAGTACCAAAAGAAAGTGATGCCCCCATTCAGCTTCTTCACCTCTCATTTCGCGAGTTTCTGGTTGATCGTTCAGCATCCGATAAGTTCTGGATTCATGAATCGGCAGGTCACATGCAACTTGCCAAAGATTGTCTTCAGTATATGGACCAGAAACTACAGAAAGATATATGTTGTCTTTCACACCCAAGCGTGAAAAGAGATGAGATTGACAGGGCAGCACTCGAGAGAAATGTTTCACCTGAACTTCAATATGCATGTCGATACTGGATACGCCATTTAGAGAACAGTGAACCATCCGCTATAAACTGGACATTGATAGAAGGTTTTCTAGAGTCGCATTTCTTGCATTTGGTGGAAGTGATGAGTCTTTTCGGATGGATTTAGGAAATAATTCACAATATTACAGCTTTGCAGTCACTGGGAAAGGTCAGTAATTTTGAATAGGAGCCAGAAGATTAAGGGCTAACTGGCAGAAAAAGTCACCCTGGCTGGCTGATTTTCTATATGATGCAAAGCGATTTGTTCTAAAAAATCGCCAGATAGCCGATGAAGCGCCACTTCAGATCTATTATGCAGGGCTAGTATTTTTACCTCGAACGGCAATAATCCGTAAGAAGTTCCAGTCAGAACTTCCGAATTGGATCTGCCAGTTCCCAAAAGTTCCCGAGAGCTGGAGTGCAGAGTTGCAGACGCTCGAAGGCCATACATCCTCGGTTCAGTCTGTGGCATTCTCACCTGATGGCCGGCTACTGGCGTCCGGCTCCGAGGATAAAACAGTACGGCTCTGGGACCCAGTCTCGGGCACTCTCCAACAGACGCTCGAAGGCCATACATCCTCGATTCGGTCTGTGGCTTTCTCACCTGATGGCCGGCTGCTGGCGTCCGGCTCGTTAGATATGACAGTACGGCTCTGGGACCTAGCCTCGGGCGCTCTCCAACAGACGCTGGAGGGCCATACATCCTCGATTCGGTCTATGGCATTCTCACCTGATGGCCGGCTACTGGCGTCCGGCTCCGAGGATAAAACAGTACGGCTCTGGGATCCAGCCTCGGGCGCTCTCCAACAGACGCTCGAAGGCCATACATCCTGGGTTCAGTCTGTGGCTTTCTCACCCGATGGCCGGCTACTGGTGTCCGGCTCCGAGGATGAAACAGTACGACTCTGGGACCCAGCTTCGGGCGTTCTCCAACAGACGCTCGAAGGCCATACATCCTCGGTTCAGTCTGTGGCATTCTCACCTGATGGCCGGCTGCTGGCGTCCGGCTCGTTCGATATGACAGTACGGCTCTGGGACCCAGTCTCGGGCGCTCTCCAACAAAAAGTCCTGAGCACTCATAGCCCTGTCACGAAGCTCGAATTTTCGCCAGATAGCTCCTATCTCAGCACTAACCTGGGATCATTCAAGATTCAATCCAGCTGTAGCAATCCTATCCCCAATTCACCTAATATCGATCCACGGGTGTCTCTACAGGGTGAATGGATAGCTGTAAACAGGAAACAAGTCTTGTGGCTCCCTCCCGAAGCTAGGGATTCTTGTTCAGCGACTAAATCCAACACACTTGCCTTAGGATACCGGTCAGGTCGGATTTCCTTTTTAGGATTCCGGAAATAATCAATGTCCTTTAAATCTTATTTTCTGACATTATATTTTCAAGTATCTTTACAAAAGAAGGGACTGGGAGACAGACGAAATTTATGTAGACGTATTTCCTTCAAGAACATGCTATTCGATTCTAGTTTATAATTCAGTGGCGAATCCATAAGGTCTAATCGCCACGTTTCTACCTGCTGAATCAGACGTATTCTCAGCCATACCAGTTCATATCATTACTGTATAATTAGAGACTCCGTTGGTGCTGCTCACCAAGCCACTATGTGCTCGGATTGCCCTCTAATGCGCACTTATTCTTCTGACTAGCGCCTTGGCAGTGGGGCTCACAATAAAGAGGAAAGTGTGAGGCGGTGAAGCTGGTTTTGTAGTTCCCTGTAGTTTGTGCAGAGGGTCCAAATTACTGCCCGATATCACGTCGAAGAGGATACGAACAAGCGGGCGCTGTAGGCATTTTTGATCTCAGGACTATTCAAAGAAGAAAGCGACCCCGATTGTTTGATAGCGAATCCGTGGTTGAGGTTGTGTGCCGAACGGGAGCTAAAAACGGCCCGATGGCGATCCCGGAGGAAGCCCTTCGGACCCCTGAAAACTCTGCAAGGGATAAAACGATCCCAGCATTCCCAGCAGAATGCAGGGGTCGGGGAAGGAACACCCAAGCGAAGCCCATTCAGGTTCCAGGGATTGAATTTCCTTCCCTGGAAGATGGCAAAAGGATCACAAACCAAATGATTGCAGGCCTCATTGTCACCCTAAAGAAAGTTATCACCCAACAAACCAGTACTATCCAGTCTACCCGAGCAGAAGTCCGAGAGCTCAAAACAGAACAACAAACTCTCAAAGAACAGAACACCCAATTACAGGACGAAATCCAGGTACTCCGCAAGCAGATCGAATCCCAGGCAGTTAACCCACATCTAGGGCTATGGTCTGAAGTCGCCGCAGGAAACACCCTACCAGACCCCAAGACAATAATACCACGCCCCCGAAAAGAACCCAACTGTGTTCGAATCAGCACCGCACCGACCCTAGACCAGGATATCGACAATGATCGATTCTCAAGAGCCCTGCCGATGGAAGCAGCAAATACCCACATTCGAACTGCCCTGCTGAGTGCAGAGAACACCAGAGAAGTGCAAGTCGCGAGTATTAGTACTATCAAAACAGGCTATATTATACGATTCCGGGATGCCCAGTCTGCTGAGACTGCTCAGGGCAACACCGAGTGGCTGAAAGAGTTGGGAAATAACACTAAAGTAGTGAAACCCCGGTTTGGGATCGTGGTCCACCGAGTCCCGGCTGAGGACTTTAAACTGGATGGAAACAAGAAACAGGAAATAGAGAAGATTATAGCTGAGAATGACCTGCTTGATAGAAATTTCAGGTCGAAGATATCGTATGGCTGAAGAAGAGAGACATGCCTCTGGGAAAATCTGCCTCGATGGAGATCTGGTTGGACTCACCAGAGGCAGCTGAATGGATCATTAACAACAGACTGCTGGTGGGACAGAGGTTTATCGGCAGCGTAAAACTATACCGGATAGAAAAGAAACGATGCCGCCGCTGCCAGCAATTTGGTTACCTAGCCTGGCCCTGCAAAGAAAGGGTGAAATGTAGCTATTGCGCGGGTTAACACGACCAGCGGTACTGTTTTCCAGGAATAAGGCCGAGATACTCAGACTGCATTGGAGAACACCCGACAGGTGACCGGGCATGCCAGGCACCCCCTCAACCCAGTCCATCCCAATGACATCAAACATTCGCATCTTACAGTTGAATACCATGAAATCCAGACCAGGGATGGAGGCCCTTATTAACGATCACTAAAGCCAGAGCCTAGACCTCCTTCTGATTCAGGAACCACTAAAGACAGTATACCACATCCATATTAATTACAGCGCATGGCGACTCTACTGACCTACACATCCTGAAACACCTCGGTTCCGCAGCCTCCTCTATGTCAACCGGAGGATCTCTACATCATCACATCGCCAAATCCAGTGTGGCCACCCGGATGTGGTAGCTATCAAGGTCTGGACCCCAGAGCTCCAGTATCTAGTGTTCTCTATCTATATCCAGCCAATCGCGTTACATGATACAGTTGAGGCGAGCAGCGCACGCGAAATTCTGGCAGAAATTCAATAAACTATCCAAGACTAAACTGAGCAAGACAACCGCACGACGAAACTTATCTTGGCTGGGGATTTTAACCGCTATCACATCGGTACTCGATCTTACATTTATAAACGACATAACACGGCTGATCAAATGCCAACTTTACCATAACCACTACGGGTCCGACCACCAGGGTACGTACTCGGAATAGAGCCTCCAACCAGAGCAAACTAGGAAACCCAAGCCGAGAAGAGCGTATGACCGAACAGACTGGGCTCAAGTAGGCTAAACGATAATAAGATCGATTGACTTACGTCCGAGAATTCAATCCAAGCAGGATCTAGACCAAACAGTCGACTATCTGATTCAAATTACAATAACTGCGCTAGACTAACATGTGCCGGTGCAGGCCCCGTGCCCGTACTCGAAACGCTGGTTCACTGCCGATCTCAAGACCCAACAAGTGGAAGTCAACCAAACCCGCCGGAGGTAGCAAGACGGCTGTGCTACCCTAGGACCCAATTACCCAACCACCAAAGAGATGTTTGGAGAAATGCGCGAGAAAAGGCGAAAATGGACAAGGGCGATTGAAAAGGCAAAGACAAATCACTGGAAAGAGTTTCTTAATAAAGCAGGTAAAGGCTAACTGTAGAAAGTAGCTACTTATATGCGCCTACGAGACGCTTATACGAGCATCCCGACAATCAAAGTAGACACGGAGGAGGTAGCTGACAACTAAAGAAAGACAGAGGCATTTCTGGATATTTTCTTTCCGAAGATAGCAGAACCTAAAGTGGAAGTAGAGATTAATCCTACAGAAGAATTACTGTAAGAACCAATTACTGAACAAGAGATTTACCGATTATTCTGAGTCGCCAAGGGAATCACGGCCCCTGGTAGAGATAAAATTTCCACACTTGTATGGAAATATCTCTGGACGTACCTAAAAGAAACTGTAACTACGATCTTTACAAAGTCAGTAGACCTGGGTTATTATCCCAGACAATGGAAACAGGCGCGGATTGTCGTACTGCAGAAGCCAGGCAAACTAGACTATTCAGTGCCAGGAACATATCGACCGATATCACTACTGAATACGCTGGGAAAGTTACTAGAAGCTGTAATGGCCCGAAGACTCTCCTACTGGGCAGAGAAATTTAAGCTGCTTCCGGACACACAATTTGGAGGCAGACCGGGGCAAAATACCGAACAAGCCCTACTGGTTCTTGCTAACGCAGTAGACCGAGCGTAGGTACAATCTAGGGTAGTAACACTAATTGCCTTTGATCTAAAAGGGACATTCAATGAGGTCCACCAAATTAGCCTTGACGCCCGACTGCAAGCTAAAGGTATCCCATTAAAGGTCCGGCAGTGGATCCGCAGCTTTATAAAAGATCGACAAGCTAGTGTCACATTTGATAACTTTGAAACAGAAAACTTACCCCTGGAAAATGCTGGCCTGGCACAAGGATCGCCACTCTTACCAATTCTGTTTGATTTTTATAATTCTGACCTGGTAGATCAACCGGTCGACAGTAACGGCGGCGCATCAGCCTATATCGACAATTATTTTCGCTGGCGAATTAGCCGAACAGCTGAAGAGAACATCAAAAATATCTAAGAAGAAGACATTCCCCGAGTTCAAACTTGGGCACGGTAAACAGGCGCATTTTTCGCCGCTGAAAAGACTGAATTGATACATCTTACCCGGCAGAAAACAGCCCACGGAAAAGGGTAGATCGTTATAAACGGTCAGGTTATCAAACCGGCCGATACTGCTAAGCTTCTTGGAGTGACCTTCAATAAAGAAATGCGATGGAAAAAGCATGTGCAAAAAGCGATTAAACAAGCAACTAAAATGACTATAGCCTTGAACGGGCTCAGATATCTCCGGCTGGAGCAGATGCGCCAACTCTACCAAACGTGTGTAACGCCAGCTATAAACTATATATTAACAATCTGGCATAATCTTCTGCGCAATAAAACTTACCTGAGATCTTTAGAGACTGTACAAAGAACAGCTCACATTCGGATTTTCTCAGCCTTCAGAACAGTATCTACGGTAATCCTCGAAGTCGAATCTCACACATTACTAACCTACCTGCGACTCAAGTAACGAGCACAGATAATAGTGGCCTGCCTCAGTACCCTCCCGGAAGACCACTCTGTCTATAGAGTGGTAAGCTGAGCGAGAGAACGGAACACGCATATCGGAACTGGCTAACGGTTCCCTTTAGCAGAAACAATGCGGACGATAGATCTTAGCCGGCTACAGGCACTAAAAACGATTGATCCAGAACCACTATTACCAAGGCGGCCTGAACCATTTGCTGAAATCGCGATTGAACCTGACCGGGAAAAGGCCAAAGACAACGCTATAACTCGACGGATGTCAAATAGTATCTCCATTTTCTCGGATGCGTCGGGAAAAGGCAACTATCTAGGAGTAGCAGCGGTCGCCCTAGATCAAAACCAGATTGTGGTAACATTACGGCAAATAAGTATCGGCTCGATAGAATACTGGTCAGTGTATGCTGCAGAACTTATAGCAATATATTATGCTATCAGTTTGGTCTATCAGGTAGCTCGACGAAACCCAACGTCGGTAGGTTCCTGTAAACCAGCAACAATATTAAACGACAGCATGTCAGTACTCCAGGCAATTTCAAACACGCGGAATCGATCAGGACAGCGAACAATCCAAGCCATCCTCCGAGCGGCAAGTGAGATTCAGGCACGGGGCATTCCCATCCGTCTCTAATGGGTACCAGGACACTGCAATGAACTCGGGAAGGATACAGCGGATCGCCTGGCGAAAGGAGCAGTTAGCAACAAGAAAGAATACCCCTTCTAATATGTTATTTCCCGAGAGAGAAGTTTCATTCGACGGAAAATCAGAGAACAATAGAAACAAGAATGGGCGATCTTAAAGAAAGGCGGGCATCTCCGCCAGATTGACAAGGCATTACCCTCGATTTACGCTCGAAGACTATACGGTTTACTACCAAGAAACCGGGCCTATCTACTGACACAAATCCGTTCCGGCCATTCATGGCTCGCATCATACCGGAAACTACGTGGTCATCAAGAAGAGGACAAATGCGAATGCGGAGCCAAGGAAACTATAACCCACGTGTTGGTTGACTGCCCGAACCTGCGACAACCCCGTCAGGAAATGCGGAGGAAGATCGGGGCTGCTTTCAGCAATATATCATTTATGTTGGGAGGAGGTCAACAAGGTAAGGAAAGTAAGATAGAAAAGCCTTTGCAAGACACTAGCATTGTCGGTACAGTCCTAGATTTTGCGGAGGCGTCACAGAGATTCCGAAGCTGCGTGCCACGAGGGCCGCAAAACACAACCCCAGGCACCGGCCAACACAGGCCTTGACGAGGCTCCAAGTTCGTCAGGAAAGCAATGGTCTAGATTGAAGGGATGTACATAGAGAGTAGGGATAGTGGTACCCTGCATATCGCCTATGGCGAGGGGTCAGCGTATGAATACACACACACACACACCCTGTAGTTTGTGACTGGCATGTGTATATATCGGACTTGCTCAAAGGTCACTTCTCAATGATACGAATCCATGGGATTACGTGATCTAGCGGCTTGGCCCGCACACTCGAACCCCTGAGGAACTTACCCCTTGATCTATCCATAGAAGAAGAGATCAATCGTTATGCAAGAGAATTAAGAGCCTTATCATCCAAAAGGCATTCGCTCCTTAGTAGGCTACGTGCGTATAGCCGATACAGTGTCATTCTGCCCTCCTTCCCCTGTGCATTTAACAACAAAAACTTCCCTCCCCAGTGGAAGGCTCCCAGGCTGTAGACTCCGTGCCAATCGCAGCTCATCATTATGACTCATTTGACCAGTCGGTCTTGGCACTGATCTGCGCACCAATAGGAGACCGGAAGAAGAGGGCAAAATTCGGGGAGTATAAATCTACGCCAGGTCGTCTTCAATCCCAGAATAATCATGGCTTTATCCTCCCTTGTCCAATTTATCCACTCCAACTTCTGTTTGGACTATACTTCCTATAGGTGTCGACGCCAACACGGATGCCACTGCTAGACCAAACAGACAGTATCCACCATGCCACAATGGACGCTCCTGTCTATACATGCCCACCAGGCCTACACGAGATACCCGCCAATCAACTTGATCTACGCCCCGATTATGAAGTCGATCATGAACTACTCAATCCCCGGAAAATTGCAAACGAGAAGAATATTTGGTTTTTCTGGCGCTCAGGATACAGAAGCATGCACTCTTACACGAAACGCAATATCCGAGGCTAGCATCGCCGTTTCTTGCGTCAAGGCTGGACAATCCGCGTCGTTGACCGTCTACCGGACTCCCCCTTGAATGCATCCAATTTCCCCCAGGCCTTCATCGACAACTGCCTCTCGGGCGAGTACGCGCTGCCGCACACAACCGACCTCGTACGGTTTCCACTCCTCCTCAAGTACGGCGGTGTCTATGCCGACGTGGGCTTGATTCAGATCGGAGACTTGGACCGCATGTGGATCGAAACCGTGGCCAACCCGGCTTCCCCGGTCGAGGCTCTCTCGTATAACTGCGCCGGCGTCTAGTCGTTGAGTCTAGCCAACTATTTCCTCATTTCCCGCCCTAGTAACCCATTCTTTGACCGGTGTCACAGACTCTTGTTAAAGCTGTGGGAAGAACGGACTAGTATCGAAGGGATGTCGAAGAGTCCGTTGCTCAAAGGTGTTCCGTTCATGAACCCCTCAGCGAGTTTCGAGGAGGATGGCAAGACGTTCAGTCCCGGCGAAGTCAGCACCCTGTTGACGGACTTCATCATTCAAGGCCAGGTCATGTCATTGGTCATGGGTCTTGTCGATGAGGAAGAGAAATGGAACGGTCCCGAATATGTGGCCCGACACATCTTCGGCATCGACTACATGGTCGGATCGCAGCTTATCAACGATCTGACAGCCTGGAATGGGACCAAGGCGTTCGAGTTAATGTCGCTTCGCCTGCCACAGGAAGGGGAGACCGAATCGGAGGACCAAAGGTTCGCGAGGGAGATTGTGGAGGCATGTTTGTCGATGAGGTTTGGGTTTAAACTGGCTTATGGGTTCATTTAGAAAGTGTTTGGAAATACGCTTGGATCGCTTTGGAGACAGCATGATGGGTCGAATAATGCTCCTCACACTTACGCCCACTGGTTGCGATACGGCGTGGTGCATTGGAATCAAGATGAACTCCCATCGGCGAAGGATTTCGTGGTCCCGGAACCATATAAAAGAGGTCCTCTGCTACGGGATGAGTGAGGATGGAGTTCTTGAGACAATAAAGATATAACAAGTAGTTCGCAGAGTGGAATAAAACCATGAGGATAGTTCTCGGATTGGGACTGCGATGAAAGCGTTGAAGAATTCATAATAGCCAGCTACTTCATGTCTACTCTGCGGTCTCCAGATATCCCATCACCTTCTCCACTAGGAATCTGCGAGGTTCCGCTTGATCATCGTTACTCAACGCGTGAGAAGCATTAGGCACCACTGCCGTATGCTCATCATCCCAAATCTGGCCTTCGCCATCAGGGTCCGTGGCGCTCTTCCACCGCTTCAACATGGCCTCCTTATCCACCCACCGGGGGACGGACTGATCAGCCCCCGAGAACAACACCATCAACTTGTGTCTCAATAGCCCCCGTGGCTTGATCATCCCGAAGGTCTTCCGTAGTTGCTCCTCCCCGAGGTCCGAACTGAACAGATCGTCTTCTCCCGGCGTCTGGGGACTTTCCGGACTGACGAGACTAAGGAACCGTCGACAGCTGATGGGCGTGTTCCCTGGGTAGCAGATCCCCGAAGTCACCGAGAGCGGGAGCAACGTATCGCAGGACTCGTTCTGCTGGACGGCTTCCTTCGCCATGGCCACTGCCTTCTCATAGATCGGTCGGATCTCGCCGGGGGTCTTATCCCCGAATCCATGCGCCAAGACCAACTGGATGGCCTGTCGGTCGGACACGGGCGCTTGCATGATCGCTCCGTCGAGAGGCAGACGCTTGACGTGTTGGAGATCCGGGTCGAAGGGTGCAGTGGTGGTGTGCGGATTGGGTCGGGATAGGTAGTGTAGGACGCATTGACTGCCGGTGGAGTGGCCCATGAGCACGATCTTGCCGTCGCCGAACTTGGAGGTTTTGTAGTCTTTGATGTACTGGAGGCATTGGGCGATCTCGTTCGTGTCTCGGTCCAGATGCCCCAGACCCCATGATTGATAGGAGGATGTGAGGTTCAGGGTGAAGAGTGACCAGCCCGTGGGTTGTAAGGCGTGGATCAGGTCCGCCATGTAAGAGGTCGTAGCCAGCCCATCACCCAGACCGCCCACGAAGATCAAACTATGAGGTTTTCGAACGGCACCGGTGGTGTATTCAAACGTGACGAGGCTTTCGGTCTACATTGCGCACCCCATCGGAGGATCATGTTAGATCATTGAACTAGAATGTGGGAGGGAGAGGGACAGCAGGGCGTACGTAATGATGCAGGATGCCGGGGAGGCCTCCCTTAGGCCAGAACTTGGAGTACATTTTGCTGTGCAGGGAATAATAGGGTGGAAGGGTATGCAGTAACGCAGTATAGTCACCGTGAGTGTGGGATGAAAGACTCTCCGTCATCAATCAGACAAGGTGGCATAAGGAAGGGGGGGGTAATTGGGGTCCATCTGATAAGTTTCCGAGATCGGCACTCCGTTCCCTGCATAACGGGGTGGATATGTGGGCTTCCATCGTTGGGCCATACGGAGGAGCAGGCAGGGGGGAAAACAGAAAGGGAGAAATTCGATTCCCACAAAGAAGCAGGAAGAAAAAATCCTTCCCGAGGAGATGGCTCGGGGCATGGAATGACACAGACCGAGTAAAACCCACTTGGTTTACGGTGTAATGTGTACGGGGTATCAATCTGGAATCCACTCTGAACACAGAATGTTACATACCGTACCGCTGGGTATCTACCAGGTATCAGTATTATACCCTAAGATAATATTTCCTGGTGCCCATCCGTGCCATTACCTAACGAAATGGAGTCCCACCAATAAATGCTTGACTCCGATAATGCATGAAATTTCGAAGACGGGAGGGAGGATGGATCTTTTCACCAGTTATGTTCGGTAATACCGGTGCCGTTATCAAGTTCGGCGTGTCCACTTGGGGCAGAAACGTCCCACGGCTGATGTGAATTTCTTACACATCTCACAGGCACGACAAGACTGAAAGTACGGACTCTACGGAGTACAGACTCGCTTCAAGGTCTGGATCAGATTAGATTTGGTGGCTGGAAGCCGGAGGATCAGATTAGATTGCCTCTCGGTTACAGGACCCTCTTCGGGTTAGAGTACCGTTGGATTCGTCAAACCATTCGTAACAATCAATCTATCGGTCTTCAACATGGACGGATTACCTCGGTCAACTGTCCCTAGATGACTCATTTCAAATGCCTGCGGGTTGATGCATCAGGGGGAATTCCCATAGAGACGGCCACATGTGAACAGACGCAGATCCCCGGCAGATTTGATATTTTCAACCCCAGCGATGCCCAAGGCATGTGATGTTCCAACATCCCAGCCACTGCATAACAGGCTCGGAGTATCTTGACCTGAACATTTTGGAGGATTGATAAGGTTCAATGGGCTGCTACTATTGTCTAAGCGAGATTATGGAGGTTTGTAGAAGACGAGGTCTCGGTATAATTAGCACGTTGGTTTATGTGGAAGCCTTGGAAGACAGCTCGCGCCAAGGCATCGACCGGGTAAAATACAAAGCGAATCTGCACAGTGCCCACTACACAGCCAAGATCGATGGTCTTGTCGGTATGAGCTTCGCCAACTCAAGTTTAGGGCTGATAATACCCAACCGGTGGGCATCGATTGTGTGTAAGTAATAAATCATTTCCGGGAGTCTGAAAATTACTCGGGCTGAAACTGCCTAGGTATGTATGTATGTATGCACCTAGTTACCTACTGTACGGAGTATGAAATAAAAATCAAGAGAAGAAAAAGTAAAGATACACAGCTCCGACTTCCCATGAAACCCAAGACGATGGAGTTTGGTATTTGAGAACTCTTCGGTACGGAGGAGAAGTTTTCATCGTTCTACATGCGTAGACTAAAGACTCCCCACTCTTGTTTCCAACGATGGTGGAAGGGGGTTTGTCCTGGCGCCGTGCATGTGAACGACCGATTATCCTACCTGACTCGGTAATCAAGCCCGATCACTATGATTCTCCAGAACTCACTGGCAAATGGAGCTGCTGCGTACCGCGGAGTCCGTAGTGTTCAGTGTATGTACGGAAGCTGCTGATTTCCGTAGCGACGAAGCATTTCGGACAGAGTCTCATGTCGCAGACCCACACTCGCCTTGCCGGGCTACCATGAACCGCCCATTACCTACGTACTCCGTACTGCTCGGATCAGATAAGTTTCTTCTTCCCCCACAGGCTCGGTCCCAGGAAACTAAGAGAATACTGAATCCCGAAAATTTCAGTTGGGTACTCCGTACTTGGCAAGCATGCGGTTCTTGTAGATCTTATGTATGAACGTTGGAAAGCCGGGGCTTCTTCGAGCAGAACCGTTCTAGCTGGTCACTCTTCCTGCCGCGAGAAGTTGCTAATGGGCACTTCAACGGTGATGCTAATAGGCATGTCGAGGTAATTCCTCGGTTATATGCTCCGTACTCCGTAGGCAGCCGGATAATTAAAGATAACGTCTTACCTTTCAGGGGGTCGGGCCATGGAAAGCCCTCTGGCGCGAGTAATCTGATTAGATTGATAGAGCGTTCTGGCTCCCAGTCGCGGGACAGTCAAGATCTTAGTCTCCACTCTTGACAGCGTCTGACACCCAGCAGAATACGCGGTAAATTAAAACGTCAATCCTGTTAGCTCCGAAGGAGTTGCCTTCCTGAATCGGTAGGGATCTTCGCGCGCACCTGGAATCTTTCCATCTGAATTTTGTACAGTACAAAGTTTGCCTTGCTTCTCAAACCATTAATCCGAACAGTTCTCGTGTTAAGTCGAGTTTCAGCGCTACGGACCACTCCTAGCATCACATAATGAAATTGAATTCCGTGGAACAACAGTATCCGCCATTATCCAATTAGTTCTCTAGCCCGGTCCTCAGATGCTCCGTATCACCCTAAAGCTTCGCATCCCACGCCGTCCGATCCGAGCTCTCCAGCGGCCTCTCACGCCTGTCCCAGAACAGCGGACACAGCTGGAACCATTTCTCCCGACTGCAGTAAACATGGACAGACCGCTTGTGGCCTAGGTCGACATATTTTTGGATCGTGAGTCCGTGGGCATTCTCGTAGGAGAGGACGGTGGAGTTGGTCGCCTTGGGCTCGCCCACCACGCACGTCGTCCGTGGCTCGTCGAGGAAAATGTAATGGATCACGCTGGCCCACCAGGCGTTCACCCGGTATGCGCCCCGAACGCTGTGCTCTCCCACCAGAGAATGTCGGCCTCGATCGTAGTCGCCGGCGTCGTAATGCGCTCCGTAGTGGTCCTCCTAAACGTGAATTCAGGTGTTAGATTGAGTCAAGGTCCGCTAGATCGGATGTACGGGGGACTTACCTTTGCCCAGTACACTTCGAAATACGAGAACGGCGCGTCATCGAACCGTCCAAACAGACACAGGACATGCTTGTCTTCGTGAAGCCGTCGCAGGTACTCGCGGTGTTCATCCAGCGTGCCTGTCTCGTTCCAGCCCTTGGCCACCCGCGGGTCGTTTTGCCATTTGTTGAACAGTCGCAGATGCGCCTCATTCTGCCAATCCACCACCATCAGTGAGAAATGTTGGTCGATATGCGGGATATAGCGACTGTAGACCAGCGACCCAGGAGTAGGCTTCTGGGGGCGAACGGGATGCCGAGCATAGACGCGCTCGTCCGGAAACTTCATGGAAAACTCGTAATTCTGGGCTAGGGACGGGTATTGGTTGACCGAGCGGCGCATCAGGCCATGGATGCCCTGATCAACGACCCAGATTGGCCGCGGGCCCATCGGCGAACCGGCTCCCTGCCAGAACGCCGATCGCAAGAGAATTATTGTATCGAGACCGGATTCGCTACTCTCTGTGCCGAAGGGAATGCGCGGCGCAGGGAATGGGATAGCCAGCCCGGTACGAAGGCATTCTTCGCGCACCACCTCCTTCCCAGGACCCAGCAAGTCTAGGCGCACGATCTCATTCTGCGGATGGGTGAGGAAGATGGCGTGGATGGCGTTCCAGAACTGTCCCAACGTGGGTGGTACTGAATCTGTCCATCGAAAGGAAGTCCCCGGTGCCCTCTGACTGCGAGCCCAGGGACTGTTATCTGTGGTGGGGATATCCTGAGCGGATTCGTTGTACGAAAGGTCTGTAAAGGTCAAGGAAGCGTTGTGTAATGGCTCTGGCAGGGCCTGTCCAGCCCGAGAGTCATGTAACTGAAGTTGAAGCTCGCGCGGTGTGGAATCAGAAACGACGTGAATCTTGTAGGTAGTGAGGTAGGGATGGGGAAGCTTCACCCAAGGATAGGACGCTTTTTCATTCATTGTAGGCTCTATCACTGTCACGGCGAGGTTGAACTTTGTAGGCGACTCAAAGTGACTTTGGATTTGCATTGAAAAAGAGGCTTCAATGGAAAATGGAAAGAGTACGGTGCCAGCTAAATAACTGACGCGCTGGATCTAGGATATAAGTATCAGCCAGGACCGAGGCATAGGTCCGGAGAGTGGAGCAGGGCTGGATCCGTATAGAATGACTCGGAGCAAAATGGGGCTCCGAGCTATGACCTGACACAAGAATAAATACAGTCGAACCTGGAATTGCAATCTTTTACTTAAGACGCCGTAGGACTGCCCCAACCCCTCCGTCCCAGCCGGTGCCTCAGCTTACAACATCCCTCTAATCTCGCCACATCATGGCAGTAACAAACCACGAACACCCTTCGGTTCAAGGGTGTCTTGTCTCTTTTCCAGCACCTCAAATTCTTCTCCTCACCCTCAATCGACCCAAGCAGCGAAATTGCATCTCGCTCGCTACGAGCGCGGACATACAACGGCTCTGGGAATGGTTCGATACAAACCCCGATTTACGAGTTGCAATAATTACGGGCACTGGCGTATCGTTCTGCTCCGGAGCGGATTTAAAAGGTATGACCCATACGTTCTCAATATCCGATCCCGTATCATCTTGTCTAAGTAACATGACAGAATGGAACGACCTAAACGAGCGTGGCATAACGAATGAGATGACAGCACCGGGCCTGGCCGGACTGCCTCGCCGAAGGGGGGGGAAGCCAATTATTGCCGCCGTCAACGGCTTTTGCCTCGGAGGCGGATTCGAGATGGTGGTTAATTGCGATCTCGTCGTGGCAAGTGAGCGGGCTCGCTTCGGTCTGCCCGAAGTGCAGCGCGGAATTGCCGCCGTCGCGGGCTCGCTGCCTCGGTTGGTTCGAGCGATTGGGAAGCAGCACGCCGCGGAGATGGCCTTGAGCGGTCTCACTTTTTCCGCCTCTCAACTGGAACGCTGGGGCTTGGTGAGTCGCGTTGTGGCAAGCGCTCAGCTGCTGGAGACAGCGGTGGAGATGGCAAGTTCCATCGCCAGCAACAGCCCGGACAGCACCCGAGTCACAATGGAAGGGCTTCACTACGGATGGGAGATTGCCAGCGTCGAGGAAGCCAGTACTAAACTGGTAGATCAGTGGTATTCCAAGCTCATTGCCGGAGAAAACTTTCGCGAGGGTGTCCGGGCATTTGTGGAGAAAAGGAAGCCACAGTGGAGGCCGTCTAAATTGTAATTTGGCACGAATAATATGATCTAATGGATATAATCTACTTATAGCCCAAACATCTACTCTTTTAATACCACTAGAAAACAAGTCCTTGAGGACTACTCCGTAATGCGTCGGCATAGACTCAAGAGCTTAGGTTGCGCATTTACTGACTTGTGAGGTCTCATACCACCGGAGTCCTCATCGTCTTTCTCCTGAACCACCTGAAACTGATACCTTAAGATTTAGGGTACGAACAACACGCGCTAAGCAAGAGGTGCGCTTTGACAAATGCGGTATGTCCTTACTGGCATTTGAGCCGTCCTTCCTGGTCACAGCCCGAGAGTCCGTGCTGAAAGTTGCACTGTCAAGCTCGGTGTCTTTCTCAGGTAGAATCGGATACCAGTAAACAGATGCGTTCATTAAGATCCGGTCGTAGGTATAGGTCTTCTAGGCATAGGGATTTGGTATACGTAATGACAACTCGGCGTTAAGAATATCATCGGTAGCTGTCCAAGTAGAACTCCGTGGACTCGTGCCATTATATTAACAGCCCACCTTCACCTGTTTTGATCAATGGGTATTGTTATGTGGTGGTCTTTTGCAAAAACGCAGACACAAAGCTACGTACTGTACCATACCTACCCGGTAGGGCAGTGACCGTCGTAAAAATTGTCATTTCGGGATGGTCGGAACAGCCGGTGTCGCGCTAGTCCCCGGAGTGTTTAGCGGTATCACCACAATACCACGATTTTTGAGTGCGGAGTAAAGTACTGTGTACTGTAAGTAGGTATGTATGTATGTAAGAAATCAGTATCCACCGTGTCCAAAAATGGATCGACTCCGTATACCTCCAGCATGGGTTTTCATGTCCCCTCGTGAAACTCGCGCATGCGTGTCCAAAACTGCTTGTTTTCGGCAGAATGTGGGCATCCATAGAATCCACCCTTACCAATAACAGGCGATGCCGGTGCTCGGCCTGTCCAGGTGCCTGTCCGGAATGATCTGATGTTCCGGCGGACGAGAGCGCTGCTGGGTTGCTTTCCGATTCCATGTACCATATAATCCGTAACACAGACTTGCGCTTAGCGGGAGCCCGTGTTAATACTCATCCTCCTTCTTCAGTACTGCAAAAGTCCCTCTGTCGTCAGGCTGGACTACCGGCAGCATGGGCTCCATTCTTGATATTTCCTCCGGGCACAGCAAGCGCCAGAATGACGCTGTGGACAAGCCAAACACGGCGCCATTCCAGGAGGCTTTTAGGGCGTTCAAAATTGTTGGCTTGGCGTCGGAACAGCCAACGGGCATGAAAGATGAAGTCCTGCTTCTCTCGTGGCTCATAGTTCTCTTGCGGACCCGCGAAGACCACCAATTCTCGCTTGACTGGTCGCACCAGGGTTGGGAAAATGGCGTCGCGAACGAGTTCGAAACGCGCTCTCTATCAATGAATGAAGTCGTGATAGATTTGCGTAACCCGGTGGGTCAAGTTGCTGGTGATCTTCTTCCTCGCATCGCAGCGACTGCGCCCAGTCCATGCACGGATGCGACCGATTCTATCTCCCTTCTCTTCAGTACGTGCTCCCTGTCCCGACAATCCGCGGGTACAAGAGATGAGGTGAGCATGTAATTCCATCGATTTTAACGCCTAGGTGACTAACCCTGACACACCAAGGCCATCCTTCACCTCGAAACCCGCTTCCACGACGATCTACTCGAAATCCGCCCGACATGGTGGACTGAGAATATGCTGCCGTACACAATCACACGATACATCGAGAACCTCGTTGAGACCGTCCGAATATGTCTCGCGCACCCGAGCACCCCAGTTGCGGACCTCACTCGTCCAACTGAAAGCGACATTGGCGAAATCTGGCGGTGGAATCATCAGCTACCCACCCTTTACGACTTTTGCATGCACGATATGATTTCCGAGCGAGCTCGTGACCTTTCGGACAAAGTAGCGATCTCATCGTGGGATGGCGACCTGACATACGGCCAGATCGACCGATACTCCACTTTTGTGGCCAGCTCCCTGCGACAAATGGGAGTTAAACTGCATGATGTTTTGCCCATATGCTTCGAGAAATCCAAATGGACGATCGTCGCCGTTCTAGCCGCCATGAAATCAGGCGCTACTTTCGTGCTCATGGATCCAACGCTGCCTCTCGCACGTCTCCAGAACGTGGCAACACAAGTAGGCGCCGAGGCAATGTTGACATCCCGCATGCAGCAGGAGCTGTCAACAGCTATCATCCCAAATGAAAGACAGATTGTCGTGGAAGCGGAGCTGTTCGCCAATATGCCTGATGTGGAGACCATTGCTCCCCTACCAACCGTCCCATCATCGGCTTTGATGTACATGATCTTCACCTCGGGTAGCACCGGTACTCCGAAAGGCGTCAAAATTTCACACGAAACCTATACTAGCAGCGCCATTCCTCGAGCAAAGGCCGTTGGATACACAGAGGAATCGAGGGTTCTTGACTTTGCCTCCTACGCGTTTGACGTCAGCATCGACAGTATGCTTTTGACTTTGGGGAACGGCGGCTGCCTATGTATTCCGTCCGACGAGGACCGATTGAACGATATAAACGAGGTCATCCGCAAGATGCGAGTCAACTACGCAGGATTGACCCCTTCAGTGGCTCGCATTTTAGATCCGGACGTGATCTCATCCCTCAGCGGGCTTGGCCTTGGAGGGGAGGCGGCCTCGGCGAGAGATGTCACAGTCTGGGGTCAGGATACTCGCATCATCATTGGGTACGGTCCGTGCGAATGTACAATAGGATGTACTGTGAACAGCAGCGCCGCCACGGGTAGAGACTACATCTCGATAGGTCCAGGAAACGGCGCAGCAATCTGGGTGGTCGATCCCAACGACCACGAACTGCTCATGCCGGTAGGCGCCGTGGGCGAACTACTTGTCGAAGGTCCGATCGTGGGACAAGGTTATCTCAACGACCCTGAGAAAACAGCGGCTGCTTTCATCGAAGATCCCTCATGGTTGCTCGCCGGATATAGGGATTATAGAGGTCGTCGCGGGCGACTCTACAAGACGGGGGATTTGGGCAAATACGACCCGGACGGTTCGGGAGAAATTGTTTTTGCTGGAAGGAAAGACACGCAGGTCAAACTTCGTGGACAGCGAGTTGAGCTAGGCGAGATTGAAAGCCAGCTCCGGGCTATCCTGTCATCGGATACCAGCGTTATCGTGGAGGTGATTGTGCCCCAGGGATCCGGCGGCCAACCGACATTGGTGGCATTTGTCGCGTCCCAGTCTCCGAAGGGGCAAGAGAGCGCGGAGATTGAATCAGCACAGCCATCGAACGAGCTGCGTGATTCGCTGTCAAATGCCAATTCCCAGCTGGCAAAAGTGCTGCCACGATATATGGTGCCCACCGCATACATTCCGGTCACTTACATCCCTGTTTTGATTTCGGGCAAGATCGATCGCAAGCAGCTACGACAGTTCGGCACGTCAGTCGACTTGCGACAGTTGGAAGATGAAGGGTCGACTGCGACCTCGAGTCGAGAGCTGAGTGAGCTCGAGCAGCGCCTGCGAAAGACTTGGGGCCAGGTTTTGAAGCTCGAGCCAGAGACCATCCGGCTGGAAGATAATTTCTTTGCGCTCGGTGGCGACTCGGTGGCTGCCATGAAACTCGTGTCTGCCTGTAGAGCGTCCGGTCTCGACCTTTCGGTCGTCGGCACTTTCAGCCACCCAACACTCTCACGCATGGCCGGTGTAGTTCACATGAGCGACTTAGAGACACAAACGGAGGCCCCGCCATTTTCCATGATCACGCAAGATAAGGACAGCGCGTGCCTAGAGGCATCCCAGGTTTGCGGGTCAAGCCCGGACGACATCAAAGACATTTACCCTTGCACTCCTACGCAGGAATCTCTTTTCACGTTTTCACTGAAATCAACCAAGGCGTACGTCGCCCAGAGAGTCGCCTGTATCCCGCCACATATCAGTCTCGACGTGTGGAAACGCGCATGGGAGGCGGTTGCCGCCGCAAGCCCTATTCTACGCACTCGCCTAGCCCAACTTCAGGACCCTGGCCTTCAGCAAGTGGTTTTGGAAGAGAATGTCACATGGCGAAATTCGACAGATCTCGTGCAATACCTTCAAAATGACCGGAATGAAAAGATGAATCTCGGGGAACGGCTGGCTCGATATGCCATCATCGATCATCCAGATGAAGGAAAGCGATACATGGTTTGGACTGTGCATCATGTACTCTACGACGGCTGGTCAGAGCCCCAAATCCTAAGCCAGGTCAGCAAGGCCCTACAGGGCTATCCCATCCAGCTGTATGCCCAGATGAGGGACTTTGTCAAGTACGTGAGAGAGACAGATGAGACCGCGATGCAAGAGTTCTGGAAACGAGAATTGAACCAGGCCGTGGGACCTCAGTTCCCACGCCTGCCTTCCAGAGACTTTCTCCCCACGCCTGACGGCATGCTCGAGCATCAAATTCCCCTTGAGATGGGTGCTAAATGGCCATTTACGGTGGCTACGTTAATACGTGGGGCGTGGGCACTCCTGGCGTCCAAATATACCGGTAGCGATGACGTGATCTTTGGCGAAACGCTAACAGGTCGTGATATTTCCTTGTCGGGAGCCGAAAGCATCATCGGTCCCCTGATTGCAACAGTGCCAGTTCGCATCCGCATCCGTCGCGCGATCTCCGTGGAATCATATCTCCAAGCAGTCCAACAAACTATGCTGGCTCGCGCGCCGTATCAGCACATGGGAATGCAATACATTCGCAAGGTCAGCCAAGATGCCCAATATGCGTGCGAGGCACCTACCGGTCTGGTAATTCAACCGGAGCCGGATTTGGCTGCTGGCGAACTGGGATTCCATCAAGGGGATGTCGTGCGGGAAGCGCTTCATTTCAACCCATACCCTCTGATGCTTGCCTGTGGGATCCAGAAAGGCGGCTTCAGGGTCTGTGCCAGCTTTGATAGCAGCCTGATTGATACGGAACAAATGAGACGCGTTCTTCACCAGCTCGAAATTGTCTGCTCGCAGTTGACTAAAAGTCTTTCCAGGTCTGTGAAGGACATATCCTGCCTGCCCGAGGCCGAGTTGAATGTTATTTGGGGGCGAAACGAGCTTGGCCCACTGTCTTTCAACACATCTTCGGGACTGCTGCAAGCTGACGCGCGCCTAACGCATGGATCGGATTACCCACCTGCGGCAGTCCCGTGGATTTGCGATCCCCACAACGTATCTCTTCTATCGCCCATCGGCTCCATGGGCGAGTTGTGGTTGGAGGGCAATTTCCTAACCGGCGAAACCGTTGACTCACCAGCCTGGCTTGTTGCCGGAAGCTCGGCTTGCGTCGGCCGCACAGGGAAGTTGCAGGCAACGGGCGACATAGTGCAGTTGCAGGGTGATGGCAATATGATGTTCCTTGGTCGAAAATGCGACGTCCTGCCTGTGCAGGGGCATGCGGTGAACATCGCAGAGCTCGAAGCTCACGTCGCGAGATATCTGCCGCCGGCCGTTCAAGCCGCGGCCACGATGCTCGAATCTTCCGCGGGCTCCGAGGATAGCCCGACACCCGGACTAGTCGTCTTCGTTGAGTGTAAAATCCCCGTAGAAGAAAATATACAGCTTTTGCCAAAAAGCCACGATATCATTTCTGATGCCTCGGACCACAAATTGACCATTTGTGGCACAGTCCCTGTCACCCTTGTGGTCGCACTCAAAAGACTGGACAAATTCATCCGGGACTCTCTTCCATCCTATATGATTCCTTACACGTACATTGTGGTTGACGAAATTCCAGCGGCGATGGGCCTGATTGATCGTGGTTTGTTGAATCAACTAGGCTCATGCATTCCTCAACAGATACTTACGGAGCTCAGTGCTGCATTCGAGAGGGCATGGACACATAGCGCAACCCAAACACAATTGTCACCGGCGGAGGATATCCTGCGTTCGTCATGGGCGAAGATCCTTGGGATCAGTGCGGAGAAGATTGACGTTGATGACAATTTTTTCCGGCTCGGTGGTGATTCCGTTCTGGCAATGAAGTTAATATCCCATCTTCGCATTCAAGGGCATGGTTTGACCGTGGCTGATATTTTCCAACACATGCGTCTTGGAGACGCGGCCCAAGTACTGAAGATAGGCCAAGCGTCCAAGGCCAAGGCCCGGCCATATCAGCCGTTCTCGACGATTGGCCAAACTGAGGTGGAGAAATTCTTGTCCGACGTAGTCCACCCACAGCTATCCAATTCATCATGGCTGATTCAAGATGTATCTCCGGTCACCGATTCACAAGCACTTGACGTGCGAGCAACACTACAACCACCACGAACCTCCATCCAATACACCATGTTGTATTTGGATCAAGGCGTTGATAGAGACCAACTATACCGTGCTTGCCAGAAGCTCGTTGACAGCCACGAAATTCTGCGTACCGTCTTCGTTCAGCACAACTCGGCGCTTTTCCAGGTGGTGGTGAAGAAGCTTGATGTTCCTGTGATAACGCATCACGTTGATGGGGACCTCGAGCAGTACGTCGCCGACCTTTGTACGACTCACATCGAGTCAGATTTCAACTTGGGCTCATCTTTCCTCTCGATCTTCCATGTTGAAGCCAGCGACGGCCGTAGTTGTCTCGTTATCGGTCTCTCACACGCGCAGTATGATGGCATTTCCCTTCCGCGGCTGCTCCGAGACCTGGACGCCTTGTACCTGGACCAGGAATTCGAGCAATTCCAGCCGTTCTCGTCGTATGTGGCCCGGATCCGGGATGTGAATGATCATACCGACGCTCTGAAGTACTGGCGCAGTCTTCTTGCCGGCTCAACATTGTCTGTGTTGGGCGGAAGCTCGGGACAGCCCAGGGACAAAGCCATCTTCCACACTAAGCCCGTTGAAATCTCCGAGCCCCTGCAAGAGATCACCACGGCCAACCTACTGACGGCTGCATGGGCGGTGACGTTGGCTCGTCGGCTCCGCACGGACGACGTGACCTTTGGCGGAGTAACCTCGGGACGAAATGTCGACGTCGCCAACGTGGAGAGCGTGGTGGGTCCGTGTTATCAGCTCACACCCATCCGAGTCCCCTTCCAGTCTCAATGGACGGCGATGGATCTCTTGCGCTTCGTCCAGAAGCAAAGCGGGCAGTCTGCAGCGCATGACTACCTCGGATTCCGAGCGATCTCGGAGAAGTGCACCCAGTGGCCGTCGGAGGTATCGTCTTTCGACTCTCTTGTGCATCATCAAGACTTCGAAGACTTCGACACTATGCCATTCGCCGGGGGCACCTGCCGGGTTGACATCCTGAATCCCCACGGGGATGCCGCGTATCCCTTGAAGGTCGTTTCGTTTGTTCGAAGCGGACAGATGCACGTCGGGCTGGTGGGAAGTGAGAGGGACACGGCGTTGGTGGATGCAGTCTTGGAGGAATTGACTTTGGCCGTTCAAGAACTGGTGACATCGTCATTGGAGCCTCTGAATATTTTGGGTTGAGGGGGAGAACAGGAGAAGTGGAAGGGAGTAGGCGGTTCGGTAGAGGGCGCGTGACTGCCCGCCTTGCTGCCTTGCTGCCTTGTTGCCTGGTTACCTCGCTGCCTTCCTCCGTCATAGTCCGGAGAAACATTGGAGGTACAGAATGATTAATGCTCTATAACAACCTGGTATCCTGTAGGCTAATAAGTAAATGAATAAATGGGTCTGTTGAATACTTTCCTGTATGCAATTCGATCGAGGAATTCATTCAGTCGTCCTACGCCCGAAAAATATGTTATCCTGGATATACACTTGTAGGTAGACGAGATTCAGGATTGTAATACCAATCAAACAAAACCAAAATACCATTAAAAGTTCTAAGTCTATCAAAATATTGTTCAATGAAAATGGGGCGCAAAAGATACAAGAGGCAAACATCTGAGGAGGCAGACAAAAGAATAGGTATGCCCGAACTTGCTCCTTCTCCTCTCCTTTCCTCCCCTCTCCTCAGTCGCTTCCCTCTTACGTTGCCACGGTCTGATGCATGACATTAGCCCGGTAGCTGTCCGACCTCTGTAGCAATTCCTCGTGCGATCCATGATCCACGCATCGACCCTCATCGATCAAGAAGATGACGTCCGCCTTGCGGATCGTATGAAGTCGATGGGCGATCGCGATGACCGTAATCCCGCGCGCCGCCTTCTCCAGCCCGTCCTGCAGGAGCTTCTCCGATTCCGCGTCCAGAGCGCTGGTGGATTCGTCTAGAATGAGCAGCTTCGGCTTCCGGACTAGCGCCCGAGCGATCGACAGTCGTTGCTTCTGACCGCCTGAAAACTGGCTACCGTTGGGCCCGCAGAGCGTCTGGTACCCCTCGGGCAGCGCTTGAATCACCTCGTGGATATTCGCCAGCTTGCACGCTTCTTCGATTTCCTCCGCGGTCGCTTCGTGGCCTGGTCGAGCCCCCAGACCGATGTTGAACGCGATACTGCCCTCAAAGAGGACACTTTCCTGGGGAACAAGGGCGATCGTGTCGCGGAACGCGACGCCGCGGTGTTTGGTCACGTCGACGCCGTCCACCACGATCGCGCCGGACTGCGGCGTGTACAATCGCTCCACCAGCGAGATAATGGTTGATTTACCGGCACCGCTGGGTCCCACCAGGGCGCAGAATTTTCCCGGCCGAATGTCCACAGTCAAGCCGTTGAGCACCTTGATGTCCGGTCGCGCCGGGTAGGAGAAGTGGACGTCGCGGAGTTGAACGCTCGAGGCCGGGTGACCCGACACGTCTGGCAGCTTTGTCTCGATTGTTGCCTCCAGGTCACCCTCGCCCGAGCCGGGGACAGAAGGACTCGGTACGCGTCCTTGCATTTTGTCCGACCCAATCTCGATGAGACCCAAGATCCGCGCCATCGCCGCGCGGGCGCTGGACAGCTCCGGGGCGAGAGCAAACATCTGACTCCAGAGAAGGGCGCTCACCAGCAGGGAAAACACGACAATGAGGAATTGTGTTTGGGTATAGTTGCCAGCGATGATCTGCTTGGCGCCCCACCAGTAGGCGAGTGCATTTACCAAGTTTCCTAGGAAGTAGGTCATTGCTTGCCAGAAGCTGGCTAGGAGGGTCACGTTGAGCGTCTCCTTTCGTGGCCCCTTTAACGATCGTCGATAAGTCTTCAGTGTGGCTTCCTCCAGGGACAAGGAGGCGATTGTTTTGATGGAGGTGATCGATTCGACACCGATGTCCACGGACTTAGTATACGCGTTTTCGTGCCGTTCCTCGAATCGACCCAGCACGTGGAGTTCCATCAGGCCCGCCCCAAGGAGAAGGGGAACCAATGCAAGACAGACCAGCGCGATCCTCCAGGCAATAATATGGGTGAGGATGATAGCGGCGACGAGATTGACGGAAATCGAAAACAAGGTACCGATGACGGACCCACTAAGACCAGCCAATGCGTTGCCATCGCGAGTGATGTAGGATAGGAGCAACGCAGGGCTACGGCCCTCTGACTGATGCCATTGAAGATCTTGCTCGAACAGGGAGCGGAAAGACAAGACGCGCACCGTGTACACGATCTTTTCCGAGACCCAGCCAAATCCGGCCCAGCTGACAAGGTTCGCGAAGAACTCAATGATAGCAAGAACAAAGAACATCAGTCCAAAGAAGTTACCACGCGATCGGATGCTGTCGGCGCCGTGGCAGGGATTCAGACTGCCGACGGTGTTACCGAAAATCACGGCCTCACCCGAGAAGGCGCCACCCACCACGCTGGCGCCGAGTAGCGCCAGGAATATAGTCAACAGGTGTGGTCGCAAGGCGGGCGCGTATCCTCGCACTAAAGCCCACAACGATTTGGACGGCGTCGGGGGCTCGTCCGGCTCTTCTTCTGATTCGGCGCTGGGGGTCTCGCCGGCCGGCAAGGCGGTTTCTTCAGCAGACACAGGCGTCTTTTCGTTTTCGGTATCCGTCAAAGAGTGCTGATCCGACTTACTGATGCTCTCGATGCTGACTGTTGTCTCGTTTTTCGCTAGCGCAGATCCCAGCGTTTGCAGATTAACCAGATCGGCGTACGAACCATTCTGAGCCATCAGCGTCGCGTGATCTCCCTGCTCCACAATGTGTCCTTTGTGCATGACGATGATGTTGTCGGCATTCGTGATGGTCGACAGCCGGTGGGCAATCGTGATCATCGTGCGGCCGCTGGCGATATTGGAGATGGCTCGCTGGATCCGTTGTTCGCTGCGGGAATCAAGCGAAGCGGTGGCTTCGTCCAGGATGAGCACTTGGGGATCCTTAACCAAAGCCCGGGCTAGGGCGACCCGTTGCTTCTGGCCACCGCTGATTAGCCGTCCACTCGAGCCCACCATGGTACCGTATCCATATTGCAAGGCGCTGATGAAGGTGTCAGCATCGGCGAGCACCGCGGCCTTCCGGGCTAGGGTGACGATCTCGACCACATGCGCGCCGCGTTTCTCTGCTGCAGCCGACAATTCCTGGCCGTCACGGATTTCCTGCGCTAGATCGGACAGGTCGGAACCGACAAGAGTGCTCTTCAAATGAGCGTGGTCCGGGTTGCTGGAATTCATCAAGCCATGGGCAATATTCTCCAAGAGCGATCGGTCGAGGAGTGACGGTTCTTGCTGCACCAAACTGAGGAAGCTTCTCAGGTCTCGAGTATTGAGCTCTCGCAAGTCATGGCCATCGAAGAGGATCTGTCCTTGGGTGGGATCGTATAGCCGAGTGACCAAACCCGCGATGGTCGATTTGCCGCTGCCCGATAGACCGACAATGGCCGTATGTTGGTTGGCCGGGATAGAGAGACTGACTTGGTCGAGCACTGTGATTTCGGGGCGGGAGGGATAGGTAAATGACACGTCCTGGAATTCGAAACCACCCTCAGCCTGCGACAGACGATGGCCAGAGTCCGTCGTGCCGTCGATCTGAGGTACGCGATCGATGTCTTCGCGCAGCTTTCGGAAGGAGGCGACCGCCGCGGTGAAAAGATGAAGGAATGGGGCCACCTGACTGAGTAAGAGAGTTGCTGTAATGATGTTAATGACAAGTCCGAAGAGCCGAACTGCTGGAAACCAACTGACCTTCTACAAGGATGAAAATCACGGTGAAAATCGCCCCCACCGTGGCGCCTTGGGAGCTATGGCCAACTGCGTCCGCCACGCGCCGGCTCCCTTGCCAAAAGGCAAGACCATTAGCTCCGTACGCGATGAAGTATAAGAATCCGGACTGGATGCCAATCGCCGTGGACTTCTTCAAGCCCTCTGTTTCGGCCGCCTTGAGTTCCGTGGAAAACTTGTCCTCCAGCCGACCGTTGGCACCGAACGCCTGCACCACAACAGTATTGGATAACGCCTCGGATGCGATAGATGCCGCAGATGCCGCATGATCCGACATACGGGCGGAATATTTCTCAATGTAGTGGCTCCCCACAAAGGACATGAGGAAATACGCGGGGATCAGGGAGATGAGCATGGCGGCCAATCGCCACTCTTTGATGAACGCGACGATGTATGCGGTGACGAAGAAGGACAGACTGGAAAGAACGATGCCAACTTTTTCCGAGGTGCCGGAGCGGATGGCTTGGATGTCGCCATTCAACCGAGAGGCGATCTCGCCCGGAGGCAGGTCGTCAAAGTAGGATGGTTCCTGCCGGAGGAGGTTCTCCAGATAGCTCTCCCGTAGTCGCTGTGCTAATCGCGCGCCATTCAGAGTCCAGCAGGTGAGATGGCAGTAGATTGTCACCACTTGGGCGATTGCCAGGTAAACAATTATCAGTATTTTGCTGTTGATATCAGACTGGTACTGAGCATCAGACTCTGAACCGTCGGATTCACCACACGTCACACCGTTAAAGTCGTCGAGGAGCTGACCAAACAGGATTCCAATCAGAGGAAAGGGGACGCCCGAAGCGATGGAGGAGACTATTCCCAGTACCAAGCGGCCCAGGTCAAGCTTGGAAGGATTACCGGCGAGCAGCAAGCTCGGATAGCCCGATAATTTCTGGGCAAGTGTCATGGCTGGTTGCTTGCTCTCTTCCAGGTGGAGGAGGTCGAGGAAGCCTGTTCATGAAGTTGTGCTCGAGAAGAAGAATCGTCCAAGTCACCGCAGACCAGAAGACTAAAGGTAAGGTCTTTGCTGGCCCCGCCAGGTGCAGCAGCTAGCCCTAGAGGGCACAGCTACTCCAGTCCAGGTGATGCCGGACAGCGGCCTGCCGACGTAGACGGTATCGTTACGTAAAACTTATCAGATGGGTAAAATAGCCACTTCGGAGAGATCCGCAATTGATAAAAATCAGGCTCCACTCGCCTACCGCGAAGTGCGAGGAAGACTGAAAAGTCCGAGGCGGACCAGTTACCCCCTCGATCCACTTTGGACCTAACACCGAGCGTATTAGTCGGGTATGGTATGCGTGGGCTTCGCGTAAAGGTAGGTATGTTTCCTAGCGTCGATAATTCGCCGTCATTACCATACCTGACCGGTTTCTGGTAGACCCATGGATAACTCCTGGCTCCACCGATACTCGGATTACCACCAGAACAGCCGGTCGTATTGACCACATGAAACGATTTGAAAATTGCAAATCTGTCTGTATAGCATGAACCTATGAGGGTATGGCCTAGTAACCCGCGGTTGTGCTGGTGGCCGATACCCCCCTGCAAGAGTGTGATCAATCGCTGCCACGCAACCCCCCTTGGCTCAACCCCCCTCGCTACCTGCAATAGCTCGCTCATGGTGGGTGAACATGGTCCAATTCTCGTCCGGTGTGGTATCCTAGCTTGTCCAAATCTGGAGAGCATGGCAGGCTGGGCGAAGAATAACCTGCTTGGCAGGCATGTCCAAGAGATATAGTGCGACGACTCTTGTGGGAATTCGTAACTTATTTCTACCCGAGAGTAACCCGTGTGAATGAAAAGATCGATGCCGTCGCATATAATTCACCATGTTGTCATCGTGGCAGAGGACGCCCGTCGAATCTTCCGATGCCCCTCTAACCGACGGTTGTTCGAGCCCTACACGAGATATGGAGCCTACAGCTGCGGGCACGATGAATCATACGGACCCAAAAGGTCCGACCGAAGAAGTGCAGTCGGTAGTCACCGACAGTCTGCCTAACGAAGAAGCGCAGGATGGTGTCACGCAGGCGGAGGCGATTACATTGACATGGACTAAGAACTCCTTGGGAGCGGTCTATATCCTGTGAGTGTCTGTTTGGCCGTTTGGGGTGTCATTGGCACTAACCCCTGCTTGATAGGATGTGGCTCTTGTATTTCGTGAATGCCTTTCAGTCCTCCATCACCGGAAACCTGTCAGCCTACATAACCAGTGGATTTGAGGCCCATTCTTTGATCCCAGTCATCTACATCGTGTCCAGTGTCATGTCCGCGGCAACCTATATGCCGTTGGCAAAGATCTTGAACTTGTGGGATCGTTCAATTGGCTTCTTGCTTATGGCGGCATTTGCGACCCTGGGCCTGATCTTGTCAGCAACTTGCAGCGATATATATACCTATTGCGCTTCTCAGGTAAGTTAGAAGAGGCCGGGAAGATTTAGTCAAGAGCTCACAGTCGGAAGGTATTTTATAGTGTTGGGTTCGCGGGCATGATTTTCAGTATTGATGTCATCACGGCCGACACGTCCTCCCTTCGTGATCGAGGTCTTGCCTACGCCTTCACCTCGTCACCATACATCATTACGGCATACGCCGGCTCTGCGGCCTCAGAGCACTTCTACCAGTCGAACTGGCGCTGGGCGTATGGGTGCTTTGCCATCGTGCTGCCAGTAGTGGCTTTGCCCATGTTCGCCCTCCTCCGATTCCATCGTCACAAGGCTAAGAAGCGCGGTCTCCTGAAGCCCAAGCCCCCCAGCGGCCGGACTTGGATTCAGAGCATCATCCATTACATTATCGAGTTTGACCGTGAGATACCTCTGCCCCGCAGGCTGTTCCCAGAAAGACTTTTCATCTGACAGAAAGGAAATAGTGCTCGGGACTTTCTTATTGGCTGCTGGTCTCGTCCTCTTCCTCCTTCCCTTCACCATCGCGGGCTCTGCAGCCGATGGTTGGAAGTCGGCGCATATAATAGCCATGCTTGTTCTAGGCCTTGCTTGCCTGGTAGCATTTAGTTTGGTGGAACGGTTTCTTGCCCCGGTTCCCTTTCTTCCTTGGAAGCTGTTGATATCCCGCACCATTCTGGGAGCCTGCATGATAGATGTTTGCTATCAGGTAGCGTATTACTGCTGGGCCGACTATTTCAGCTCGTATTTGCAAGTAGTGTACGGCGTGGGTATTGCCACCGCTGGATACATTACCAGCATCTTCGATGTGGTTTCCGGAGTGTGGCTGTTTTGCGTCGGACTAGCCATCAGGAAGAGTGCACGCTTTCGCTGGCTGCTCCTGGGCGCTGTCCCTCTCTACCTCCTTGGCGAAGGCTTGATGATTTATTTCAGGCAGCCCCATTGGTCTGTCGGCTATACCATCATGTGCCAGGTCTTCATTGCCTTTGCTGGCGGAACGATGATTATTTGTCAACAGGTAGCCGTCCAGTCAGTCAGTGATCACAACAATGTCGCCTCCGCCCTGGCATTTCTCAACGTCTTCGGCTCCATGGGAGGCGCCGTCGGCAGCAGTATCTCCGGTGCCATCTGGACCCACACCTTACCTGGCGCCTTGCAACGACTGCTCCCTGAGTCCGCCAAGGCCGACTGGCAGACGATTTACGACTCGCTCGAGGTTCAGCTGGGCTATGAGCGTGGGACACCGGTCCGACATGCTATTGCCCTAGCATACGGCGTTGCCCAGCGCAATATGTTGATTGCCGGCACGGCCATCATGGCTTTGTCTTTGATCTGGATGCTTGTGATTAGAGACATTAAGCTGAACAATGCCCAGACCAAGGGGGTTTTGTTTTAAACACTGCACTGTATGGGGGAATTATGTCACAAACAAAGGAAAAACTCACTTTGATGGGTTGAGTTCACGACAACTATGGGGAGGGGGGAGGGGGCACTAGAAGGGAAAGCAAATATTAAGCCTAGGTAATGAGAGTGTACGGAGGAGTAAAATGATATTTTGTTAGACCATAGATCCTCGCTTATAGCCTCGTCTGTCCTTTGTAGTTTAGCCTGCCTGTCAGCTTACCCATAGTAGATCAGCGTAGTAGACAATCTCGCTGCAGAGAAATATTCTTCATGCAATTCAAGGACTCGACACCTCTTTCTGTATTGCTGAGATATAAGTAAAAAAGGCCGGTAAGGCATTTCGATGATATGCCCGGGCTGCCCCGGCTGTTTCAGAATTTTGCTAATCTGTATCTTCGTCATGTTTAAATAAGCGTGGTATGAAATGGAAAGAAAATCGAATGGGATGAGTCTTGTAACTCACTTTAATATTGGTGTAAGACATCCAGTGAGAAGAGGAAGGAAAGTTCGACCGTTTTCGCTATGGGATGGCCAAGATAACCTCCCCGCCCCAGCTGTCACCCCGGTTGGTGCGGAGATCCGGGCGGAGCGAAAAGCGGAATCCTCTTGGCCTTCGACCCGACCGCGGAATCGACATGGCAAACCAAACGCGGGGAGTGATCAACTTGTACACAGTGATGGGGTAAAAAGTACGTCAAATGGTGCCTTAATTCTGAATTATGAGGGAAAAGAAAAGATCAGAGGGGTATTACAGATGATGCGAATCTCCACTCATTTCACTGGTCCTAGGTCAATATAAGAATCTGCACACCGGCGGCTGGTGTGTCGGATAGAAAGCCTCGATCTGCGAAAGTGGGGTCATTCAGTTGCACGGGCGTGTCGATCACGTCGGTTCTATAGGGCAAACGCATCATTATCGGCGGGGTAGGTTACATTGCAGATCGAGAGAACTCCCAAATAGGCTCGATAATAGACGATCGACACTGAATCGGAGACCTCAATGAGGACTGGGATGCAGGCTCTTGGGTGTGCCACAGATGAGCTGGGGACGAGTGCCTGTGAAACGAATGATGCCCCTCTGATTGAATGGCTTTGCCACTTGACGGACTGAGGGGGTGCCTTTCTCACATGTGTGGCCCGGAGTTGGTAACGCGATCCTTATAAAAGAAGCGAAGGCCTCGGAGCCTTGAATGGCAACTCAAGTTACCTAATATCCTGTCGGAAGATAAAACAACCATCAGCTACTGCTGTCATGTTGCAAAGTATCTTCAATTCTGTGGCGCAGATAGCTCAAGGGCGCGCCGTTTCGGACTTGCCGGGGGCCCCGAATGCTATTGCTACTGCCCTGACCATACTATCGATTCATCTGCTTGGCCTAGCAGTATACCGAGGTGAGGGGCAGCTCTTCGGAGGCATGGCTTTGTCGAGCTGACTATGGCAGTTTATTTCAGCCCTCTCGCTAAGTTTCCTGGACCTATCCTGGCGAGTGAGTCTCGGCATTGATAACTTCTGCCTTGCCTTTCTCACGCTGTTAGGTTTGACAACATGGTATATGGCCTATTATGACCTCCTCTACGACGGTTACTTTTTCAAAAAAGTTCAGGACCTTCATCGTCAATATGGTATGCAGAAATCCGTTTTCTCCAAAACGCCACTTACATTGTATATCTAGGACCCATCGTCCGTATTACACCCCATGAAGTACACATCAGCGACCCTGAGTTTATCAAAGTTCTTTTCACTGGAAATCTCAAAAGGCGAGACAAGTCCAAATGGCTTGGTCGAATGCTTGGCCGTATGTCGATTCTCACCGTCAGCGTTTCGTAACACCGGTGGCTGATGCACATTCCAGTCCCAGGATCAGTTGCTTCTACAATCCCCCACGAGCTGCATCGTCAGCGGCGTGCCGCGATGCAACGATTCTTCTCCAGGTCTAGTCTCCGACGCCTCGAACCGGCTATTCAGCGAAGCCTGAAGAATTTATTGGATCGCCTGGACGCATGCGGGCGGCAGGATGACATTCTGAGCATGAATGTACTTTGCAAGGCGGCTACCTGTGACATAATTACGGAGTATGCCTTTGGGCAATCGACTGACTATCTACATCGAGACGATTTGAATGTTGGCTTTTTCAAATCCCTCGACGCCAACTTCCAGACTGCGTGGTACATGGCCTACATTCCGTTGGTGGGCCTATTTCTGCAGCGCATGCCGCCGTCTATCATGGGGGTTTTATATCCCGGACTGAAATCTTTGCGGTTAATGCATGAGGTAAGAGCGCATGGATTTCTATCTTGACATGCCGCTTACCGAAACCAGCAATGGTCGAAGCGCATAGAAGAGATCCGCCGAGAGGTTGATTCCCACAGTGATCAGGACGCCAGTGTCTTTCATGGTATCCTCACGAGCAACCTCCCAGCGCATGAGAAATCAGTGGAGAGACTGCGACAGGAAGCGCAAATACTCGTTCAGGCAGGGCAAGATACGACTGGTAAGCATTCCCTAACCTGAGTACACAGGATTCATGCCAAATGACACAATTATCATTAGCAAACTCTGTAGCATATATTACATACGTGTTGCTGCACAATCCCATTATTTGTCGCAAGCTCAAGGCAGAGTTGACAGACGCACTTCCGGATCCTGACCAAGTCCCTTCTGCCGCGGTGGTTGAAAAGTTGCCGTATTTGAAAGCCATCATCCAGGAAACCCTTCGGCTGTATCCCTCTGCCATTGTACGTCAGGGTCGGGTGGCACCAGATGCAGATCTCGTCTATGCGAACCAGAAGACGGGCGAAAAATGGGTCATTCCTGCAGGTGTTCCCATGATGATGACACCAATTCCCGTTCACCAAGACCCAGAATATTTCCCCGAACCAACACAATTTAACCCTGATCGATGGCTGGACAGTCCGCACCTGGATCAATATTTGCTGACGTTTTCGAAAGGGACACGCGCATGCATCGGGTATGGTTTAACTCCCTTTCACCACTAATGTTATTTTCTAAAATGTGTACAGCGTCGATCTTGCATATACGGAATTATTTATGCTGGTCGCGGGAATTTTCCGCAAATATGATAGGTACGATGGATCAGGGAAGCAGACAGTCCCGACGCTGGAGCTATACGACACAGTGGCGGAGCGCGATGTTGAACCGAGTCGAGATTTCATAATTACCTTCCCACAAAAGAACAGCAAAGGAGTTAGAGTGAAGATAAGACAGTGATCTATTGGCTCTGCTGAATATTTCTGTTTCTACACCAACTCCCACAAAACCCTAGCGTATCTCAAAACATCTTTATTTATCTTATCCATGGGTGTTTGTACGTGCCCAAACCTCGGGCGACGGTTGTCTAAGTGCTAGGTATTATTTATGTATTGCGCATTGGACTTGTTACTTGTGTTATGAATTAGCATTCTTTGTTTTTGTCTTCTATTTTCTTTGTTTCGGAAAAGAAGCGACGGAGTGTTGAAAGTGCGATAGGGCGGGTTGCTAGTCGACCCGAATGCACGAATACACTCTGGGATCATTTTTCTCTTCCTAGCCACAATCTGTTTGCCGCGATATAAATACCAGAGGGTTTCTCTCCCGTGGAAAGCTACATAGGTAGGTTTAAGCAGGAATTGACTAATAAGGGAATGTTGAGGCAGCAATAGGATCGTGCATTCGATAATCTCCACCCAGAAGGAGTCATTGATTTCCGGATTCCCCTTCTTCTAGGAAGTGGATGTAAGCTATGGGGGCCGAGGAGTGATGAGGGTTGTTAAAATGCGCATCTAGCGGTTTAGGATCCGGAGTGAGTTCACCGCGTTAAAGGACTGGGACCCTTTGCACCTGCGCGATGACCTAGCGTCCATTCTAGCGTCGGACAGGCACTCCTAGTGTTTAATATAATCCTTTCGATATGACTCTTGAAGACTGCTGTCTCAGTAAGGAAGGGGAAGATAAGTTATAAGCCAAAATCTTCGCTTTTTCTTTTTTCTCCGACCAACACATATGGCAAAGGAAAGCGGAGGAGCAAAAATTCTGTCTTATTGAAACCTGAACTAGCCTACATCGTGGGCTAGGTACCTGGATGCTATCGTCTTAAAGAAGCCATAATCAATTAATTCGAGAGCGCCACCATTAACCAGGGGTAATTGTCTACCAGTGCCGGCGACTATCCGCGAATCAAGTCATACGACTCAGCCACACTGAAGCTCCAAGCCTTACCTCTCCAGAGTCCAGGGGTACCTTTAATCATACGGCAATGATCCTAGCAAGATTTTAGCAAATATTGCGGTGAGACAAGAAGGGCTTGGCGGGTCTGACACTAGCATCAAGATCCGAGCGCCGGTCCTGGCCCATGATCTCCTGCCATCCTCACACTTTTTGAATTTTTGAATTGACACGACTCATACGCCGGATGGATCAAGCATTCTATGTTCCTTCTGACTTGGACTCTAAGTTTTCAATAGTCATTCCTCAGCACCAGATTGACTCGCTGCTCTAGGCTGCCATGAACTTTCATTGCATCCATTGCCTCCATCCATGTGGAGCCCCAAAAAAAGTCGATTTCTGTGGACCAATAATGATCCAGCAATTCGCCCTAATAATCTCCGGTAGGCACCGAAAGTGAACCCTTCTACGGAGTGACTAGAAGGGTTCAATCTCCAATCGAACAGGTTTGGACTTGGCCATGTTTTTTCACCCCCTGGCAAACGTTTGGCCTGTGTGGATGCTCGTCAAGATACCGAGGTGTGGGGCATTCCCAATATAATTTGGTCCTGCGGTTCTACTCTGCTGCAACGGAGAAATGGGGTCAACGTTTGGCGCATGGCTCCGGTTCATGGTTGAATAGGGTAAGTTTGTCTCAGGCGTAAACAGGGCTTTATTTCCAAAGACTCCACCACGATGCCAGGATCCTATATAATAGCCCAACAAACATACTCTCTTCGGCTCTTGATCATCAAACCACTTTCCTTTTCCTCTCTTTTTTCTCATTAGTCATTTTTTCCCAACTTTATACATTCTTTCGGACATGAAGTACACCACTCTTTTTGCCGCCGCTGCGGCCGTTTTCGCAAACAGCGTCAACGCTGGAGTCGTTGGTGCTGCCCAGGGTTTCGCCAAGGGCGTTACTGGTGGTGGCAACGCTGCTGAGGTCTACCCCAAGACTAACGACGAGCTGGTCTCTTACTTGGGTGATAGCGTGCCCCGTGTCATCGTCCTTGACAAAACGTACGTGGCTGATTCCTAACGAGAGCCCACAGGATATATGAATGTGAACTACATGGCTAACACCGCTGTCTGAATATAGCTTCGATTTCACCGGAACCGAGGGCAAGGAGACTACCAGCGGTTGCTCTCCCTGGGGAACCAACTCCAAGTGCCAGACTGCCATTAACTTGCACGGTTGGTGTGATAACTACGAGCCCAACGCCCCTAAGGTCTCCTCCATCACCTAGTACGTCCATCGATCCCCCGTTCTTCTGAAGTTTGTCACATTCTGACTTCCTTCCGCAGTGACAAGGCTGGTATCCTCGGTATCACTGTCAACTCCAACAAGTCGCTTGTCGGAAAGGGCTCTGCCGGTGCCATCAAGGGTAAGGGTATTCGCATGGTCAGCGGTGCCAAGAACATCATCATCCAGAACATTGCCATCACCGATCTCAACCCCCAATTCGTCTGGGGTGGTGATGCCATCACTCTCAACGATGCCGACCTGGTCTGGATTGATCACGTCACTACTGCCCGCGTTGGTCGCCAGCACATTGTTCTCGGTACCAAGGCGGATAACCGCGTGACGATCTCCTACAACCTGATCGACGGCCGCTCCGACTGGTCCGCTACCTGCAACGGACACCACTACTGGGGCCTGTACCTTGACGGAACCAACGACATGGTGACTCTCATGGGCAACTACTTCTACAACCTGAGCGGCCGTATGCCCAAGGTCCAGGGCAACACTCTCCTCCACGCCGTACGCATACCTCTATCCCCCAATTAGTTCTGCCCATATCTCGCCAGACGCGCTAACGAAAAGATACTAGGTCAACAACCTTTTCCATAACATCGATGGCCACGCCTTCGAGATCGGCCAGGGCGGCTATGTCCTCGCCGAGGGTAACGTCTTCCAGAACGTTGGCACCGTCGTTGAGTCCCCTATGCAGGGCGGCCTCTTTAGCTCCCCTGATGCCAACACCAACGCGCAGTGCAAGACCTACCTCGGCCGCTCCTGCCAGCTCAACGCTTTCGGTGGTTCCGGCTCCATGAGCGGCGCGGACACCAGCATCCTCAGCAAGTTCAAGGGCAAGAACATCGCCTCCGCCCGCGTTCCCAACAACATCGCCTCCTGGACCATGGCCAACGCCGGTGTTGGCCACGTTTAAGGGGGGGGCGCTTGTATCTGAAAGAGTTCGCACGTGAGACAGACCATTGTGTGCAGCCTGTACTTCTTCTCTGCGGGGCTAGATCTCGCTTTTACTATTTAGTATATATTTTTATTATTCTTGTTGTATGGTTTAGCCTGTCGTTCAATTTATAATAACTTCTCTCCATACAATGTATAAGCCATTCTCTTGACGTCTGAGTAGAGTTATACTTAATAGATTGCGATCATCGGGTGGAGTGTGGCCCGTTATTTTCTAACAGGGTAACGATGTGCAATATCCACATTGATTGATGTGCACAGTTTTTATGTCTGCATAGTTAGGTTATTTAGTTAGTTAGTTAGTTAACTAACTAGTTAACTAAAGATCCTAGATGACTCAGCAGCTCTTCGCCCATTGCGTTTGGAACTCGAGTTTATCACGATAAGAGGTATCTTACATAGCTCTTTTCTTACATTAAATCACTGTTTCGAACGTAATTTGGTCTGCTGGAGACTGATTTTCTCTCCCTTTTTTGCTTTTCTGTTTCACGACCAAAGACATGACCTCAAATTCTATAACTGTAAAGATCTATCGGCGACATAAACACAACCATTTCGAACGGGATCAGGCTGTCACTTGAGAACTTGTTGTCCTTGACAAAGAAAGAAGTCAATATCAGATAGATACTGTCAGGAGAAAATGCTGCTACACGTGAGACGAAATAATCGCTTGACTGGATATGTATCCCGGGAACAAGCCGCAACTAATGCATTTTTCCCACGAGCTTTACATTATCTAGGGCATCATAAGAATGACATTGAGTTTATTGTGCTAAAGCATCCTACCGCCCTCGGGAGTCTCATCAAACTTTCTCTGTTGCTCCTTCTCTTCTCGGCACTTTCTCCATGTCTTGCCTAGTCTGAGGACTTACCACTTTGGGGGCCCACCTCCAATCTGTCGCTCCAATCTCATGCGAAAAAGGTTTCCTTCGTCGAAGATCTATAGGTCTAGACACTACAATCCAGACTCGAGCTTTGTAGGAGTCCCGACGCGGGCAGACTACGGGTGGACCGATCGAGCTTCATTCGACCACTCGCCCACCATCAGCAGAACGATGTAACCTTGAAACCTGGCTGGCGTGGGAAGTCAAACTATTTCTGGGATCCTTGGAGACAAGCTGCAGATTCAGCTGCACCGTATGATGTCAAATCCTGATCGGTGTCACACGGGCCTGACCAACTCGAGCACGAGTAAAGATCAACATTTCTACATCCCGTAGAGCAGAGTGATCCACGAGAATTACTATCTATGGGTGAAAGTTTGGGTGCAGTATAAGCACGGATAAAAAAATCACGACAAGTTGATTTACTGCAGAGAAAAGAAGTTGATCAATAGTTGATCTACGGAGTACTTCATTTAGCCCCACTGGGTGTGAGTAGCTGCTTCGGAGACGATCACATCAATGACGCCTTGCCCAGACGATAGCCATTCGCCGACGATCGCGGATCGACCAGATAATATATAGATCCCTGACAGGCCACTGGCGAGCTCAGCTTTAGCGGGTCTCGCCAGCAGGCCGACCCCAATAATGATCGAACTATGGATGAAGTCCCCGAGCAGCTGAAGCAAACCCCACCGCATCCTGCAGTTTGCATGAATCTCGCCCTGTTCCGCTGCTACGAAAAGTCTCATGGTGCATGCAAATAGATTAACTAGATTGACTACCCCGCCCGAGCTCTAGGCCGAAGCTTGCCTCGATTCATTCCGTTCTTTCGCCGCCGCTTTTACTCCGGAACGATCACTCGCCGGACTAGTATTAGTGGGGCGGTGTTTGGGTTTCAGCCGCCTTTCGCTATCACCTATAGTTAGGAACTGAACTCAAGGGGCGTGTGAGGGGGAGGGGGTTAGGAGGGCGGAAAATGTAGGAAGGAAGGTAGGGTGATATTGGTACAGAGACTGTCTTGGCTTTTGTTTTCCCTCCTCTTTCCCTCTTATTCATGGTGTCTTTTTAGGCTTGTAGTTACAGTGGTCAAGTCAATGGCCTGCGGCCTGACATTTCTGACCAGTGGCCACGCTGAGCTTTTATGTAAGTACAATGAGCTAAAGTCCCAGGCTTTTTACTACTCATGAATTGAAGATTCGCTCGATTGTACTCAGAGCATGGTGCCAAAGAATCTTAGTCTCTTATAATAAGTAAATGGTTCTTTATTCAAAAAGAACCGAACCTAAACTTCTAGTAGAGTCTAGTATAGTAAATGTTTTGCGTGATATAAAAAGGGTCGTGTCAGACCAACCACCCCCCACGGTTACCCCGACACCCCCTACGTTATCCCGACACCTCCGCGTGATGTACTAGTCCTATTCAGGCTTAGACCCCGCACAAATCTCCTTTTTGGCTGTATTATAGGGCTCTTGTCGTAGGGCATTACTATTAGGGCTCTTATCATAGGGTAAGTTGTATATTCGCCACCAAGTGCGTATGCTGAATATTGTATGTTGCTATCGTCGTCACCGTCATTATTACTGCAGCACGTTACTGTATACAGTAATAATGGCTTCATTAAATGGCTATCTTCAAGGCTATGAGAGCGACGATCCTCCTAACGAGCAGTAGAATGAACAATTCGAAGAAGAGGAATTGAATGAGTAATTTTATGATCGTATCTTTCTTTCTTCCGGACTACAAACTCAACAATTCGATTCATATGATGAAGTCATTGAAATCCTCAACGCTCATGGACGTAATTATGGCTATGCAGTCAATAAAAAGCGTATTAAAAAGGTCAAATCTGGCTCTTATATAAAGAATGTATAGATTAAATGTGACTGAGGAAGTCGATATAACTGTCGTCTTAAAGAAGACCAACAGAAACGTAAAATTAGTACAATCAAGATTAACTGCCCATTTGAGATCCTTACAAGGCTTGAAGATAATGATCTTTGACGTATTAAAATTAAAGAATACTGTTATAATTATAATCTATTGCCTGCTACAACTTATGTCGCTATTTGTCGCCAGGAAGTAGCTGAAAATTCTGTACAGATTAAAGTTTAACTTTAAATTGGCCTTCTAACACGTCATATTATTGCTTTCCTGCAGCAAATTGGTGCTACTAGCATTATCGACAGAGATATCCATAATCTCTACCACTAGGTACGACAGAAATTTTTAGATGGTAAGACGCTAATTTAGTACTTACTATTTGCTCTTCCAGCAAGCGGGGATTGGATTGTTAACTACCGGAAAGATAAAAATGATATTGTTAAAACTGTATTTATTACTTATAAAAGCTGCATTGAACTGCTACGTATGAATTGTGGAGTTCTTTTCATAAATTCAACCTACAAAACGAATCGATACCAGATACCTTTACTGGATATAGTTAGGATGACAGCAACAGAGGATACTTTCTACGCAGCATTTAGCTTTATGTATGACGAGACAGAGAATACGTATAGATTTATTTTTAAATATTTATCTAATACATTATTTTATTATGAATGTAACTATCCTCGAGTAATCGTTACTGACACAGAAAAAGGCCTGTATAACGCGATTGAGATAAAATTCAACTTTACAGGTTATATTCTCTGTATTTGGTATATCCAGAAAGTCCTCATAACTAAATGTCGCCTAATTCTTCGAAAGGAAGTTATCCGGATTGAATATGAAGGTAACAATTACCGTGCCTGAGATAATAAAGAGTTTAGTAACAAGGTAGAAGACGAATAAAAGTCCTTTTTTAGCTTCTTTATGCAAATTGTTAACTCTATTTCAGAGGAAGAGATCATTGCTATAACTGCTAATCTCAAAGCAAAATATAGTAGCGATGTTTAGCAGCCAATTTATACTTATTTAGAGGAGAACTGGCTTGAAGAGGATACGGCAAAACGATTCATTAAATTTTACACAAATGAATTCTGTCATTTTGGACAGGAGGTAACTTCACGGAATGAAAACGCTCACTGGGTACTAAAGAACTTTTAGTATCTACAAAGGACCTTTTAGGTACTGCACAATCTATCGCTCTTAATATTACTGATCGCCATCGCAAGATGTAAAATTCTATTGAAAATGACTGTTAGAAACGTTTTTACTATCTACGGATGCCTATCTTCTTGCAGGTATTGAATAAAGTCTCTTTAAAAGTACTGAATAAAGTACACATGATAATGCTTCGCTATCTTCCAGTAAGGGGGCCGGGTAAGCAACTAATTAAAAAATGTACAGGCGTGACGCTGAAAACTATAGGTCTACTGTGCATCCACTTTATCAAACGTTACTACGATAGGAAAAAGTGTATAAAGATTGCTGAATTTGACTGCTAGCGGCATCTTTATAAGGATAAAGACCTCCTACCTGTTGACCTAAAATCGCTAGTTCTTGAGTTACGAGTTGTACAGTGTTGTCGCGGGCGTTCTGCCGGATCAGAAAATCGAGCAACAGAAGCAGAGGCAGAAATAGAAATAACACAAAATAAAATTACTCAGGATTCCTCTATACAGCGAGAACTATCTGCGTTTAGATACGAATTATCTCAAGAACAACCAGTCAGACGCCGAAAGCGGGATAACCAGGGAGAACAAGAACGTAAAAGACGCGGAAAACAGGGCTGTAGGGATAAAGAAAGCTCTACTAGAACGATTGAAATTAGTAAAGATGATAGGAACAGTGATAACGAGAATAAGGCACCAACAAGCGAAGAGAACGGGGAAACCAGCGAAAAAGAGAAAGTTGAGCTACTACGACGCAGTCAGCGAGCTGGCCGTAGTAAGGCAGCGCGGTAGTTGGGGGACGAGAACTGACGGAATTCGAATTCTGAAGGCCTATGATTGCTTAATGAATGCAGTATTTTTTGTACGATTAAAAGAATGATAAATTTCCTATTTAAACGATTATACTAAGTGCCAAATTTCTATATCACATGGCCACGCTAAACCGAATAGGAAATGGGGGTGTCGGGATAACACGACCCTTTATATATTCTAAGAAAAGAAACACCAACTCTGCCACCAACCATAAACCTCAACCCCTTTAAACCCCCGCCAATGCACTAAAAACCTCCGCCCCAGCCTCCATCATCCCCCTCGTCCCCACCATAGCCACCAATCCAGACAACACCACAACATCCATTATCGGCTCCGGCAAAGGCACTAAGATCTCCAATCTCTTGCCTTTCTCTTTCCGTTTCTTGGGATTTAACGCGGACATCCCACTTGTCACTTTTATCTTAGCGAGCTTTCGACCGGATCCGGACCCGTCGACTAGTTCGAGGCTTGTGCCGGTGAGTTGGTTGGCTTTCCATTTGCAGGTTCCGAGAACGGGGTGGGTGAGGGTGAAGTTTCCGGACATGGAGGAGTATTTCACTGGGAAGGAGGATTGTGGGGAGATGAGGGTGCAGTCGGTTGTTGAGGAGAAGGTGTGCATGATTGCTGTGCCGAGGGGGGGTTGTTGGTGGTGCTGATATTGCTGGGAGGACGAGCCCCGGAAGAGGGTAATTTGGGGCTTGCTGCTGGTGTTGATCTTTGCTGTGTATTGGGGTTGGGAATGGTTGGAGTCTGGGGTGAGGATGGTTAGGGAGGAGTCGTGTGGTGAGGAGGAGATGGTTAAGGTTGAGGGGGGTATGGTTTGGGGTTGGTATGGTTGTGGTGATGGTGGTGGGTAGTGCATGTTGTTGTTGTTGTAGTTGTGGTTGCTGTTGTAGTAGGGGTTTTGAGGTCGGTGTGGAAGTGGAGGTGGATAGTTGTAGTTGTAATTTGACGGGGGACCGGGAGATTGAGAGTGGTTATAGCTCGGAGGATAGTAGTTTGGTGGTGGCGGTGGTAGAGAATTGGAATAGTAGGAGTTCATGTTGAGCTGTTCTTGAAGGTTTAAATTCAGTGTATCCTGGGTGGGAAGTAATGGTGTTGGTTATAGTAGTAGATACCTAAATGTTCTGGAGGTATAAAGATATGTAATCAAAGCTTACCATCCCTCTCTCCATGAGAGCAATTCTCTTTTATAACTTCTCTGGCTAAGCCTCCTCTATCATAGCTTGCGTCATTCTGCAACGCACACAGCCTTGTTGAGCGTTGACCACTTCGTATCCCTCTGAATGTCAGCGGCATATCGCGCCCAACACGGTTAGCGGTTGTGCTTGGCAGTGGCAAGATTGAGCTTTATTCACTCCTTCTGGAAGGTCATGGCGCTGACTATCATATTCTCGTTGTTTGGCGATGTGGAGTTTGGCCATAGTATGCATGGTAGGACCAATTTGGATACATAGTTGCATTTCTATATCCATAGTGCAATTTCCACAGCGCATAGCGGGGTGTGAATTCAACAGGTCTAACACAATATAACTTATAAGAAAGGCACTCGTATCCTCATTACTTAACTACCTACAAATCCCCATCCCCCCAAACCCATCACCTACACACCGATCACCCTTCCAGAAACCCCCTCCGGCCCTAACTTCCTCCTCAAACTATCAAACTTCTTCGACAACCACACGCCCCCAGCCAACCAGTTCGCTTCGCTGAAATCCTTCTGATACTCCTCTAATATCGCCATCGCCTGGGCTTTCTTCATCGGATCCGTCGTCGCACCCCACGCCGACGCTAAGCAAAGCGGCATATATGCTGACCCTAACGGTCTGTGTCGCGCCGCCTCACACGCCAGGATCATCATCTCGTCGAAGATATACACCCCGTCCGCGGCGAGATTAGCGTCGTCGGGGTCGAACTCGCTCAGGATCCGATTCAGCATGATCCCTAGTGCCATGAGGATGCCGTACGCCGCTTGGTACCGCGTCAAGGTTCGCATGGCGAGGATGCCCGGGTCCGGAGCGTCCGGCGTGGGGAATAGTTTCGTGGATGTTTCGTTCAGGAGCTCTCGCAGGCGAGACATGTCGGCGCGCATGGCTGTGTAGGTGGCTTCGATCTCGAAGACGTGTTGTTCTGGTGAGCGGATGAATTGTGGCATGCTGGCGAGGTTGCGGAACATGAGGCTGGGGAAGGGGCTTGCTTTGGAAGGTCGAGGGGGAAAGTACTTGTCGCAGAAGATGGAGAACCACGGTTCGATTTTTATGCGTGGGTTGAATGTGCTTTCGAGGATCTAGTTGTTCGTGTCATATGAGAATCAGATCGATGATTCTGGTTTGGAGTGGAGTGGAGTGTTCATATGTTCATACCACCGGGACTGAAAAGGTCAGGAGCATTTCCTTGAGAAATCCCCCTTGCCAGTCCTGCGTCACGGCCATGCTCAATAAATGGGCCATCGCTTCCCCGTGACTGACATAGTTATCGTCTTGCTTGCCAAGCCAGCTCTAGGTACATACATACTTCCGTTAGTCTTCCCCTACAAGTATACCAGCACACACAGACTAACCTGGCAAATCATAATCAGATAAATCCCACACAGGGTCTCCGCCGTGCGCGTCTTCGCCGGATCCTCCAGCGTGAACCGCAGCGTCTTCAACGCATGCACATAGCTACTCAACGCCTCGGGCGACGGTCGATGCGTGTGAATCGACGAATAGCCCTGTGTAAACGCCATGACGGACGCGTCCAGCACCGCATTACTACCGAGTCGTCGCGGTAGATCTTTTAGGAACTCGCCGTAGTAGATGACTTCATAGCGCACGTCGGACATGTTCAGGAGCGTGGCCATGGCTGTCGTCGCGGTCGTCATCTCGTTTTGAGGTGAGCGTGGGACGTCTCTTGTGTCCCATCGCGTCATGGTGGTGGTGGTGGTGGTGCGACGAGCGGACGAGTCGCTCCAGACGACCATCTGGTCTTTGAATTTGTAGCGGCGTTGTCCGCTGCCGATGCACGGGATGTTGAGACGTGAGCATCGCGAACAGATCGGTTTCGTTTGGTCACACTGCGTGTGTCAGTCAGTCAATTCCCTGGCCCAATCTAACCTACCCAGCCTTGTCTACTCCGTAGGTAGGTAGGTAATCTAGGTAGTCTCACCTTTTTCTTCTGTCTCCGACAAGCCTCGCAGCCCCGACCGGATGGAACGCCAGGCATTCTGCTTTGCTCTGCTCTACTCGATCAAATCTATCAAATTTATCGCAATAGGCAGTGGCATAATCAAAGATTTAAATGTGGTCGATGACGCAAATACCGGGCGACAGGGGACTGACAATGAAACGGGCCGCGTCTTCTTAGCGGGTTCAGCTGCGGCTTGGAGCCTTTCGTGTTTGCCCGCTTGGCAATGGGGCGCCTTATCTCATGATGATTGGTGAGAGGAAGTGGAAAGGGGACGGTGTAATTTGACGGTTGGCCCAATGTGAGAAGGGATTGGCGAGGTTTAGGTATTACTAGTTCTGGTGAGTGCTGGGGCCAAGGCTTTATCGGGGTTTAGGTAGGGACTATTGCTGTTGGTTGGGTCTACTAAGTCTTGATTCTTCTTTGTTCTTCTCTTGTCTATTTCTACTGTAATCTATTCTATAATTATTTCGATTTGAGCTTTCTGTCTTAACTAAATCACACTTGTAGGGAAATAATTATACCATTTAATGGTAGGAAGCTATCTGTCGACTCCTTTCAAGTATGTACTGTACGGTGTACCTTACTCTACTCCACCTATCAAACATTAACACATATCCAACATAAGCATCAACACGCGACAAGGAACCCTTCAATACTGCTTGAATCTATCTCATAAAATGTTCATCTCTGATTGCAAATTCCAATCCAAATGTACAGAGATACCTGAGTTAAAATTCATCAAGCCATCTCTTGACCTTCTAAAATACGCGCCACGCTAGCGAAATTTTCTCCTAGGCATGATACCAGAACAGTGAGGAGATAACACAGACACGTCTCCTAGACAACCTCCGATCTTCGAAATGAAAAATGAATAATAAATGGCGATAGTATTTCGATCTAGATGCTAGAACACCTTATCTAGTAACTATGCTATCGTGTAATTGTGAAAATATGGTATGGTATCTCGGCCGAAATACACAATCAATGTCAAGAAAAGAAAGAAACAAGATCAAAACAAATCAGACTAGGTAACTAGATACCCTTAGGTACCTAGCACAGCCTAGGCGTAGGTTAATGGTTAATCCAACGCCAAACATCAAATGCGACAATGCGATAATGCAGGAAGGGGGTCGTGATCTTCATGAGTGAAATTGATGGAGACGGGTCGATGGATACTAGGTATTCATGACCTTGAGAACTGGGATGAATGAACTATTCAGTCAAAGGGTTGATTTGGTTTTTTTTTTTTTTTTTGCCGTTTGGTTGTTTGGTTCGACTGTTCAACCTCTATAACCCTCGAAGTAAACTCCCCTGCGTGAATGGGTTCTCAGGAGACATATCCAGCATGGGTTTTGTGGCTAGTCGATCGCCCGTCGCCACGCCATGCCCGACTGGGATCCCGTTATTCGTTAACGCGGCGATCTGCGCAGACCGTGACATCAGACTGTTAGGAATGAAGGGGTCTTCGCGCTGCGTGGCGTCGGCGGGGGAGGTGGCGGTCGTAGGGGAGGCCGGGGTGGACGAATTGTAGTGTCGTGGTTGAGCGCTGTTGCTACGGGCCGTGTTGGAGCGGTTGCGGGTGCGCGTGGTGGTTTCGGTCGACGAGGACAGGTCGAGCGGTGCCGGTGGCGGCGGAGGAGCTGGACGGCGCCAGGTCGTAGCGGACGGAACGGCAATGCCACCCGGGGCGTCGCGGCCGGTGGCGGCGTCGATGAGCAGCGTCCCGGGCTCAACAGCCACGCCGCGTCCCTTGCGCCCGTGCTGGGGAGGTTCTTGGTAGACCGGGGTTAGGTCGACGAGGGGTTTGTTTTTGTTGACAGACAGCGACCGCTTGAGGCAGGCTGGGTCGGGCGCGTGGGTCGAGGTCAACGTGTTGGAGCGGCTGTTGGGTTTGGAGGACGGCCCGTTGGTGGGACGGCGCGTCATGGTCCCGATGAGGCCTTGCGCGGCGAAGGGATCCTCCATGGCTTTCTTTTCGCGCTCCTCGCGTTCTTTCATCGCGCGGTGGCGCATGGTGTAGCTTCGTCCGAGCAGGCCGGAGCCCGTGAATGGTGAGTCGTCGGGCGAGGACGAAGTGGAAGGAAGCGGTGGGATGTCTGACTCGTCGGCCAGGAGTTTGGGGAAGGATGATGGGGGAGGCGCATGCTCGCGCGTGCTCTTCTTGCGGGAGAACAGTTCTTTCGATTTCGACGACTTGGTCCGGTCCAGGGTGGTTCCCTCGCAGCCGGATGTCTCGGGGGAATCCATGTTCAGCAATGGCTTGAAAGGCTTCGTGGCGGGCGACATTTCATCTACCGGTGGAGGAGATTCGATCTTGTCCTCCGCGCCGGCACCCAGCTTGTTGACCAAGTACCAGCTGCGCCAGGCATGGACGGCGCGGTGCCAAGCGTCCGCGACCCCCTTATCGTTGGTACAGAAGAAATGGACGAAGTTTTCCGTGGACAGAAACATGCTCGACTTCTGCTGACTCTTAATCGCCTGGCACATCTTCTTTGGGGGCTTGATGTTATTGGACAAGTAGCCCGGGGTGGGCGAGTAGATATCGAAATCCGAGAGGTGGCAGATATTGGCCGACTCCTGGCCATTCTCCTTCTTGGACTGGGTCACCTGGCCGTCCGAGCGCAGGGTGATGAACCGCTTATCCCACTTGCGCGGCCGTTGCGAGTAGTACATGTGTAACGTCACTTCGGCGGGCTGACCCGCCGGCACGCAATGGGCGTCCAGCATCGTCAGCGCTTCCAAACTGGCCGCCGGCACGATGATCAACGTGTTCTCCCGATCGTGCGCCCACGAGTTCATCACCTCGCGCACGTACTCGTACCGGCGCAGAGGTCGCTCCAGGCCCAATTCCGTAAACGATTCCATCAGGATGAATTTCAACGGGTCAATGTCCCCCGCGAGACACTCCCCGGCCGTGAAGAGGACATCCTGCGCGGAGGTCGACGGCGTGACGGATAGCTGCATGGATGTTTTGCGATAGCGTACAACCACTTGTCGCTCGCCCGCATTGACCGCCGAAACGGGCGCGTCGAAGCCAGGGTGTCGATTGCCCACACTCGTGTCAGTGGTCCGCGGCGCTTCCTCCGCCGGTCGCACCGAGGATACCTTGGTCGTCTCCTTCAACGAATGCCGTCGGGGCTCCTGACTCGACCGACGTCGGCTGGTCGCTCTCGTCCGACTATTCTCCCCATCCGTGCGATACGGTCTTTCCTCGCGATCGCGTGTCGTCGGTCTCCGTGGCGCTGTGGCGCTAGTCGCAGTAGTAGTGTTGGTAGCAGCAGTAGTAGTGTTAGGGGCAGCGGCGGTCCTCTTCTTCTTCTCTCCCCCTGTCAACCGATCCATCGCATTCTGACGGTGATGGTCACGAACATCATCGTCTTCGCTATGCTCCACGTAGGCCAATTTCTCCGCGCGCACCGCCGCATGCCTCTGTCTGCGTCTCTCCCCCTGATCGCGCCCAGCCGACCCGTTCTCCCTCCCCTGCGTCGCCGACGCAGGACTCCTGTACGCCAAGCCCCGATCGGCCGCCGGCACGGGCGGCGCACTCGCCAGCGTCTCGGTCGCCCTCTGGCGACGATATCGCGACATGCTCCGTTTCACCGTCGTGGCGGACATCGTCGCTGTCGGGGTCGGGGCGATCGCTGCTTGGTGTTGCACGGAGGTATCAATGGAAGGTAGTGGGGGATGGTGGTGATGATGAGGGGAAGCGACAAATTCGGGTCTCTTGGAGGCGGCTTTCCGGACGGATCGATAGCGCGAGAATTTGGCGGGCGCTGCTGCGGCTGCGCCAGCCACGTCGGGGTTTTTTTCCATCGCCATGGTCGTGTGCGTTATGGCTGAAAGTAGTTCGGGTTTTTTGGGCGTGGGAGAAAGGATATGGAAGGGATGTGTTTGTTATTTCTTCAATGATTAGGGATCTCTTGGATGGGCACGAGATGCATCGTATTCCCCCCCTTGTTGTAGGGCAGAGCAGGGATAACAAGGGAATTCTTTTTGTTCTTGTATTTTTTTTTTTTTTTTTTTTTTTTGCTTCCAGTCTCTCTCTTTCGTTCCTGTTCGCAAACGTCCAAACGATCTAGAAAGTCGGAATGTCGATCAAAACTGGATCCGAGTCGGGAGTTGGGCTGAGAGGAGTTAAGATCAGTTGGCCTGGTGGATTTTGCGACGGGCGGGCTGGTAGTGGGAGAGTTGGTGCAAGAAAAGACAGGCAACGGTCGAGTTGGAGATGGGATTTGGAGTATGGAGTACGGAGGGACAATGGATGAATTGATGAATTGATTGGTTTGAACAAGTTAAATTGGATTGGAAGAGAAGGAAAGAAATAAAGAAAGCAGGAGGGTCAAAATATGAGAATCTCGTCTCCTCGTGTTTCCAATTAGTCCCTTTTTTTTTCTGTCTGTTCTTCTCTTCTCCACCCCTGATTGCTGCAGGTTTGTTTCACCGGCGTTTAATCACTTCATCGTCGTCGCGATGAAAGCGGGAGGTTGAAAAGGGGGCTGCATGAACAGGAGACAGCGAGACCGAGGTGGAATCGCAATTGTGCGGAGAGACCCGACCAGACGGGAAGTGAAGATATTGATAGAATGGAAATAAATAGAATGAGGGGGCGTCAGGAGGAAAAAGACCAAGAAAGGTGTAGATCGGGTGTGGCAACGGAGTATAGAATTTGGATCTCAGAAGGAAATGAAGGCAAGTAAGGGGCCGAAGGGGGGGGGAATGCGATAGTCGGGTTAATAATAAGGCTGGCGAGAGAGAGAGAGCGAGAGAGAAGTGAACCGTGGGATCTAATTAAAGGATCCGTTATAGGTGTCCAGTGTCCAGTCCTACAAGTGAATACGATGGAAATTAAAATTAAACACGGCGTCGCACAGTAATTTCCGGGGAAAAAAAAGGATTGTTGGAGTCTTGGAGATGGCTGGATTGCCTGGACTGCCGTTAGCGTCGGCCTACCACTGTCTAGCGCCCCGCCAAACAGGAATCGTATGTGTCGGAGCTCTGAAATCAAGGCATGGCTACTTCGACTGCTGGTTTGAATGCGGATGATGATGATGATGATGATGATGAGGATATCCACTGGCAATGGGAATGCAACCTGCCCTACGGAGTACATCCAGTGTCTTGGCAGTCGATGTGCCCTCATTTCATTTCCTACATGCCTAACAGTCTACACCGTTGCCGTCGATCTCTCGTTATTTCCTCTCGACTATTGCCTATTATTGGTGCTTGTGGTTTCTTTGTTGCCCTCAATCCCTAAATCCCTAATCCCTGATCCCTGATCCCTATCCCTGTCCCTATTCCTATTCTTATCCCATCCTATCCAACCTCCTCCTGAGGACTCCGAAGTCGACAGGCTTATTTTTTGTATGCCCCCAAGTTCTTACGCCTAATTATGCAACCCGTCGTTAGTCTCCAACATGTCTAGGAATAGCTCTCTCCACTAGGAGCATCTCAGATCACAATCACACTTACCACCACGCCACAAAATCCACCGTGCTCACATCGATGCCAAGATCCTGCAAGGACTTGGTCGACAGGTGCGTATCGTAGGGCCGCTGCACACTTGCATTCGGGTCATTGCCCTGCTTGTTCCGCTTCATCCCCACCAGCGACAATCCCAGCACCTCCGCCAGCTTCTCGCAGATCTCGTACTTGGTCATGCGATCCTCCGACGAGAACTGCAGGACGGTGGGCAGGGTTCGCTTCTGCACCCGCTCCTTGATGCACTTGATCACGACGTCGCGACACACCCGCGCCACGTCCTCGGTGTTGGTCGGATACCGCAGCGCCCAGTCGTCCATGGCGACGTTGGCATTCTCGTCCTGCGACTTCCACACGGCGTCGACGAGCGTGTTGACCGCGCTCTCGCCGTTGTCCTTGGCCGTGCCGTAGAGCACCGGCACCCGCAGCACGATTCCCAGCGAACTCTCCTTTGTGGCTTCCAGCACCGCCCGCTCGCCGTCGCGCTTCAGCTCCCCGTACAGGTTCGGCGGGTTGGTCGCGGCATCGGCGTCGTACGGCGCTTCGCCTTCCTTGCCCGGGAACACGTAGTCGGTGGAAATGTAGATGAGCAGGGCGCCGCTGGCGGCGGTCGCTTCGGCCAGCGTCCGGGTGGCTTCGACGTTAACGCGACGGGCCTTCTCGGGATCTTTCTCGCAGAGATCGGGGGACCGGTTGGCGGCGCCTAGAGGCAGGGAATGATTGAGTTTTAGTGAGGGGTCGACAGAATGGGTCAGTCATGGTTTCAACGCACAATGGATCACAACCTGCGGTCTGAGGGATTTTTTCAATTCGCATTAGTCAATCCTGATCATATTCCGTCGAGAGCTAAGGATACCCCGTACTTGGCCTCGTCCAACAATCTCTTAATATCGTCCTTGTTCTCCAGATCGGCCTTCAATATCGTCGGCGGGGCAGCTCGCGAGAAACCCTGTCCGACGACCAAGCAGCCGGAGTGCTTGAAGGTGTTGAAGATCTGACGGCCCAGCAGGCCGGTGGCACCAGTAACGAGAACATTGGTCGACATGATGGTGGATGTGGTGTCGAAGGAGGTCATGGTGGGGGAAGAAGGTGAAGGACGTGGTTGACGGCGGGGGACGGAAATGACGTAAAGCGATTTGCTGTCCTGAAGATCTCAACGGTGGACCCTTGGGCTCGGGCGATGACGATGAAGATGGATGCGGTCGCCGGTGAAGATTCCTCCGGTCGGGTGGGTGGATTCTAGAATGCTGATCGGAGTGCAGGAACAGCCTGCCTTGGATTTCTTGGCTTTTTGATGGTGTTGTCTTGTCTTGTCTTGCTGATTTCCGTATCTTGAACACCCCTTCCTACATTTATACAGGGAACAATCAATATCGATAATTAAAAGTGCTCGAAAGTAGTTAATCTAACACGAAAGACTCTTGAGATCGCAATTGGATAGATCATATCTTTGAGGGAAAAACAATTGGGACGTGCGTTCTTGTAAGTCAAAGACTTAACTAAGGGGCCTAGCCACTGGGTCCTGCTTCGCTGCGGAGAAGACTGAGCTCATCCACATCACCAGGAAGAGGGGAGTGCACATTCAAGGACATATCACCTTCGATGGAACCGATGTCAAGCCATCACCCACAGCCAAGCTACTGGGAGTGGTGTTCGACCAGGGACTTCGCTGGAAAGAACATGTTCAGCAGGCCATTAAACATGCCACCAAGACGACTCTCGCGCTAAGCGGGCTACGGCACCTTCGCCCAGAACAGATGCGTCAGCTCTACCAAGCATGCGTCGCACCTATAGTTAACTACGCATCGACGGTCTGGCACGACCCGCTCGGGACAAAGTTCACCTCCGTCACTTGAACACAGTCCAGAGGACCGTGTTGATCAGGATCCTATCGGCGTTTAGGACGGTAGCAACCACAACATTGGAGGTCGAAGCCTACATACTCCCCACACACCTCCGTCTTCGCTACCGAGCGCAGCGCACCATAGCGAGACTACACACTCTACCTCGTGACCATCCCATTTGGAGTGCCCTATCAAGAGCCCAAAATCGTAGAAACAATGTGGGATCATACGCCCGCTTCCCTCTGGCCGAAGCGTTTAAACCATAGATGTCGACAGGCTCAACGAACTGGAAATGATTGACCCACGCCCGTTACCCCCGTGGCGTCCGGACGCCTTTACGGAGATCGAGCTTGAGCACGACCGGGAAACAGCGAGAGAAAAAGCAGAGGCTGCGAGGAACACATCGGATATTGTCGTCTACTCGGACGCCTCCGGGCGTGAGGGCCATCTGGGGGCTGCTATCGTCGCACTCAATGACGACGATGAGGTGATGGAGTCTCAACAGATCCAGGTGGGACCGATGGACCGCTAGTCGGTTCATGTAGCGGAACTCATTGGCATCTTCTACGCGGTCAACATGGTGTTCAAGTTAGCCCACCAACGCTCAATCATTGGAAACAGTAGGCACACAACCGCAACTATTCTCCGTGATAGCAGATCGGCTCTGCAAGCAATTCAAAACGCGAGAAATAAATCGGGCCAGCGAATCGTCCATGCAACCCTCATGCAGCCGCCGAGGTCCAAGCAGAACACATAACGCTCCGCCTCTAATGGATATCAGGACACTGAAAACACCGGGAGCGAGACTCGCGAAGGAAGCGGCGTAACCGGGTAAACCCCACACCCTTCGGCCGCTACTGTTGAGGCAGAACGCATTTATCCGCGATAAGATTCATGCTCAATGGGGGCAAGAGTGGAAGTCGAGCACCAAAGGCTTACACCTACGGAAGATTGACAACATCCTACCGGCGCGGTACACCAGAAGACTATACGGGAATTTACCCAGGAATCGCACGTACTTGCTGACACAGCTACGGACGGGCCATATCTAGCTATCTAGCTACCGAAAGAAGATTGGATACAGTGATGATGACCGGTGCGAGTGCGGCGCGGAGGAGACAGTTACCCACGTCTTGATGGGATGCCCGAGGCTACGAGAGCCGCGGGAGGTATTGAGAAGACAAGTCGGGGACGCGCTCAACAGGGTATCGAGTCTACTGGGAGGCTCAAATGAAGGTGAGAAAGGTAAACCAGACACCGTCTCGCAAGCCAAGACAGTACGAGCTGTGCTGGACTTCGCCGAGGCGTCACAGAGGTTTCACAATCGTGCGCCATGAGGGCAGCCTAACAATGGGAACAGCATCTGGCTACTATAGGCCGTGACGAGGCTCTAAATTACTGTCAGGAAGTGGATCACTCTACTTGTACATAATCCAAGATATATAGTTGTCGTATCCTGCATATCGTTCGCGAAGTTGATTATAAACCTCATCCACCAGGCTGAGAACGGATTCGTTTTTGGTCTAGTGGTCAAATCAACGCGCGAGGGGTCAGGGTAAATGATTTCACACACACAACACCTGTACGATGAAAGGGAAGATTTTGAACAGAATCGCTGAAAGGAGTTACTGTAGTCAATTGCTCGAAGTAAAAAAAGACAATGTTGAGAAATGGTAATCCTTGATGTCTTTCAACGATCGGCGTCAACGAGTTGCATTGTACAGTAGCAGCAACTCTCCAAGCGAGTGCCTGGGATTAATTGTGCAATTCCTCAATAATCTGTTAAGCAATAATAGCTTTGCGGGAAGGAACTTTTACCAGGGGTAATGCAAATATTATTCAAAGGCTATGAGTAGTCACAGAGTTTTATTTTGGTAGTCGCAGGTAACGGAGCCTTGACAACGTTTACGCACGGTTGTCGCATTAAATAGCATCAAAGCAGCCCTAAATACATCAGGCTGACGAGTCTATAAGGTCGTTCGGAATTTTTAAGTTGAAGCGCAGGATAGCTCCCAAAGTCTGTGGCGATTTGACATGGAGAATACTGGTCACGGAGGAAATGTGTATAAGGTACGCCTCTTCTTATTGTTTGCCCTCATGATCAGGATTTTCTCGCTGATAACCTTCGAGAATTGCTTGCTGAGTCTTCCTCGCAGACGGATTCCTTACGGTTTGCTTCAAAAATCATCCAGCACTATCTGTCTTTGAGATGGACTGTCACTTTGCTTGGAGTGCTGAGCTATGGGAAGCCGAGGATGCAGTAAGTTTTAGTAATATTGCTACGGCTCATTCATCAGAAGTACCACTCCCTCCTTTGAAAAGATTATTGAGCAATTACTCGAAACTTCCAAAAATGCAACCCCAATACCGTGGAGCTCCTCCTTACCCCCTGAACATCTTTTGATTGTCATTTATGGTAAGTTAAGGGCCCCCACCCCAGAAACAAATGCTGTTATGATATAGTTCTTCCAGCTATGAAACAATTAGCCAAGCTGCCAACAATTGGAAGCGAATCTGGGATACCGTTGTTGGCTCTTTGGAAAAGGAACAACTATTGCATCTAGGTTATCCAAAACATGCCGAGGAACTTTGGTGGTTATTGAACGCTACGCTGGAGGTTGCCAGCAAGTACGACAAGACCTTTCCTTATCTTGACAACACTGCGATCGATGAACTAGGAAACTTGAATGAATTCATTCAGTGGTGCGATCGAAACGCATCGTGAAATTTCAAATCAATGATTAGTACTATTGGCATATACAGATACTATTATACAACATAATCTCGGCATTCTTAATCCTCCTTATCAATGGTCTTCCCCGTCTCCTGTAAATTCCGCATGAAGGTGTCTTCTTTAGGCTTGCGATATGTTCCCCCAAGACGATCCCAAATAGTGATATATTGACCATAGTTGTAGTTGAAGTAGAGATGGTGCATCGTGTGGCATGCAGCACCGTTAACGATCTCGGATGTGGAAAGATACTCGGCGTCATCTATTACATTTTAAGTTATATCATAAAAGTCGAGGAACGTAGAGAACTCACGAATTAACACTGCCCAAAGCGTCACAAAAATAAACAGCCCCAGGTAAGCAACCTTCTGCAGGGGGAAGATGAATGGGAAGATATGGTACGGCAGACTTTGCGACCACCCATCCAGAGGATGGAATGCATAGCTCGCGAAAGGCGTCGGAACTACCCATTTATGATGCGGCTTGTGTAACCAGCGGTAGACAAAGGAATGATGCAAGCCACGGTGAATCCAATAGATTCCACTGTCCGTGAAGCAGACGAAGAGAGGGTATTGTAACCAGTTGTAACCAGGGAAAGGAGCTTCGCTTGCAAAATTGTATAATTTGGACCATCCACGCACTTCGGCAAGGAACAGGGGCGCTGTGAAAATGGCCATGACAGGCATCGCAGACAGACCCTGTTTGATCTCTTGCTGAATTTGGTTTGGTAGGTATCGGGGGTGTTGGAGGAGGCGCTTGTCGTATAATGTGTGATACATAATGAAGCTGCCAATAAGGTACATGGCTAAACCGAAGAACCTATTCAGCGAGAAAGGAATACGAGTTAATCGATTTATTCTTCAAACTCAAGGTCAGCACCACCTACCATATCACCAGAAACAACGATAATGTTTGCCTTGCCATATTATCTCGCCTCCAAAGGCTGGCCTCCGCCCACCTGGACGGTTCCAAAGGGAAGTAAACCTTCACATGGTCATTCAAAACGCTTGAATTGATATTCTCAGAGTTTTCCGTAGTATCAGGTAAGAGCGCTGCATAAAGTCGATCAAACACGAATGTGTCGAGAACATCAAGAAGAATGTCCATGGTTTGAAATGAGGGTGATTCTATTCAACGTCTTCGATTAGGCTGTCCAAGCCAAAAGGAGTACCTTGTCTTATATGCAAGCAAAGTTCACAGACGGGGAATCCCTACTTCGAATATACCTACACGGGGAACACCTACCTCACACCACATCGGCACAGGTGATCCACGGGGTCGTCCAGGAGTCGAACTGTTCTGTAAAAAAATAGAAAGTTCGTTAAAGAATGTAATTTTAGGGGATATTGTGGCCGTGCCATGAACGGATTGTTGATCAGTCGACGCTGAGAGTCACTCGTATGATTTTATCTTCCCCCTGTTTTCAGAGAGACTCTGGGAAATAAATAGTGAAAAGGTAGTAACAGAAAGCCACCGTCGGTGGAAATTGTCACTGTCATCAAAGCCTCTTCACCTGTAATTTCTCCACACTCCTCAATTCTCCAAAGCTCACAACGAGACTAACGAGCGAGGAGGTTCCGGCCACCACCACAAGTATCTTGCGAGTCGAAAAAGGAGACAGATGCTCACTGGCATTTAAGATGTCGTCTTTCCCCCATGCTGGATGGAGTCCTCAAGGCTTTCTCATGGCTTTCTTGACTGGACTGTCATCTGGGGGTGTCGGTGTCCTCGGCATTATTTGTACCCTAAATGAAAACGCGGCCAGTATAGCGAAACGGGCATGCGACCAATGCAAGTTCCGCAAGATCAATGTATCATCTATCTCCTCGGTCCCTCTTCCCCCCAACTTAACCCTGTCACATTACTCCCAGGCGGGCACGGGCGCTAATGATTTCCTCATAGTGTAGTCTGTCGCGACCCTGCAAGGCCTGTCAGTCGATGGGCTTTAATTGTACATTTCTCCAGCCGCAGAAGAAACGCGGTCCAACCGGGCAGTAAGTTCAAAATGTCCGTCGACGCGCCGGAGGGAACTGCACTAACCATGCGTGTAGCCGTGTCTCGCAAATCAGACAGCAGCAAACTCATAACAATTCTCGAGGTCCCTCAGAGGCTCCGATCTCCAAACAGGAATATTTTCAGTGTCATGTCCCGACTTCCTCGGTGGCACCCGACCGGCCCGTGGCGATGTCGGGGACATCTTGGGCGCCTCATGGCGAGGTCACAATTCCTATGGATGGGGCAGATGGTCTAGCACTATACGGTCAATCATCCACTGTGGTAGGTGCTTGGGGCAATGAGCCCGCGCCTATGGATTCTCACGCCAATAGCGCAGTGGGTTGGAATGACCGTCAGGACGTCGAGTACTGGCTTCCGGACCGTCTCGGCTCTCAAGTCCTAGTCTTTGAATTCCTCGGCAGTAAAATATATCTCAAACCATCACTTCCATCCATTATTCAGCCAGTCCCAGAAGTCTCGGCTATGAACATGTCTCCGCAGGAACAGCAGAGAATGGCATTCTCCCCGGCTGTGGGGTCATCAATTCAGCACGACAGCCAAGAAGCGGATGATTTTTGGCCTTCTTCTATCAATGAATCTAACATGATACTCTGGATCTATGTATACTTTGATCTATTACACCCGACTCTTCCAATTTTGAGTCGTTCCCCCATCTTCACCCGCATGACGTCCCAAGAGCATCGCAAAAACCCTCAATTTGGAGCAATTCTGCTCTCATTATGTGCATTTTCTCTCATACTGCCGATCGAGATCAACGAACGCGCAACAACTTCTTCGCGCGCCACTCAAGCACGCTCTATGATGCACGAGGCCACCAAAATGCGAAGTTGCTCCGACTTCGGCGAGAACCCTACCATTGAGGCTGTTCTGACCAGCCTTTTTCTTTTCGGTTGTCTTTCTGGTAGCAACCAACACAATGTTGCATGGTTAGATCTCGCCTTCACACTGGGACTCAATGATCCTGAAACTTATCGCGATTCATCTGGAGATGAGAAGAGTCAAAGTCTGCGGACATATCTTGTTCTATCAATCACAGAAAGGTATGCTCTCAATCTCGCCGCATCGATGCTAATCCCACTATAGGGCATACGCTCTCCGGCGACTTCATCCAGTAACATTCTCAGTGAAACCAGGATTCAACATGCGCTTCGTACACGACTTTCTTCACAATGCAACTCACAGCCTAGTTTCTGGTATCATTGTTCACAACGAGAAGGATGCGGAGGGAATCATGGGCTTGACTCGACTGATGGAGTTGTTCGATGTCATCGACGAAGATATCATTCATTGCTGGAATCAAAGATGCGATATCAGCAAGGGCTTTTGTGGAAGATTCACCGAAGCCAAAGCACTGTCGATGTATGACAGCCTGGAAAGGATCAGCCAAGCTGAGAGATTCAAGGGATATGACTGGTTTGAGAAAGCCAAAGGAGACCGAGGCGATAGCAATGCTCTTCTAGCCATGGGGCTGCGTGAGACACAAGCGGCAGACGTATTCATCACTCAGCAATGGATCCAGAACCGTGTTTGGCTTCTTTGCTTAAATCATGGCTTCTTGCGGTCACATTCCGAGCGACCTGATCTGACATTCGGTTACCCTGTATCCATCGCCAAGTCAGCACTTCAACTTTGTCGATCATTGAAACTAAGCTCAATGGAAGCCCACGGAATTGGATATGTATGTTCATTGCCATCTCACTTTCCTTCAATTATACGCTTGACATCTCGCTAATCAAATTCACATGGACCGAGAAACTATATGATATTGCCGTCAGTGCAACCGATATCCTCTGTAATATCAACCCACCCTATGGGACCGGAATGGCACCGCTGGGCAATTTTACCGACTCGATACCCACAACTTCATCCTCAGAACTTGGCCGAGGATTTCTTGCTATTGTTGAACGGCTTCCGTGGTGGTAACCACCCTTTCCTGGAGAAGTACAAAGCCCACTTGCACTCGTTACAGATTCCGAGCAGCAAGGTAGCAACATGGGCAACACAATGATGGCTGGAATAACTTGGATACATGTATTAATAGATGCAAATATCGACCTGTAAACATATTCTCATCACAGAAGGCAATTGCCATGTATACTTTGCCCAGCCCTCTTAAACCTCCTCTTCAGTACCAGTACTAGTAAGAGAGGTGATGGTAAAAATGTCCCCCGGAGCCCAGCCTGAGTTAGTCCTCCCGCTGCCCTGAGCACCCTGGTCGCTCACCCCAGACGCCTCGGCTGGCTAACGCCAGCCCCCTCTTTGTTTCACTTCCTACGATTATAAGCGCTTTTGCTGCCTAGCGCTCCCCATCCGTTTGTTTTCTAGAGGCGCGTAGCATCTTCTTTTTCTTTTTAGAGGGATCATCAATCTCACGCTACTCTCTCTCGTCCATTTGTCCATGCTGTTCAAGTACCTGCTGTCCACGCCAACCCCTACGATGTCTGGTTTTGCCTTTTTCGGTTTCGGTTGAGCTTCCCGGTAGAGTCAATACGCTACTGAAGGCGTCCCCGACTTTGTACAGTTATCTAGCCTACTAACTAATGGCTAATTGATTACTTTCCAAATCGGGTTGGGTCCCTCAATCACGAGGTCGGGACTGGTACGTAGTTCCCGGCAGGCCCGGGTGGCGTCCACGACGGGAGTGCCATAGCGGGACATTTTCTCGGGATTCTGAGGGAAGCGAGTCCTTGGCTGGCCGGTAACTCCATCGATGGGCTGCCGGTGAACAGACCGGGCCACGCCAACTCGGAGTAGCGTCTTCCGAGGTCTTCCATCGTCTAGAATTCGCCGAGAGGCACGGAACCAACCAAGGAGTTCCCTCGAGTCTTGAGACAGGTTCGAAAAGTACCGGGGTCAGGTTCTCTTGCTCCACACGTAACTTCAGGTGGCTGTCTCCGCACTCCCCGTCCCTGATGGGCGCAGAATACCCCGATAATTCACCGAGGAGCATGACAATCAACTCAGTCTCATAGAAAACGCGCCATCTTACCGCAGCTACCGCTCCCCCTTGTACGTGTTGCTATCATTGCTGTCGGAGTACCGTATACCGGGACTTCCATTGCGAACTTCCATGGGAGTCCTGGATCAGCGGATTACCAAGACCGTGATGTCCCGGTCCTGGCGTTTCTCAAGTTTGGTTGGTACATGTAAACCAAGCCAGACCCTCGCCAAGACTAAAGTGGACTGGCCAAGAAGCTTCGCGGGGTCTGGAAACTCTCCCCGTGTGTGTGGAGATCTCTCCACGGGGAAGCGTCGCGGCCCGTACAATGTAGACGTCCATTGGCTTCGAACGCATCGCAACTGAATGATGTAAGAAATTGGTTGCATTTTTTTATTTGCGAAACGCACCGCATCATGGGGCGTCGGAATAGATGCATTAAGTGGCGCATTTAGGTCCTGGGATATCGTTAAGTAGGTTTAGTGTTCAACACCTGCCATCTACTTCCTTGGCCCCAAATTGATTTTGTGCCCCGGAGCAGGCTCCACAAAATTTTCCTGGTTGCCCTGAAAAGCCTGAATGGTACGGGAAAGGGCCATTGGAGGGACCCTTGCACGATTGCCACGCCCCGAAGACTCCACCCTTTTGCCCTTTTGCTTTTTCTCTTTGGAAGGTTTGGAGTGCGTCATTCAACCCCACACGGACAGTCTTGGTGACCAGGCCGACTCTGCGCAATTCTCGAATCAGGGCTTGGATTGCGTCTCAGGTAATAACTCCCGCCAAGTCTATATTTTGATTGTTGGCAGGTTAGCACAGCCAGTCCCAAAGTACTTAGGACTGCTATCCCTCTCCGCACACTGTCGCATTCGTCAATATCTTATCTCACGTGGGGAATCTCTCTCCCTTCTTTGTTGGGCAATTTTGAATTCGATAACTCATTAAGCGATGGCTATGTTATTCAAACGTCCCCCCAATGAAACGGGAGCTGCGTGGCCAGCCATCTTGGTAGGGTTGTTCGCGTCCTTTGGCGGCATTCTCTATGGATACGATACTGGGACCATCGCGGGTATCCAAACTATGCCCTACTGGCTCGATGAATTCAATCATCCTAACGAAGGCCGCATCTCCCTAATTGTTTCTATTTTGTCGGTTGGAACGTTCGTTGGCGCACTGGCGGCGGGGATCATCGCAGACATTACCGGCAGAAAATGGGGAATCATCATCTCAGTCATGCTGCCTTTTAATCTCGGTGTGGCTCTGCAAACTGCTGCTACAGCGCAACCTCTGTTCATTGCTGGTCGCTTTTTCGCCGGTCTCGGAGTCGGTTTAGTTTCCGCCCAAGGTGTGTTGAGTCGGCGAAAACAGCTTAGGTATCCATTGCTGATTGCTTATAGTTCCCATGTACCAATCCGAAACTCTACCCAAATGGATCAGAGGCGCAGTTGTGGGATGCTACCAGCTCTGCATCACAATCGGCCTTTTCTTGGCCGCCATTGTGAACTGGGCAACCCAGCACCGGAACGACAGCGGTATCTGCCCATGCATGTTCGGGTTGATAAATGATCAAAGAAAACTAACTCGATCACAGGAAGCTATCGCATCCCACTTGCCATTCAATTCGCATGGGCAATAATTCTGGTGAGCTTTCCCTCTTGGCAAACTGCAATCCGAATGAATCCATAACTGACTTGGGAAAAGGCTGGAGGCCTGCTCTTTCTCCCAGAGACCCCTCGTTTTCTGATAAAAAAAGGCGATGAAACCCGAGCCCTGAAATCGTTAGTTTTCCTTCGTCGCTTGAATCCCGATGATCCAGATATTATCTCCGAGCTTGCAGAGTTGAAGAGCAACTGGGAGTATGAACAGTCCCTTGGCTCTGCCTCGTACATTGAATGCTTCAAGGGTACTACCGGTAAACGCACCATTACTGGAATTATACTCCAATCGCTCCAGCAACTGGTCGGTATCAATTTCATCATCTATTATGGCACGAGTTACTTCGCCAAGAACGTTGAAGGCCTGCCCGACTCTTTCATCTTGCAGGTGATCGTGAACTGTGTCAATGTAGTCATGACGCTTCCAGGCCTTTGGGCAATTGACCATTTCGGACGCCGCCCAGTTCTTCTGATCGGGGCCATTGGGATGGGTATCTCCCAATACATCGTTTCGGCTTGCGGCGCCGCAACTCCGATCTCGAATTTCACTTCACAATGCGCCCAGTTCGCTTTTATTTGCATATACGTCTCGTTTTTCGGTAAAGTGAACAAGATAATGATCTAGGGTGGTATCCTTGCTAACATCCGCAAAGCATCCACATTTGGCCCCTGCGCTTGGGTTGTCACAGGGGAAATTTTCTCGCTTCAGACGCGTGCCAAAGGTCTTTCTATGACCACTGCTGCGAACTGGTTCTTCAATTGGCTTCTTTCTTTTATTACTCCATACCTCACAAGAGCACTCAGCCCAACCCAGTCCAATGTATTCTGGATCTGGGGCAGCTTCTGCTGGATCGCATTCGTGTTCGTATACACCATGGTTTATGAGACCAAGGGGTTGGCCCTTGAGCAGGTGAATGAGCTCTACGAAAATGAACCGAGGGCTTGGAAGAGCCCTGGTTACCGTTCCGAACTTCGAACACTCTCGGTTTCTGAAGTACACGACAAGAGATTGGCCAATGAAGATACGAAGCATTCAGAGTTGGCTCTGGAGGATGTTGAAAAGGCCTGATCAGCCAAGCGGTCCCACAATGGAACTCTTCGAAGACCGTCGCAATCAAGGGAACTATAGATCTCTTTTTTATGAAAATGTATGGTCCCGAATCTGTTTCTCCTATCAACGGTCTCGGAACTTTCACCAGTGTGATTGAAGTGTTTGTCAACGTCGTATTGGGAGGTTACCGATAACACCTTGGCGGGACAGCATCATGTTTATCATGCTCTCTCGCCCGTCGTCTGCGGACTATATTCCGTAATAGAGCGTTACCTGTGTCCCCTTTTATCTTGCTTCCAATAGGACCTACAATTTATTTTTCAAGGCCACTCTTTGCCCTTGTTATTAGACACCATGATTAATTGGAGTATTTGTATTGGAACGTGACATTCCTGCCTCGGGAAAAATCATTCCGTCTTTCTCACAAGTGCCCCTCGGGCGACGCTGCCAGTGGTTACGGAGCCCCCGGTGGCCGTCCTCAGACCTGCTACTCTTGCGGAGGCTTCAGCCACAGGTTTAACTTTCTTGAGGACGGCTGGTTCCCTGGACAAGAGCGTTGGCCATGGCCATGAAAGAAGTGGATCAATTCGCTGGCGTCTTCGATTAACCTCATTAAACTTTAATAAAACCATCGGCTTTTCTTCCTTGGAAAAGGGGTATTTCCGAACTTTCCCCGGAAACCCCACACCTACAGGGCGTGCCGACTGGGCGCACAGACGGGGCACACCAATGGGACATAATAAAGGCGTTGGAACGGACAGAGGACCGTACCGAAGATCGCTCAGCAGAATCAATCAGCCTTTGCGGCATTTTACGCCCAATATTGCAGTCAGCGTCACAGGATTCTGATCGGCAGGTGATGGGTCTACGATGTGCTGCAACTTCTAGCCACAAGCAGCGATACGCCCGAAGCACCACGATGATCTGGTGACGCGAAGGAAATGGCACCACCATCAAGATAAGTTTGACTTAATTTGAAGAAAAAGTAGTGAATATTTGCTTTAAGCTTATGTGGAAGAGAATTGCAATGCAACATAACAATTTTATCATTATAAATTAAAGCTGTAGAAAATGCTTTCCATATACCTATTGGTTAGTTCACTTCCATCCAACCTTGATATTTAATGTTCAGATATTCATAGAATTCCCCCTACGCTGTATTCAGAGACCTGATATTGTGAAGGGGTGGCGAGGTCACTAAACAAGACAAGCATAAGTTATTCGTAATGAAAATTATTTTAATCTTCTTGGCGGGGTTGAGTCTGGGCGGAATCCTCTTCAG